ACACACACACACACACACACATACACAGAGCATGGGAGGGGTCCAGTCCTTTTTATCAGTGGGTGTTATTAAGCAAATAACCTTGGTCAGTTGTGCAGCTTTCACATCATCCCACATCATCCTGTGTGTCCTCGTCATTTCTGCACACTCTGGTTCTCGTCGGTCCCGTTTCATGCTTTAATCTGGCTGTTGTCATTTTGTTGGATTAAAAACTTGGAAGAAGAATGCAAACTGTTCTGGTCTATTCTGTAAAAACTCCACCGTGTCTTTGAAAGATGCCTTCTTTCCTCACAGTCGATCTGGAACCCTCCCACACAGCAGTTTGGGGTGTCCACAATCAGACCTGAACAAGAAATTCAACCCTAAAACAGAGCTAACTAAATGTCCATCCAGCCTCTTTCTGCTCTGATAAACGGGTTCGTGTTTGAGTGTTACATGAACAAGCAAACATCAGAACTTAGTTATATTTAGTCCTGCAACAGGAGCGTGGATGCTCTGAGGAGCTGCCCTTTGGCTCCATCTAGAGTCACGTTACCGTTCAGCATCGTCGTTTGCTTTCTGAGGACTCAGACTCCATCCTTGTTTCATCGCCTCCAGGTGCGTTTGGATCTTCGTGTTTTCTGAAGAAGATCCTGAACCAGCTGCTCCAGTCTCCCTCTCCATCTGAGACTCGTGGAGGAGGTCACCGCCCTCTCCTTCACAGCTGATGTTTCAGAGATGCCTGCAGGCGTTTCAGCGCTCCGCGTCAGCTCTGATCCAATCAGGCTCCTCTTTAACACGATCAGGATGTGCTCTACGACCCCAGGGCGTTTCACACATGGAGCCGAAAACACATAAAACCCTCGGACACGCTCGATGACTGTTTCACAAACTTTTCAGCGTCTGACTCACAAAGCAAAGGCAACAGAGGCAATTCAGTTAGGCCTGTAAATGGCCTGTACTTGATATAGCACCTTCTAGAGTCCTGGAACCCCCCAAGGCGCTTTACAACACAATCAGTCATTCATCCATTCACACACACATTCACACGCTGGTGGGGATGAGCTACCATGTAGCCACAGCTGCCCTGGGGCGCACTGACAGAGGCGAGGCTGCCGAGCACTGGCGCCACCGGTCCCTCCGACCACCACCAGCAGGCAACGTGGGTTAAGTGTCTTGCCCAAGGACACAACGACAGCGACAGACTGAGCGGGGCTCGAACCTGCAACCTTCCGATTACGGGGCGAGCACTTTACTCCTGTGCCACCGTCGCCTATTTAAAAGGCGCCAATTCACAAGAGTCCTCTCAAAGTATACGTTCCAGTTGAACCTACTCATCGGTGTGTTTTATATCATCGCTGTGGCGTAAAGCGCGTTGGAGTCCTGGTGAAAGGCGACGTGCAAGCGCAGGTCATTTATCATGTTCTGAGTTCCGTTCGTTATCCCATCCAGAAATGTTCTAAAACCCAGCAGGTTGCATCGAGTCACTGACTTGTGTCAGAGACTTTACATCGATCTTTTATACTAAACAAGCATGAAGCGACAGTGGAGAGGAAAACACTCCTTTAACAGGAAGACGCCGCTGAGTCACGACTCACTCGGGTTTACAAGACAAGAGCACTTGTTTTACTGGTTTTAGTCAGTGTTGGGAGTAACGCGATACAAAAGTAATTAATTACTGTAATGCATTGCTTTTTGCTGTAATGTGGTAATGTAAGGCATTACAGGGAAAGAAAATGGTAATATGTACTCGGTACAGTTGTCAGTAACGCGGTAATTACGATGCATTTTTAAACCCAGAATCAAGATGTGGGATTCCTAAAAATTCAAATTGCGGGAAGCCTGAAAAAAGATCCAGTATCCACATATATGACGTCATTTATGGACTCAGCTTTGCGGGCATTCTATGAGCAGAGAGGACGCAGCGGTAACGGCTCGAATACTCCAGCTGCGTCCTGCGCGCGGCCGCTGTTATATTCACAAAATCACTCCTCCAAAACAAAATAATTCGTTTGTGATCGTTTATATCCGCCCATATTCTCTGGTACTTCATGTACTTTTCAGCTGAGTTCATCATCTGTGCCCCGGTGATTTCAACTCATTGCTGCTGGAGTGCAGCGCATATTAAGCTTTTTTTTTTTCGCGTTCGGTAGATCCCTTTGGCTGATTAGTTAGAAAGTAGGAAATCTAGGAAACAGTTTTTCTGGAAGACGGAGAAAACATGAAGCATGCAGGAAGGTTAGAGAGAGAAAGGGCAGGAAATTATTCAAATAAAATCAAGAAAACAAAACAAAGTGCTTGAAAAGAAAAAAAGTAGGTAGATTTATCCCCAAAACACATTTTTACCAGTGAAAAGCAATAATATATAAGCATTTAATATTTATACATGTGATAGAATCAGATCACCCCAGAAGTCAGTCCCACATCCAGGGCCGTATCAAGGCATTTGGGGACCAAGGCAAATATAGGCTTGGAGCCCCCACCACCTCACTCCCTGCTCAGTTAATCTAAGATGGCAGCGTACCGAGAGTACAGATTGTTGTTGCTTTTATTTAATAAACAATCATTTTAAAGCGCTGTTATTATATCTGACTGTTTTTAACAGCAACCCTAGCTCAGACACCACATCACCTTCCACGCATATGTCATGAGCTCACTGAGCGTCACATGACCAGATTCATACTGAAGTTGTTTTGGTGAAAGTTACTTAAATTCAAAAGTAGTGCAATGCTTTACATTTTAAAATCAGTAATATTGTAATGTAATTAATTACTTTAAAATGAGGGTAACAAGTAATAAATAATGGATTATAGTTTTGAAGTAACTTGCCCAACACTGGTTTTAGTCATAACTAGGACTGGGACGATAATCAATAAATCAGTTAACCTTACGATAGATGAAAATGAACTCAATCATTTTTCCAGCCTCGATAAATCGGTCTCTGTCAGACACGTGACCTGCGTGTCAACCATGCCCTCTTAGCGCCCTTTTAGGTGCATGACTCGCGTTGGACAGCCGCAGCTGAAGTAGAAGCAGTACGAGTCAAAAGGATGGATTAAAAGAATTATTCCCTTACAGGAATAAACTTCAGAAGGAGGCTGTGAGATCGGTATTTTCAGGATCAATAACGTAGATCGGTACGACCTCAAAGGAAACAGAGTTCAGACGTTTCGTTACTGCCGAAAATACATCACGAGTACGTTAAATAAAAGGTTTCCATTTTAAAGGGTGTGTTTGCTTTATTATGATATATTAACGTTACATAAGTGGATATTTTGCTCTCGATACTGTCGACAATATCATTTACCATCAATAATTTGTTAGGTAATATATCGTCCAGCAAAATTTGTTATCGTCCGTGGCTGAGTCAGAAATGATCACCATATGCATTTATAAAAAAATGCTTTTTGTCACAATATGTTAATAAAAGCCTTTAATTTTTACAAAACCTTTTGTCAAACAGAGCTGTTTTCATGTAATTATAGTAGTTATTGAATTTAATTAAAAACAATCGTTTTAAGAGCCAATAATCAATAAAATTAAACACTAAAATTTAGCTTTTTAGTTCAAAAGCATTACAGACAAATGATCTGTCGCTGACCGGTGCTTTTTTATAGATGTAAAACATGCACATTAGTGAAAGGTCATTCATGATCTGACTGCTGACCATTTCTGGATGCCACACTGAGGTGACATGCGCTGCTTATCTTGGCTGCAGGAACTGAAGTAGGCATAGTCCCAACCCACCACCCCACCTAGTGGACACTTATGTTGCGTTGTCTGAAGTCTGTTGCATTTCTGTCTGAGGTCTTTTTTTGCAGAGCAAAGCTGCCCTCCCGGTGGGAGGGTAACTCTGAAGTGCCTTTTTTCCCTCCACCTGAACCAATCCTCATGTTACCCTCTTATCTCTATTAAGGTAGCGCGACTCAGGGTTGCGAATGACCACAGTCACCAATTCTTGTCATGCGTCTTGCCCATGTATGTCTGATCTCTGAATTGTGTGTACTGAAACTCTAATTTCCCTCTGGGATTAATAAAGTATCTTTGATTTGATAAATAAGTATTTATTATGCATTAATTAAGTGTGAGAGAGACTAAAATGACCAGTTTTGAACCAAATACTGAGCCACATCTGTTTACTTAAATATTTTATCCATGTATTTCACTAAGTTGTATATATTTCACTCGTACTATTTGGAAAAAAGTTTTTTTTTTTTTGCATTTAACATTTTTTCACAGCGTTATATCCACAACTATCAAAGGCAGCTTTGCCATTAAGTTTTCATTAATGTAACGGCTTGTTTAAATGCTTAAACACTAAATGGTGTGGTGCCACAGTTACATGTTTATTGGTCATTAATTAGATTCCCTTCGATAGTTGAGAATATTTATGTGGTACTGAACTTTGATCTGAAATATTTAATTTATAAACTCCTGATAAATTTAATAGATTTGGCTATTAAGTAAGAATCAGGTAAGCTTTCTTCCTCTCCCTTAATGCATAATAAATGGTTATTCATGATCTATAAAGGTTATATCAACATAACCTTTATTATATATGTATGGATCTGTTTATTTTATATGTGTATCTACATATATATCTCTATATAAATCTATATATCTAAATCTATCGTTCTCTAACTATATTTAGCTCTATATCTATATATAACTAAATATATACATCTATATATCTTTCCATAACTATATCTAGCTCTATATCTAATCTATATATATATATCTTTCCATAACTATGTCTAGCTCTATGTCTATATCTATATCTAAATCTATATTTCTATAACTATATCTAGCTCTATATCTATCTAAATCTATATACCGGTATATGTATTTCTATATCTAGCTCTATCCATCTAAATCTATCTATATATATCTATCTATATAGATATATCTATATATCTGAATATATTATATATCTGTATCTATATCTTTCTATATATCTAGCTCTATATCTATGCAGGGCTGTATTTCTTTACATTTTCATCAGTGGCAAAAAGGCAAAGCAGTTTTGTTCCTCGTAACCATGATTTTATTAGCAAGTTGTGTTCAATACACAAGCAAGACACAAACACGTAACCATAGCAACAAGGCTGTCATTGAACCATAGCGGTAGTACGCCTGTCGTTTAAAAGGATGTAGATGAACAACAAAGCGTGGCAAAAAGAGCCTCTAGACGACCAAACCTGTAAGTCATCCTGTTCTTTTTGCTTTTATTTTCAACGACACGATAAATCATCCCTCATTTCCACACGAGGCTCCTCTTCATAATTGCGTTCTCGTTAGCATGCGGCATATCAGCCTCGTGTTTGAGCTGAAGCAGTGACCAAACAGTCCTCCCTCGTTGTTGACGTTAAAACAGCACCGAATTAACGTAAAATGATATTTTTATAGCTGTAATTTTAACGGAAATTACCATAAAACCCTTTTGTCTTGTAGCAAAGACATCTCTGGCCCTTGATTCCTCACTCAGCGCTTCCATAAACACAACATATCTGAATTTTAGTGAATAATTAAACACGTTTCTCACAATTAAGTAGTTGTAAGCTGAATAAGTATTTTATCAACCCGATTAGGTTCAAGAGCCTTCGACAATAGAAAGCGCAAAAACTGAAACTTGGATGTAAGATTAATCTCCAAAACAACCTCAGGTTTATTCAGAGATCTGAGGTGTTTGTTGGTCTCGGCGAGGTCCATCTGAACGTTTCATCCCTGCATCGCAGCTCCAGCAGAGTCGCTCGATGTCTATCAAGTTTCCATTTCTCGTCTGTGCAGCCACTCCTGGTCCAGCTAGTGCTGTTTCCTCCTGAAAGAGCATCCTGAGTAAGAAAAGAAAGACATTAACGAAGAGCTTAGGAATCAGCAAACGCCTTTTACTCTTCTGGTTTTCAGAACTGGAACCAGTCAGGGCTGCAGGAGCGTAAAACTGACTCGCTGACTAGAGGAGGTGATCTGCCTTACTCACACTGACTCACTCTCGGACACGAGTGCTTTACGTGCTAAAGGTCGCCGCTTTGCCCGCGGAGAGCAGCAGGAGTTACCGAGGCAGCGGGGAGGATGGCCGAGTGGGCGTCAGTAAAAAACAAACCTTGACCCTAAAGCTTAATCTATTCAGCAACATAAAACACGACGAGCATCAGCAGAGCTTCGGAGGCAGACTCTTAGAAAGGAGTCTGGATGAAAAGCGTGTTTGTGCTGGAAGAGGAGAAAAACACCAACATGTGGTGAATTCGCCACACAAGCACAGGAGTTGCTGTTTGCCCCGATAGACACCCTGTTCATGGAGATCATCATGAAAGGGCAACACAAAGGCAGATGTGTAGGAGTGTGTCAGATGTGAGCGGCACCGAAACAAGAACAGTAAATATTCAGTCTGACACTAACCAGGCACACGACCATGGGCAGACTAGGATTGACTTTATAAAACTACAGACTTTCTCTAATTTGACTCCATGTTTTAGTTTTTTATTACATTTAGAAAGCATGTCGGATCAGAACCAGCCACGCTTAAGCTTAGGAACTGACTGGTTTGAAACTCTGGGGGAAAAGTGTAAATTTAGACCCCTGCTCTTCTAGGATGTGTCCAAAATGAGACGCTTGGCTGCTGATAGAGGCATGCATCGACTATAACGGTGGATAATCGTTGCTTCAAAGTAGTTCTGCAAGGATTAAACGTCCAGTTGCAAGTAGGGGTTGTATCGACTAGTCGGCTTCACTGCTCTGTAGTGACTTGTTATGCCTTTCATAGACTAGTCGCTGTCACGTGATAATGACCGACAAGATGGGAGTCCTCGGAACAGACAGCAGGTGACGAGCCCCTGCGCGTCGGGAGGCGACGCGCTGTGCCCGAGCGTCGGTACTGACGCCCACCGTAACACGGACATTTGACCGAATTGTGACCTTTACCCTCTTACAATGTAACCTTCCCCTCACCCCCATCCTAACCGTAACCGGCTTGCACATGCAAAGCTCTGATCGTTGACGCGCTCCAGACATCTGCGTCCTGAGCACGGCCACATTAACATTATCAAATCAGGTGTCGCCACCTCAAAAACTAATTTAACACGCGAAACGCGATGTCGGCTCATTTCCTTTCATGTTTTCTGTCTTTTATTTGTGCCTGATGCGTTTCGCTGCTGTGGAGCGGGGCGCATCACCGGTTTTGTCCTCCAGTGACGCATCTCACCGGTGCGGCCGGCGAGCGCTCCGCTGTTTTTGCGGTCGGTAGATCTTTTAGAACTGCAGTTCAAAGGTAACTCATGAGGTGAATATATATGAACCCAGGTAGCAGTTTCTCTTTAGGATTGAGAGGAGATGCAGGAAGATAATAAACAGAGACAGGACAGAAAAATAGTCAAATAAAAACAAGTTAGTTTTTGTACCTGCTGGTTGCAACAAACAGACACCATTGAAGGTAATCAGAAGAGAGGAACAGAAAATGAAATAATTATTTTAATGTTTAGAGCAGCAGGAACTCTGAGAGGCTGCAGGCGCATCAGTGAGTTTGCGGCCGCTGTGCAGGGGGAGGGGGGAGAGGGCTGAAGCAGAAACTTCCGTTGTTAAAAGAAATGTGTTTAACTTTGAAAATGTGGGCGCAATTTTATTTGTCAAAAACCCCCCACCCCCCAAATGCGCCGGGAAAAAAAAAAACGCCTGGTCACCCATCGTCAGTTTTAGCCGCTTCAGGTGTATGACGTCATCAACGACTAGTCGAAGTCGACTCGATTTTCATTACTTGACGGTCGACTTTAAAAGAAATGAAGTCATGCAGCCCCTAGTTGCAAGGCCCGGTTTATCTGAGCTAAATCTGATTCTGCTACAAACTCACTTTTCTGCCCCTTGGCACTTTCACTGATAGTCAACAGGCAGCAGGCTTTTCTTGCTCTTTTCATCCGTGATCTTTTGTTCTTTTATTCATTTGTAATTTTTATGCATTTTGTCTTACCTGCCTGTGATCTTATTCTCTTGTAATGCTTTTATTACTTTTTGTTGTTTTTACTTTTCCCATCTATGTGCAGCACAGTGGGGCGAGGGGTGCTGGCATTTAAATGAGCTAAATAAATACATTTTGGCTTCTCGTGGGTACCCATCATGGTGGTTTGTTTACGGCTCGGCATGGTTGGTAACTTCATACCTTCTGTCAGGCGAGCTTTTCCTCCCGTCGGCTGGCACAGGACTGTGGAGCAGCCAACACACAGCACGACTGTCTGGGCGTGACTGAACACTGTGGTGATCTTGTAGCAACCTGCAACATCAAAAACACATGAAAACCACCTACAAGGTGTCAAACAGCAGCGTAGAGGCATATTTAGAGACGGGCGGACACTAACTTTTTCACTTTTTGAGCCGATTTTCCACTCGTGCGAGAATCCACGAGATCGGGGCGAGTTTTGCGCTGAGCGTCGTGTAGTGTACAGGGGGTTACGAGAAGCGATTAACACCACGTGACCAGCTACCGATCAGCAATCGTGACGCTGGGGACACACCGGCCGCCGAAGCGCCGGGAGGCAAGGCGCTCAAGAAATTCGGCCGCTGCTCCTCAGTTCAGACCAGACGCTTGTTTATCCGCTCGAGGCGCGCCTCGTGGTTTTTCTTTTAACCACTTGGTGTCCTCCATGTCCTCTCTGCCTTTACTCTGCTTTTGTCCTCGACACCCCCCTCCCCCTTGCTGTTTGTGTGTGTTTGTACATGTGTGTGAACCTATGGTGTGAACCAGTTGTTACACACAACCAGTGTGTGTGTGTGTGTCTGTTTACGAACACATTTGACTATCGCGGAATTGTATTTTGAAATGCTTTATTTTGTTAAATTTACCGGCCTGCCTCTTATGTCTAGGTTTGACTTCCTGCCAGAATTGACGCGGTTCACGGAAAAAATAGAGCAGACGCCGAACGATCGCTGCACGGTGAGGGCCAGAGCGCCGGCGTGCGGCGCTTCGGCGGCCCATGTGGTCCATAGAATAGGATAACAAGGGCGCCGAATGAAGGCGGTCCCAATTTCACGGCGCTTCGGCGGCCGGTGTGTCCCCGGCTTGAGCTCGCACGGACTTCTGGAGTGTTTGATATTTTGCTCGTTCCTCATGAGGGTTGAAGTGGCGCAGCGAGCGGCTGCGACCCAAAAAGTACCAGAGCCGGTCACGGCGCATGCACAATCATGCATCAACACCGCTCGCCCGCTATCTCCCTAATAACACACGTTGTTCATTTTTATTTCTACACGTTTTTTTTTTTTTTACACACAATGACAAGGATTGTCAAGAAAGCGTGTTTGTCGTGTTCATGTCAAATTAAACTGATCACAAAACACAGATTTACTTTATTTCGTTTTCCTCATCCAACCCCCATAAATCCCTGTGTCCTCCTGCAGCACTCCTGAAGGACAACAGGCAAAACGAGACAAAAAAGTCTGACGTGTTGTGTAAAAGCTGCTATTTTAGCATATATTTTAGGTCCGAGGTGTTGCTACCAGATGTAGTGTGAGCACATGACTCGTGAGATTTACCCTGCGAGGAAGTCGTACGGTTTGAGCTGAAGCTGAGTGCTAAGAGTGAAAAAGTTGCAGAGTCCGCCCAGCTTAAATGGACTTTACGGACTTTTGAATTTTTATGCACGCGATTGCCCCCTCAGGCCAAAAGCGTGACGGCAGCTTCAATATTAGGCTCGTGCATGAGGCGCGCATGCTATACGTGCACACTCCTTAACGAAAATAACAGCTGAGACAGTCCCGTGTGTGTGTGTGTGTGGCCCGGAGGACAGGAGAACACACAGCTAATTAATTAAATAATGTGGTTCTGTACCTTTCTCTTCAGCACAGCCGACAAAGGTTTATGATGGGTCAGTCCTCCTGCATGCTCAGATCATTCCCTTCCCTTGCTTGAAAAATTGTTCCAAAATGAAAGTTGAACCCACATCTTTTTTATCTGTGAATTCAATGCCGTTCGGCGAGTCTCAAATAAAAATTTGGGCATCTTACTGTAAAAAAAATACCATTAATGTAAAAAATAAACTATGTTCACATCCAGAATCGAACCCGGGTCTTCTGCACGAGAGTCCGACAGCTTACTAGGTGAGCTACAGCACCAATAGTGTCTTTTGTATCTGTAACATTTATATCCTTGATGACAGCTGAAACAACGTTCAAAGAACGGTTCGGAGTGAAAATGGCTATTTTGTTGCTTATTTGCAGGAAATATCTAGAAGAAAGTTCTACAGAAAGTAGCTAAGGGTCCTCAGAAATGTAGCTAGCTTTGTCACTAGGCGTTAGGAACAGCGACAAAGTGGCACTGCCTCTCTCTCTGCTGCTAAAGCTACGGATAGCAAATGCTACGGGCGATGCCTGAGCGTGAACGCGCATGAAGCAGCCTGCTCGACCCGAGCATCTCTCTTTTTCTGTGATTTTACAGAAAAACAGGCAATCACAGTAAAAATGCCAGGGCTCATTCTACAGGACCAGGGCATTGCAGGAGAATGTATGAAGAAGACATTTATTATTTCTATACATGTTTTGGCTGTCACACTTCCATAATGTCCCTTTAACGTGTCCTTGAAGCTGTTTCGTGTTAATGAGTACATTCTAGTCTCATTTCACAGACATCCACAAGAATCACTGTATGCCTTATTTGACACCCTAATCACCACGGTCAACGAGAAAAGGGCAACACATAAAGGCACGTAATTACTTCCACACTACACACAAATATCTCACAGTAATCAGATTATTTCCATCCCACACACACTGACCTGGACATTTGACATCCATAAAATAGGAGTTAGGACTCTGCACGAGGCGTTTCTTCTTGTGCCTCCTCTTTTCCTCCTCAGCAGTGGGGTGCAGCAGATCTTTCGCAAGCTGAAAACAAATTATATTAATTCAAATAACATTTTAGCTGTTAAATCACTCAAACTCGTGCTGAGATCTGCAGGGAAATGTTTTTACGACAGTAATGGCGGACTGTTCACTGGTTTCGTTTTGGGAAAAGTTCATCCAATTATTCAGAAACATAAGAAATGTTATTTTAAAACAAAATTAATGACGCTTTTATAAAGAAAAACGTAATTCAGAAGCCATTTCAGCTTTTCTACACAAACTGAAACAAACGTGCTTAGCAAAAAAAAAATTATGTAAACTTAGACACAATGACGTTTCATGGTTAAACCATAAAGCCTTTTTATCTAGGGTCCTTTTTTAATCTGGTATGACCGAATCTTCTCAGACGTGTTTAAACTAAAACAGCAGCGCGTGAGCTCCTTTCTTCTGCACGTGTTTTCGCCATATTGCCTCCGTTCAGTTTTCTGTTCGCATTAAACTTACACCGAATAACGGAACCGCGCGTGCGTAAACGCTAATATTATCACTGAAATCGTTAAACGGCGGAGTTAAAACCCGTTTTTACGGTTTAGAGCGGCTGTGAACACCGTAGTTTACTTACAGGCATCTCTGCGTGTTTCTGGGTCTCAGCGGGCGGGCAGGGAGGAAAGTGACGTCGTTACGTCAAACCGGAAGCTGCCCCTGATTTACGGGAGGACGAAAACAGTTCTTCAGTTTTAAATGTCTAATATTTTAAAAGTAAAAACTTCTATTAGACGTTTTATATTAATATCACAATTATATCAGTTTAGTAAATACAATTTTTAATTATTAAAGTGAAAATGTGTGGAATTTCAAAACAACGTAATGAATTTTTAATTATTTACGACACTCGTAGGAGACAAATACAGACTTTTTTAAATGCAGAAGTTTCTTTTTTATCGTGTGTCAGAGACAAGACGTGAAATAATCCAACAAAATAATCTCTTCATCTTCCCGACCAGAAGATTAACCTAAAGATAAAATAAACATCAAATATGATGAAACATAAACAACAAAAATATTTTTTAAATACTAGAACAATGCCGGCAAAAAATAAATGATATTTTCCAGCTCAGTTTACAGAATAATCGGATTTCCTACGATTAGACTCTGAAAAAGTGTGATGCCATCTAATATTTCCGATTTTCTTTTTTATTAAAATTTTCAATGTGGTCTTTGTTTTCATTGCTGGATTCTGGCTGCATTTTCAGTCTTAATATCTGAGGATTTCCAGAAGTGTGTGCTTGTTATGTTGTTTAAAGTAATAGTTATTTATCTATTATAAATTATTAATATATTAACTTTTAGAGATATAGCTGATGAACAGCCACAGTTTGGAGGAACATAGATTAGCCCTGGCTGGATTGATAAGCTAACAGCAAGTCACAATAAGGTCGGTTCCAAAGTGGGTTACTCTCATTGAAAAAAGTCAAATCTCTAAAATTCATGGGAATTTACAGTGCTATTTCATTAATCTCAGCCTTTACAGATATCCACATCAGAAACAGGTGAAAGATTTGTTTTTCACAATTCCTTATGAGCTATAATGTAAACCAGTGACAGAGTTGAGCTTTAATGTTGTGTTAAAAGGCCCTGGCATATGCTGCTCTACTTTTTGTGGATTGAAACTGTTCTAAGATGACAGAAGCTCCACTGACACGAGTCTCCATAATTGTGAAGTCAACCGAAGGGGTGGCAGGAAAAACCTTCTTCTTTCACAACTTAACTCAAATTTTCATGTGGAAAACAAACCCTATATTTGATCTCATCAAATCTATGGGTCCACTTATCTGGAGTCGGGTTGCAAGGGCAGCATCTAGGCAGAGTTCCCTCTCCCCAGCCACTTGGGCCAGCTCCTCTGGGGGAATTCCAAATAGTTCCCTGGCCAGCAGAGAAACTATAGTACTTCCCACGTGTTGTGGGTTTTCCTTTAGGTCTCCTCCGGGTTGGAAGTGCCCGGGCATCCCGGAGGCTTCCAGGAGGCATCCTGAGCAGATGCCCGAGCCACCTTAACTGGCGCCTCTTGATGTGGGATGCTATCATAATAGGATCCTATTTATTTGTTTGTTTGTTTTTTTGTCATTGCACCAAATGGACAAAAAAGTGCACACAATTCAATTCAACGCCACAGAAAACACACCATCTTGGAATGGTACCAGGCCCCTTGGTGCCAAAGGTCAAAGAAATCCTTCTATTGAATAATCGGTAAAGTTTGCTCATTCAAAAAAGAAATTGTAGTATTTTTTGGGCACATCTTAGCGTTTTTTAAACAACAAAATAATGAAGTTGAATAAAATAATGTGATAATTTACTTTTATAATTTCAATAATTATGACGTTTTTTAGATTTCAATTTTTATTGTATCTTTTTAACATGGGAGAAAATAAAGAGGAGAGTATTTGGTGAACATTTCCCATGTGATGATAAATCCTAGCGCTAAATGCCGCCCCCTGGCGCCCGCAGTGCGCAGCTGCATCTCTGGTCACTCCCACGCTACGTAGCGTTTCAGGAGAAGTGGGGGGTTTGCTCCAAGTTTTCTTTTTCTTTTTTACTTTTACATGGTGAGAAAACACGTCGCCAACTCCGAGGGATGCATTTCTAAAACATCCGGAGCGGATCTGGGTCAGTTCGTCTCTAGAAGGAGTTTATTTCTTGTTTTCCAGCTCGATCCAAACACTGAGGGTATCGGAGTTCGCCGGTAAAAACCCGTTAAAGGGATCGTTTTGTACACCCATAAGAGAAAATCTACGGTTTAACTCGTCGGCGGGGGAGGAGGAGCTCGAATTTGAGAGACAGACACAAGTTTTCCCTCTCTGGGTGAAGAACGGCTCCAAGCATGGCGAAAAAGTACGACTTCCTCTTCAAACTGTTGCTCATCGGGGACAGCGGAGTGGGGAAAACATGTCTGATCATCCGTTTTGCTGAGGACAATTTCAACTCCACGTACATTTCCACCATCGGTATGTTGCTGCGACATTTCTTCAACTGGAACTTTGAGCAGATGTGTGCTGACGTTTCAGGATTCCTGTGTTTGATCCTCCACACTTGTGCAAGCTGGTTTCTCACGCTGCTGTTTTCATGTCTCAACCAGTCTAGCTCTCATCTTTTTACCCTTTCTTTTCCTCTCCCCTCATCTGAAGGTCCCCTCCTCCCATCTCAGATCTGAAGGACCACCCATCTTCATTCCTATCTCTTTACCATCCTGCATTTCCTGCAGACGGACTTCTGGCATGCACGCGCTTTCTGAGCAGGATCTGCCTCTAGCTTCACATCTGACAGGAGCGGATCTATTTGTTTAATCAGGGGGGCAAAGGTGTGGCACGAGGGTCCCACAGAGGGCACCGCAACTGTTAAATTTTAGAAATATTTTAATGAATTTGAGTCATTTGTACTTGCATACATAAAATAATTTCATTAAACTAAAGATAAAAGAAAAAAATCTGCTCTGACCTGTCAAATTTAGCTCTGCAGCACGCTGAACAAACCTAGAGTTCACCCATGTGCTTTGGGATTTAGTTGAATAAAAATATTAAAACAAACTAGTGAAAAATGTAAAAAATAAAAGGAATTAATTTTTAACACATTGAATTGCCTGTTAATGAAATGTTCTATTTAAATAAAGCTGCCTCGCCTTAAACACCAAACAACATAAAAAAAACACATGGATGGGTAAAATTAACCACAGTTGGCTCATCATAAACAGAAAAATCAGATTTTTCCATTTTCTGTTCAACAACAGAAGTATTGGTGCCTCTCCTGTAAAAAAATCAAAAAGATTAAAGGTGTTGAACACTCGTGATGAATAAATTTGCAGTGATCTTCAGTAGGAGGGAATCGTTTGTAAGTCATAAACGAAACAAAACACTGGTGCACCAATTTCAGGAAGTAGGAGTGAGCCACATCACAGCTGAGCTTCAGACGGCAGGTTTTGGAGTTTTATTTCCTGATTTTTGGACATCTCTCCTCTGATTGGCTAACAGCAACCTGACTCTACCACTGACTGTCTGCTCTGCAACGTTGACGTTTTATCTCCACAAATAATACAAGCCTGGAGGAGTTCTGCTGTGTGGTGGAGTTGCTAATGCTAATGGTTAGCTTCTACTTGCTGAGACGTTCTCTGCTGTTTCCTGGACGCTAAACCAACAACAGCCTTCCCCGTCGTGAGTCAAGATGGGTGAGTCCATGACTGTTAAGTGTCAGTGTGACGTAGATCTGTCAGGATTTTCTAATCCTAAAGTTTCACCGTCTGTTTTCTATCAGAAGCTAATACAGGAGATAGGTGTAGGAGACTATTTTCATGTTCAGCCTGCATGAAACACTCAGAGTGACCCATTAGAATCAGAAATTCAGTGTTCCACACCTTTAAAAATGAAAATGAAAGTAAACACCCAGTTTAAGCTGCATTAGATTTTATTAAAGTGACAGTGTGTATTTTTCCTGGCGATAGGGGGCAGTTATGGTGGGGTAAGTGCATTTAAACTTGAAATTTGCCCCAAAAGTAGCTGCTGGCTTCTCATCCGCATCCTTTTGAAAATACAGCGGTGTATTCTGGGAAATTTTTGACCAAGACTAGACTACAAGACACCTCCCTTGTGTCCTTGCTCAGCTAGCTAAACGGCTAACAAACGGAGAACACACGCCTCGGTAGAACATGAACATTGGAACACGTCTTGGCGGCTCCCGATGACGTATCTCCTAGGCTACCGGGACGGGACGGGACCAAGACATCAAGGCGAGGTTCTTTGACATTGAGAAAAGTCCGTGGTGTCTAATGTGGCGTCGCCCAGAGACCTCGACCAGCTCTCGCGTATTTTAGACCTGATTTTTATGGTTATACAGTACAGACCAAAAGTTTGGATGCACCTTCTCATTCAATGTGTTTTGTTTATTTTCATGACCATGACCATTTACAAAGGGGCCAACAAGTGCTAAACACCTCTGGGAGCTCCTTCTGTTGGAAAACCATTTCAGGTGAAGCTCATCAAGAGTGTGCAAAGCAGTAACCAGAGCAAAGGGTGGCCATTTAGAAGAGAATCTAAAACATCTTTCAGTTATTTTTTAAGTACATAACTCCTCGTGTGTTCATTCATAGTTTTGATGCCTTCAGTGAGAATCTCCCAATGTAAATGGCCATGAAGATAAAGACAACACACTGAAGGAGAAGGTGTGTCCACACCTTTGGCCTGTACTGTACGTTACGAAGCCGCCAATATTTTTCAACAACTGGGCATCATTTCAGTTGTTTTCAACAACATTTTGATGGATATTTTCTGATTAACAGTGAAAACTACACATTGTCGCTTTAAAGATGATTAATATTAGTGGCTGATATTGGTATTAAAATGTAATATTGGAAATGATTGGCTCTGGGTTTTACTGTTTTATTGACCCAACTTTTACATCATGTACACACATTATTCATGAAACCCTCCTCTCACTGAAAATGTGAAAACACGTCCGATCTGAGGTTTCGAGATAGTTTTGTTTGGCACGACTCGGCTAACTTAAGTTGGAAGAGGTTTGGCTCAGGTAACGTTTAAAATTTAAGTATAATAGGAGATATAAAAGCGAATAGAATACAATAGTGTTTACTTTCATTTCCCTGAAGGTAAAACGTAATTGTACCACGAGGAGTAAAAATAAAAAAAGTTAAATAAAAATAATAAAAACACATTAAACGGTGCAAAAACACAGAAATATTATGAGGTAGAAGATCAGGATAAAACACAATAAAAACGTGATGTTAATTACCTGAAATTATTTAGTTTTTCTTTTTTATGAGGGGGATCCTCTCCAATTGTTGGTGTTGGATTAAATCGGGATCCGTTATAATAGATCAGCATAACGGATAGTGGTTAAAAGATGACCTCAAACGTCTATAAGTTATGTCGATCCCCAGTGAGTCGTGGAGGATGGCTGCTTATACTGAGCCAGGATCCTCTGGAGGTTTCCTCCTGTTGAAAGGGAGTTTTCCTCTCCACTGTCGCTATATGCTTGCTATGAGGATTGCTGTAAAGTCACTGACACTGGTCAATTTGCTGGGTTCCTTATATAGGAAACATTATTTCTGATTGGCTTAATGAACTGACCTGAATTGGAATGTTTATTATGTGAAGTGCCTTGAGACGACTCTTGTCGTGATTTGGTGCTAAATAAATAAACTTGAATTGAATGTAAAGGAACGTTGCTAAGCTGAGTCCCGTTCTGTCCCGCTCTGAACTTGAGACAGTTCTCCACACCTTCATCTCCTCACGCTTAGACTACTGTAACTCTCTTTTCACGTGTCTGAGCAGAACCTCCCTGAACCGTCTACAGGTGGTTCAGAACGCCTGTGCTCGGCTTCTGACCAAGTCCTCCAAACACACCCACATCACCCCGCTTCTCCTCCAGCTTCACTGGCTGCCAGTCAACTTCAGGGTTCATTTCAAGATCCTGGTTCTGGTCTATAGGGCCTTACATGGACAAGCACCATCTTACATTGGTGATCTTCTTAGTCCCTACACCCCCAGCAGGTCCCTGAGGTCCAGTGATCAAAGCCTACTGGTTGTGCAGCACCAGGCTAAAGGTCAAAGGTGACAGATCATTTGCTGCTGTGGCCCCCAGACTCTGGACCTCTCTCCCCCTGAGCCTGAGATCAGTGGACTCAGTGGTCTCCTTTAAAAAGCAGCTGAAGACTCACTTGTTCAAGCTGGCTTTTGTATGACCTTCTTCACCTCTCTCTCTTTATTCTGCTCTCCCACCTATTCCACCTTCCTCAGGATCCACTGGTTTCCCTCTTCCCTAGTCACTCTCTCTCTTTCTTAAAATTTTTTAAACATTTTCTAAATGCTTTTTTTATATTTTTACATTTTCTTGAGAGGCGCTATAGAAATGATCTTTTCTTCTAAAGTAATTAATACAAAAACTCAATTCTGTTCTCAACAATTCAGCTTTTTCCATTTTATTTAACTTTGCTGCAAATCTCTTTCAGTGATTTAATCATATCAAGCATCTATGAGAGAACTCACCTAGCCCACACACATGCTGGGTGGACAGGTGGTTTATTTTAAACCACCGGTGGTTTGTGTCAACTTGTTCACCCTCCCAACAAACACAGTCAGCTGTTCAGACGTGTCCGTTCTCTTCTGCTTCCATGTGTTCAAGTTTGAGTTCTTTAGGTCACTTCTCCTTGTTTTATGTTTTATTTTTATTTCTCCTCCTCCCCCCGTCAGGCATCGACTTTAAGGTGAAAACCATCGACGTGGACGGGAAGAAAGTGAAACTACAAGTATGGTGAGATTGTGATTTTTATTCTGTGGAGTTATTTTTGATTCTGTGAAGTAGATGGCCGGTTTCTTCAACGGCATCACACTTCCTGGTTTCATCCCGGTGTTCCTGAGATTAATGAGGAATTTTCCTCTCGACACCTCGTGTAAGACGACGAGTGACGCGTTTTCCCTTTTGAATGAATTTTTGGGTTTAGGGACACGGCGGGGCAGGAGAGGTTCAAGACCATCACGACGGCCTACTACAGAGGAGCCATGGTGAGATTGGGATGAAATAATCTGACCTCCTCTCCTTTTGTTTGACTCCTCTCCTGCGTGTGCTGCAGGGCATCATCCTGGTTTACGACATCACAGATGAAAAGTCCTTCGAGAACATACAGAACTGGATGAAGAGCATCAAAGAAGTGAGTCCGTTCAAAGAATTTCCTGTTCCCGTGTTTGTGATTTGAAGTTCATTTCTGGAATGTTTGGTCAGATCTCCTGCAAACAAGTCACGTCTGATACACGTATCGGTGAGCTGTGATTGGCTGCTGTAATCGTCGGTGTTTACCTGAACTAGAATGTAATGTGCCGTCTGAATCTTATCCTTTTAGCCCTTCATGTTGGCTTTTCCTCATTTTTAGGCCGGAAAAATGACAATGAATTTAAAAATAAAATAAAATCAGGGTCTTTTTTTGGTGGATCAGCACCTTCAAATCTGAGACCATGGTTCTCGACCGGGAAAGGGTGGCTTGCCAACTCCGGGTCGGGGGAGAGGTCCTACCTCAAGTGGAGGAGTTTAAGTATCTCGTGGTCTTGTTCACGAGTGAGGGTAGGAGGGATCGGGAGATCAACAGGCGGATTGGTTCGGCGTCTGCAGTGATGCGGACGCTGAGCCGATCTGTCGTGGTGAAGAGGGAGCTGAGCCAGAAAGCCAGGCTCTCGATTTACCGGTCGATCTACGTCCCAATCCTCACCTATGGTCATGAGCTTTGGGTAATGACCGAAAGAACGAGATCGCGGATACAAGCGGCCGAAATGAGTTTCCTCCGTAGGGTGGCCGGGCTCAGCCTTAGAGATAGGGTGAGGAGCTCGGACATTCGGGAGGGGCTCAGAGTAGAACCGCTGCTCCTCCGGACCGAAAGGAGTCAGTTGAGGTGGTTTGGGCATCTGGTCAGGATGCCTCCTGGACGCCTCCCTGGGGAGGTGTTTCGGGCATGTCCTGCCGGCAGGAGGCCCCCGGGTCGACCCAGGACACGTTGGAGAGGTTACATCTCCAATCTGGTCCGGGAACGCCTTGGGGTCCTGCCGGAGGAGCTGGTGGAGATGGCCGGGGAGAGGACGGTCTGGAGCTCCCTAGTTGGGATGCTGCCCCCGCGACCCGGACCCGGATAAGCGGAGGAAGATGACGACGACTTTTTTTTTGGTTTTTTTAAACATCCATTCAGTTGGTAATCGTGCATTTTGACCATTGACTGTTCAATGCTGGACAAACCCCACCCACAGCGTTCTGTAGGGCATTTTGAAGCCAATTGGGTGGTTCCGATCACCGCCATCGTGGCCGTGTCTCACGTCTCATCACGCCCAGACAGTCCAAAAATTCCACGACTATCCTGTCGTGTAAACTGGATTTAAGCCTCCAGATGAGATTCACCTGAGATTTTTAGACCCAAATTGAATAAATGATGGCATTTCTGTCTAGTTCATAAAACCTTGCCAACCAAGCTGCCTTTCTCTAGTTAGGTGCAGTTTGCAGCGGGGGCTCGCTGCTTGCTCATTTTTAAATACCGTCAGTTACTCTGAGTTTGACGTGCATGCAGAACGTGAAAATAGCCTTCAATTAACATTTTCTGCATTAGCCGCCGAACGGAAGTGGACCTTCCTCAGGTCAGAAAAAGCCACGCAGATCTACGTCACACTGTAAACGTGCATTCATGGACTCGCCTATGACGGCCATGTTGATTTAGTAGTCAGGAGAGAGCAGAGAGTGTCTCGGCTTGTAGAAGCTAACCATTAGCGTTAGCAACTCCACAACATGGCGGAAGCTGCTCAGCTTGTGCTGTTTGTGGAAATAAAACATCAACGCTACATTTTTTTACCCAAGAAAAAAGAGCAAATGGAGGCAGCGGAAGAGTGGTGTTACTGTTAGCCCACTAGAAATGCTACATTTGCATATCATGAATATTAATGAGTAAGAATTACAGTTCTGTAGTTTTACATCCCCCATTCTCCTGACTAATATCTACTTCCTGAAACAGGAGCGCCAGAGCATTAATTTCCACGAGAAACCACAGCAGATTTATTGAAATAACAAATGTGCACCTCCTTTAAATGCGTGAATTTCAAGAAAAAACGAAAGAACGAGATCGCGGATACAAGCGGCCGAAATGAGTTTTCTCCAAAGAGTGTCTGGGCTCTCCCGTAGAGATAGGGTGAGAAGCTCGGCCATCCGGGAGGGACTCGGAGTAGACCCGCTGCTCCTCCACATCAAGAGGAGCCAGTTGAGGTGGCTCGGGCATCTGGTCAGGATGCCTCCTGGACACCTCCCTGGTGAGGTTTTCCAGGCACGTCCAACTCGGAGGAGACCCAAGGGAAGACCCAGGACTCGCTGGAGGGACTGTGTCTCTCAGCTGACCAGGGAACGCCTTGGGATTCCCCCGGAGGAGCTGGCCCAAGTGGCTGGGGAGAGGGAAGTCTGGGTCTCTCTGCTTAGGCTACTGCCCCCACGACCCGGCCCTGGATAAGCACCCAAAAATGGATGGATGTAAGAATTTCAAGAAAAACCCTCCTAATGTAAATTCCTGTTGTATTTGACATGGTGGAGCTGCAGTCTGCTTCCAACACCTTTCCTGCATGTTTTAGGTCACAAACATAGCTTATTTGTTTGATTTGGTGATGAATCGCTCCTCTAGAAAATAATGAAAGCTGAGGAGAAATTTCAGCGTTTAGGGAGGAGGTAAGTTTTATTTTTGGTTTACCCACAGTGAATTAGTAACAGAGACCAGGAGGCGCTAAAAGCAAGCAAAGCAGCCTAGTATCCCTTTAAGGGGTTCGACTGGGGGTTAAACCCCCAAATGGTTCCCGAGCACGGCCGTGTCTGCAGCTCACCACTCCCCACGGGGACGGGTCAGAAGCAGAGAAGACGTTTCACATGCCAGTACAACAACTAGTGAGTCTTTATCATTTTTGTCCGGTTCATACTCGATCCCGCTCAGTACCAACAAATAAAATGACCAACTCCGCCCTGTTCATGGTTCATTTTATGTTTTCTCAAAGGGAAATCGTAGAGAATTTGTCATTTTTCTAATCTAATCTCGGAGCTCGGAAGAATCTCACAGAGCTTGAAAAGTGTAAAAAAAAACCTCGTAGTGGGGAACTCCACGCTGCAAGACAAACCTTAAACAAATATGGCGGCGTAACCCGCCAAACCGGATTAGATGATTCGCTGTTGGCCGGTTTCTCTCTGTGAGATTTTAGATCCCAACACATTCTCACACCCTAAGCGTCGGAAACAAACGCTTGGTCAGCCACCCTCCACGTCAGACCTATGACGCCAAAAATGCCCTTTTTCGGGGTTTTTCCCTTTTGTAACTGCAGATCCCAATGCAGCGTAAAACTGATGTGATGGGATATCCGCTGATGCGGCACCGAACCAGCTCATTTAACCGCTCCTAAACCTTAACGTTTCACTATTTATAACCTTCCCCTCACCCTCATCCTAACCTTAACCCTCTTGCTACCTAAAGCGTTACTCTCACTGTGATCGAGCGTTTGTTTCCCGTTCATTCAGACTCTGACAGTCAGAGTCTGACTGTGAATTTTCGTATTTGCCGCCCAAGGGGAACGTTAGAACATACCATCTGGCGAGGGGGAGGTTACAAATACCCTCTACTTTTAACCTCCACCGTGGTAGTTGAAACCTCCCCCTCGCGTTGGCTCGGTCCAAACTCGACCAATGACAAGGCGGCTTCCGCCGTTCACTTCATAGAGCCGGCTTTTAGAGCGACCGACACATCACTAACGTGTTCGCTAGCAAGATGGTTAAGGTTAGGATAGGGGTGAGGGGAAGGTTAAATAAGAGGATAAGGTTAGGGTGAGGTACAATGAGCTTGTTTGGTGCCCCGGCTGCGGACATCCCATCGCGTCAGTGTAACGCTGCATTGGGATCTGCAGTTACAAAAGGGGAAAACCCCTTTTCGCACATAAGTAACGAAAAAGGGCACTTTTGGCGTCATAGGTCTGACGCGGAGGGTGGCCGACCAAGCGTTTGTTTTTGACGCGCTGGGAGTGAGAATGTGTTGTAGATCCAGAAAACGTTAAAGTGTGACTTTTTTAACTTAAAAACCAGGTCAGTCTTTAGCTGATTCAAAAGTCACAGTAACAAATGTTTGTAGCGGCACAGCTTCAACACAAGTCAACCAGCAAAAACAAAATTTGAAGTTTAGCTGACCATAAATTAAAGCTTTCATTTCCAAACGCCTCTAACAGTCACCAGACTCCTGCTGCAGCCACCAGCGTCTCCGTTTAGGACAAAAAGGGTAAAAATACCCTGAAATGTTGCGGTTGATTAACTCCTTCTCCTGTTTCCCAGAATGCATCAGCCGGAGTCAGTCAGATGCTCTTAGGTAACAAGTGCGACATCGAGGGGAAGCGGAAAGTCTTGAAAGAGACCGGAGCAGGGGTGAGAGGACTTCAGTTAACCTTTATTCAGCTCTACTGGGAGGTTTAACTGGTTTGGATGCAAAATCAGCTGAATTGTGACAAGAGAGGAAGGAGGAAGGAAGTGTCTGTAATGTACCAGAGCTTTATTTACTTTAGATAAGAACCAGGATGTGCTCCTGGCCATGTAGTCTAACCAGCAGCTCTGTCGTTGCAGCTGGCAGAGAGACATGGTATCAGATTCTTCGAGACCAGCGCAAAGTCCAGCATTAACGTGGAGGAGGTGAGCCGTGACTGTGACTTCATAACTGATTTACCTCCTCAGGTCTTGATCAGTGTGTTCGGTGTTTATACGCTACAAATATAACCTTCGTCTGTGCTTTCATTTTCTTCCTCGTAGTCGTTTCAAGCGTTGGCGTTGGACATACTTCATAAATCCACCAAGAAGACGGTACGTCAAAGCAGAGTTTGGCTGAAACATCAGCTGCTTTACAAACACGAAATAAAAAACGGGAGTTTTTTAACGGTTGTTTTTTATTTGCTGTGCAGAGCCAGACAGGAAAAGAGGTCAAAATCACCAGCAGCACAGCGAAAAGCCCATCAAAGTGTGTTATTCTTTAGATCCCGCTTCTGCGAGACGCCACAGGGCAGGTCGTCAAGGAAAAGTGTTTCTGTCTCCGTCTAGTGGTCTGCCTTTCAAACACAGCTGAGAGTCTGCTTGTAGAACAAAATGTCTTCACTCTTTCAGTTTGGAAACTTCCAGAGGTGGAAAGTAACGAATTACATTTACTCAAGTTACTGTAATTGAGTAGCTTTTTTGTATATTTATACTTTTTAAGTCGTTTTTAAAATCTGTACTTTTACTTTTACTTGAGTAAGTTTTTAAAAAGAATTGTAATTCTCTACATTTTATATCATATCCATTACTGAGTAAAAACAAATTGCAGGCTTAATAAATTAAAAATATTGCGTGTCGGAACAGAAAGAGACACCTGCATGAGCGCCGTGTCTAAACCATGTGTGTGTGTGTGGGGGGGGATTCACTTTGATATAATGAGGACAAACGGCCATTTTTACCACTGTCTTGCTCAAAAACATCAGTTCAGTCCCTGTGATCCACTCGCTGTTTACCTCCTCTCTCCCTCCTCTCCCGTGGGTTGCAACCCGCACCTTCGCGCTCCGGTGTTACGTCATCAAAATTCTGCTCGGTTCGGTAGCCGGACTCGGTTCCATGTTTGAAATGTGTTTCCCCAACCGCTCCGCACAGCAGTAGCAAAATAACGTTTAGCGCTCATAACAAGCGGATTCTCGGCGTTTTGCGCACACGAGCGATGGTAAACTGGCGTCGTGATTTTGCACTACTTAGATGTAGCCATCCTTACGCTGACAAAAATGTAACTAAGTAACTTTTACTTTGAGTACATTTTATTTACGATATTTTTAACTTTTACTTGAGTAAAAATTTAGGCAAGTACTTTTACTTGTACTTGAGTAAAATATTATCAAAGTATTGGTACTCGTACTTAAGTAGGACATTTCAGTACTCTTTCCACCTCTGGAAACTTCTATGAATTACAAGACACCCAGGTTAATTTATTGTTATGAGATGTTACTGTTGTTCCAAGTTCAGCAGACTTTCTGCCAGATTTATGCGATTACACACACGAGAGTGTCCCGATGAGTTCAGAAGCCTTCCTTGTTTTCGTAGTTTTAATCCCATTCGTTATCACAGTAAGGCATTAGCAGCGCTTAGCAGGTGAAAGTTGGACTTTAAAATCAACCCCTGCATTTGTAAGTGTTGTGCAAAGTCTGCAGAGCACAATGTGTAGCTAATATGGAACGCCATGCAGGTCCAAAACGCACAAACTTATGTGTCTCATAAAAAGTACGCGTTGCTAATGCACAAACAACACGTAAAGAACACGTACTTTACACGTGAGGAGTTCACGTGTATTCAAGCCTCCAAATAGCACGTGTGTTGCATCTACAACGTGTTGACCAATCGGTGTTTGAGAGTTGTTAACGCATTGATTACGTGTTTTTTGTTTGGTTTGAAAGCGCACGCCTCCTCACATGTAAAGTATGTTGTTGGTGTTTTTTTGTTAGTTTTTTCTCGTGTCCTGTCCGGCTGTAAAGCAATCAGAATCGATGTTTGAGTGCCTAAAACGAGCCTTAAGCCCGCGGCACACCGGAGGCAGACGCGCCGCGTCCGCGGTTTTGAGAAGTCAAGTGGTCACACAGGATGCGCCACGTTGCGCCGCTGGGCGCTTCTTGGAAAGTCGCACAATAGTCACAACATCGCGTGGGACTTGAAAACAAGTGGGAAGTGACTCTATTGTTTTTACGCGATCAAACTCATGTCAGTTCTCTTGTTGGCTCTTCCTTCTTCCATCTCAGGAACGTTGCTAAGCTGAGTCCCATTCTGTCCCGCTCTGAACTTGAGACAGTCCTCCACACCTTCATCTCCTCACGCGTAAGCCCTTTTCAGAAAGACATTCTGGAACATTTGCGGACAATTCAATCCGTTTTTTAACCGGAACTGTGTTTTCAGACACACCACTTTTGTACCGGAACTTGTCCTTTCGGCTGCGTTCACACAGCAGGGAAAAGTTCCAGATGTCTGACGGTGGGGGGGAGAATCGGACTTATGTTAAGAAGAAGAAGAAGAAGAAAATATCATTCCTATAGCGCCTCTCAAGATAAAAATCACGAGGCGCTTAAGCATAATTCTGCGCACACGAAGACGCATAGGAGACGTGGATGATGAAGCTCCATGGTTAAAGGAATCACTGAAGCGGTGTGAAGCGCTCCGTCGCGTGTCTAGACGGTACCGTAGGAGGCGAGCTGCCGTGGTTCGCCGCATGCTACAGCAGCGGGCTATCTAGGTGCGCACAGCGTCCCCGGTCCCCTCCTCCTCCCCCTCCCTCTTGTCCGGAACTCTACCTCACCAGTCTGAAGCAGCCACCCTGTCCGTAACAAGTCCGGACCTGTTACTAGGGCTTCGTCCGGATAAATTCTGGAACACGTTATCCGGATGTTTGTATTCAGACTCAAAGGACTTACGGACAGAGTCCGGAACATTTCCGTTTTTCATGGCCTGTCTGAAGGGGGCTTTAGACTACTGTAACTCTCTTTTCACGTGTCTGAGCAGAACCTCCCTGAACCGTCTACAGGTGGTTCAGAACGCCTGTGCTCGGCTTCTGACCAAGTCCTCCAAACACACCCACATCACCCCGCTTCTCCTCCAGCTTCACTGGCTGCCAGTCAACTTCAGGGTTCATTTCAAGATCCTGGTTCTGGTCTATAGGGCCTTACATGGACAAGCACCATCTTACATTGGTGATCTTCTTAGTCCCTACACCCCCAGCAGGTCCCTGAGGTCCAGTGATCAAAGCCTACTGGTTGTGCAGCACCAGGCTAAAGGTCAAAGGTGACAGATCATTTGCTGCTGTGGCCCCCAGACTCTGGACCTCTCTCCCCCTGAGCCTGAGATCAGTGGACTCAGTGGTCTCCTTTAAAAAGCAGCTGAAGACTCACTTGTTCAAGCTGGCTTTTGTATGACCTTCTTCACCTCTCTCTCTTTATTCTGCTCTCCCCACCTATTCCACCTTCCTCAGGATCCACTGATTTCCCTCTTTCCTGTTCACTCTCTCTCTTTCTTTACATTTTTTTACCACAATTGTCTATTTTTTGCTCATTTTCAATATATTTTTAATCATTTTCTAAATTCTTTTTTTATATTTTTACATTTTTTGTTTTTGTGAAGCACCTCGTGATTTTTGTCTTGAGAGGCGCTATAGAAATGATGTTTTCTTCTTCTTCTTCTTCTTCTTCTTCTTCTTCTTCTTCTTCTTCTTCTACTATTACGATATTTAAGATCAAGTACTTTAAAGTTATCAAAACTGCGGCTTGGTTTGTGCCGTGAAGCCGTCCTGCATCGAATCTCTGTTGTGTAGTACGCCACAACGTTGTAAACAGCCGCCGTGCCGCCTGAGATAGAACTGGTGCTTATCTTCAGCGGCGCCACTTGTGTAACCACTCTCATTAACTATAACGGCTTCTATTTAAAATGGCGGCGCGGCGCCTCCGGTGTGCCCCAGGCTTTACAGGTGGAGCGTTATGGGTTCAGCTAATGCCCCGCCTGATATCAAAAGTTTATTAGAGATGCTTTCGGTTGTTTTTAATCTCAATGAACACGGAGACAGAAATGAAAGAGAAAGGGGGGAGAGGAGTGGAAGAGGTGGGGGGTTCACAAAAAAATAACAGAGGATGTACGAGAACCTGCTTCTAGACCTGCAGAAAGAGAGAGAGCAAAAAAGGGAACACACAGTGATACAACAGAATGAAAGATATCACTGCGCCAACAACATGAGGATAGATGACAGTAATGATTTTAGCTGAAAGGCACACAGTAAAAATTCATAGTGCGTTTAGTGCCAACCGCAGCCTTAGGTCATGAGCCAAAACCGCCCGAGTCCACACTTGTGAGAGCACCTGTGTGCGTACACGTGCAGTACATGTTGCTGAAGCTTCGTTTGCATTTTCATGATGCATACTTTTCTGTAATAGAAACAAAAAAATGTACCTGCTTTTGGCCCACCTGGCGTTCCATAGATGGTCGCCATTCCGTTCAATGGGTTTGAGTGAGCAGCAGCATGTGTTGGATGAGTCCCAGCACCCCGAGTCTGTTTTTACACACTTCGCTTCCAGAACACGTCAAGCTCAGCAGTTTAGATCGGGCCAGACAGGAAATCCCACATGTGGAAATTTCAAAATAAAAGTCACTCACCATTTTTCTATTGCTTAATTGTTAAAAAATGAATATGTCATTTCCAGTGACAGGTCTCTGGTGGAGTTAAAAAGAACAAAAAATGTGTCTTTCTCCTGTAATCTCAGGAATCACACATGATCTCAGAAATCTCCTGTGATTTTGTGATTTCACTGGAACACCTGTGTGGAATGCATTCACAGCCGCTGAGCTCCTGAAACGCTCCCGATGGGAAGGGACGCACCGTAGAGGTGCATCTGGTGCAAAGCTATAGGTAAAACATTTAATTTAAGGATTCAAAGAATTAAAACGCCTCAAACTCATTTAAATATCACAGAAAATGACTGAGATTGTATTCATTTTAATTGGCAGTTTAAGTTTATTGGTTCATTTTATTCAAACTTTCTTTGTCTCAAATATTCAGTCTTATGAAACACATTTTGTTTTTAATAAAACACATTAGGAAAGTGTTTAAACACTAAATATCAGTGTTTACTATCACGTTTAACCATGGACGTAATTTGGGGGGGGGGGGGGGGGGGGGGCAGGGGGGACATGTCCGCCCCACTTTTTCCAAAGTCAAGTTTTGACCCCTGCACTTTTTACCATTCAAAAACAATATTACGCCATATTAAATTGACACTGGTTGAGCAGAAAACAACCGTTTGTGTTGAAGCCTGTTTCCCATTAGAGCATACTGTAAAGACCCCCCCCCCCCCCTAAAGTGAAAATTACGTCCATGCGTTTAACCCTGAAATGTGTTTGTTCCTACAAAGTGTTGAACACTGCTGCATTAAGGTGAACAGCAAAGATGCGATTCGTTATTAAAGATCCTGATTTAATGCTTTTCTAGAGCTCTTCATTAGTGAATGGCATTAGAATAATGCTCTGCCGTGTGGTCAACAGTTCTTGTTTTAATCAAGAAGTCTGATGAGAATGTGGAAGGGTGAGAATAGAGAAACGTGCAATATGAGATGTTGAGTAGAGTGGCAGATGGTTAAAGGAAGTGTGTGGAAGGGGTGAGAGAGCTAAGAAGCACGCACACACACACACACACACACACACACACACACACACACGCACGCACACACACGCTGGTGTGAATTGATTTAATGGGTCTTGCCTTTTAACTGAACTGCCTGAACACTGCTCCATCTTGCACGATGGCCTCACTGCTCAGTTTTATTTCATTTACAGCGACTCTGATTTAAACGTGTTGATTTGATGTTGAACACTGTTTTCTGCCCTCAGACTCTCCTTTTTGTGTAATTTTGCACATTTTCTTTTCACGTCTAGAGCAGCCAACAATCTTTGTAAGTAGCTTCCAGATCGGATGCATCACAAATAAAGAAATAAAACAGTTTCTTGTGATTTTATTCTATAATCTTAAAGTGACAGTGTGTATGTTTCTTGGCGATAGGGGGCAGTAGATACCTAAATTGTTGCAAGCAAGCAGTATTTTTGTGTTGGAATAAGACCTTACCAATGGATGCCTATTAGGGTCAAAAAGCCCTCGGGTGTGCAAACTTTAGCAAAAAAACAAGCACATCAGACTCCCTTTCATTGCTGGCAACAAGTGAAGAAGTAAATGTATAGAACAACAACAATTCACTGCCAATGACGTCGTCATTTGCATGTTTTTACTGTGTGGGCGTCGGACGAGCCCCCGCACCGTGAGAACAAACATCTCAGCTCTAAAGCCGATCTTCATCCGCGTACGTCACACGTCACGTGATCAGGAAGCAGAACATCCATGTGTTAGGAGATCGATTTGGGCCGCTGCTGTAAAAAAAGTGAGGCGTGAACCAGAAAAGGTTCTGCCGATCACAATTCAACAACGGATTATGAAAGAACGGATAACGCTCGAAACGCGCGGATTCTTCCTGATGTAAGAGGTGAGTCTCCTCTTTGTTTTGGTTGTTTTGGCGTCGACATCATCCTAGCATGCAACATTCTGTCCCTCTTTAAAAAACTGTAAAAACGGTGAGAAACGCTGGCAGCGAAGGGCTTTACCGATCAAGAAATGGCTGGCCGTGAATGCGAAGAATGGCGAAAGTTTTGTAACCGTTTGTTACAAATCAGTAGGTGCATTTTGTTCTCATGGGCTCCCGTAGAAAGAAACATGGCGTCGCCCAGAGACTTGAGGTGTTTCTCAATGTCAAGGCGCCTGGCCTTGCGAGGCGATGTTTTGCCAGACACCTTGCTTACGAGGACACCATCCTTCCTTGGTCAAAGAAAACGGTTAAATGGAACAGACTTGCTTCACGTCTTTGGATCTAAAAAAACATTTTGAATTAGCTGACTTACTTTTAAACTTGAAAATTGTCCCCGAAGTAGCTGCAGGCTTCTGATCCGCCGTCTTTTTGAAAATACCGCAGTGTGTTCTGGGTAATTTTTGACCAAGGCTAGGCTACAAGACACCTCCATCCTTGCTCATCTAGCTAAACGGCTAACAAACGGAGAACACACGCCTCGGTAGAACATGAACATTGGAACACGCCTTGGTGGTTCCTGATGGCGTATCTCCTAGGCAACCAGGGCGGGGCTAAGACATCAAGGTGAGGTTCCTTGGCATTGAGAAACACCCGTAAACCCGCTCCCGTGTATTTCAGACCAGATTTTTATGGTTATATGTTACGAAGCCGCCAATATTTCTCAACAACTGGACATTGCGTCATTCATTTTCAACATTTTAATGGTAGAAACTACACGATGTCTCTTTAAATGATGTTGGTCACTTTAATGTCTATTTAACTGAATTTTGTTAGATGTTCTAAGGTGGAAAATTGCCCCTTCGCCAAAAAAAAAGAACAAATAATTTGAAGACCTGGCATTGCTGATCCTGCTGAGATTAAGTTATAAATACGTGCAGTCTCATTCAAAGTCTCAACATGTGACAGGATGTGTTGGCACTCGGACGGCTCTGAGCTAACTAACCACATCTTAGGCCAATGTTTGTGTTTGTTAAAGCCATCAGCTCAGGTGGAAGGGTTGGCTTTGGTTTGGCTCTGAAATCATGTTTTATATTTTGAAGAGGAATTAATGTTATGTTTATACCGTTTGCTGCAGCAGGAGCCGGGGATTGTCGCTAGGCAACCACCCCTCCTCCCCAGCATCAGCAGCATGGCAGAGTGCGCGCGCCAACTGCCGCATCTCGATGTTGCCCGCACGTTCTGCGTGCCTTGTCATCACGCAGGGAAGGTTTTGGTTTGCAAACACTTTCTTCTGCTAGAAGAGGAAGAGGAGCAGAAGAAGAGAGGGAGGGAGCGCCCGGAAAAGGAAATTAAAGATTCAGGATGATTTGATCGCAGATGTTAAAGTCAGCTGTGTTCCTGTGTTTGGACGCCGTGAGGTAAACTGGTGCGCGAGCTGAACGGGATGCCCTCGTGACTGCAGGAAGAAAGGAGGAGGGGGAGGGAGAGGGGGGGAGGTGATGGTGGACCCTGAGGTGGAGTTGTTGAAGATTAAAACCTGTGAGGAGATCCTCGGTGTCCGGATGAAAGATTTTTATTTTCGTCCCTCCCGGGACGTTCACTCTCCTCCCGGTCGAGCCGACAGCCTCTCCGGTCTCTAACCGTGACTGGATCTCCTAAGGTCGTAGGGTTGGTGGTGGTGGGGGGGAGAAGCGGGGAAAGGAGGAGCTCACAGGTTTCGACGTTGTTCTCCATCACCGAACGACGAAATCACCGCCTGTCGCCCGAAACCCGCAGGAGCCGCTCACTCCGGGATGCTGTAGGATTCTGCGGCCGCGGGTCTCCGGTTACCGCAATGCCACACGGCCGAGAGGAGGAGGTGGAAGAGGGACCGCGGAGAGGTCGCACGCCTCTAGAGTAAAGATTTAATGCTGAGGGCGGACGGAGCGGGAGGATGGCACAGGCTGTACTTTCTGCGCTCCGGGTGGTGATGGACACCGCGGATGAACTCGGGCTGAAACGTCAAACGGGGTGATTACGGCGGCTGTCCCTGAATAGTGGCTGCTCTATAACCAACTTTCTGCTGACGAAGTTCTTGGACTCGCTGACCGGTCCGCGCAGTTTGCGCCATGGGACGCTGCGGAGGAACTATTGCGCCGGACAGCTGAGAGTTTGGCGCATGATTGTGAGACAAAGCGTTTATGCCCGTTTTCTTCTGCTCTGCTGCTTATCTGTCCACACGCGTTGTTCTATGAACTCAGAGCGAGTTTAGAACATCTCCTCCTTACACACACACACACACACACACACACACACACACACACACACACACACACACACACACACACACACACACACACACACACACACACACACACAAACATGCCCTCACGTTCAGATTCCAGCAGCGTGGCCTCTGGGTCTCGGGGTTGGTCGGACAGCCGTAGAGGCGTGTCGGACCGAGCTGGTGGGGCACGGCTGCTCCTCTACCTGGGTCTGTGCCACCTGGGTCTCGGAGCCATGGTGCTGGCCTTCTCCTTCACCAGCATGGCCTTCACCTCCTCCGCCCGCGTGAGGCAGTCCTGTCCATTCTGGGCCGGTTTCTTTGTAAGTCTGACAGGAAACGTTAGCAGTGAAATAAGATCAGACGTGTTGGTGAGCGTTTCGTGTGTTATCCAGGTGGTGGCATCAGGAATAGTTGGAATAATCTCCTGGAGGCGACCTTTGACCCTGGTGGTATGGTTGATTTCATTGAATGCTTTGCATCCATGTTGTGGCTTAAAAAGTGGGTTTAAATCATGTTTGAAAAGTAATTTGTCTCACATTTGCATGTTTTTGTCCTTCCTGACAAGTCTCCTTGCGTGTCCTCTCGTGTCGTCTGCTCGGGCAGCTTTAATATCCTGCTCTAAATCAGGCGTCGTCTCTGCACCTCTGAACAGGTGTCGCTGTTCATGCTGCTGTCTGCGGTGTGTGTGATCCTCAGCCTGGCCGGCTCGATGCTCTCCTGTCAGAACGCACAGATGGTCAAGTCTATGCTCACCTGTCAGGTGTGTGAACCGCCGTCATCTTGCCCCGGTGTGTCCTTCTCTCTCCAGACACACGGAAAACGTGCCGGGGTTAGTTTGGAGGTGTGCAGGTTGGTGCTTCCTGGTCATTTACGGTGATGTGTGTGCAGGTGGAGAACGGCCTGTGTGTGTGTTGTTCACACACTCAGGACTGCTCCATAGAAAAGGAGGATACACTGGTCCTGTACCTGAATGTGGACTGCCACGCAGTCAGACACCAGCTAAAGGTACGTGACTCACAAGTATTTGCCTTGTTGCAGGTTTTCCTTGAGATGTTTTGGCAGTAATCAGGTTTTAGGATTTACCATGGAGGCTAATCACTTTTTCACATTGCACATGGTTGGTTTGGACAGCTGACGTTTGGTGTGTAATCCATGCGTGGTACGTAAAAGTCTTCATTAAGAGTCAAAACCGTACAGATCATTTATGATATTACATAAATCTTATCTGCCGATAATATCGGACGTTCCAACTTTTTACCCTTGAAAATGAAATCATCACGTGATGATGATGATGGTCGCCCAGCCTAAGCAGAGACCCACACCTCCCTCTCCCAGCCACTTGGGCCAGCACCTCCGGAGAAATCACAAGGTGTTCCCTGGCCAGCCGAGAAACGGTCTCTCCAGCGTGTCCTGGGTGTTCCTTTAGGTCTCCTTCTGGTTGGACGTGCTCGTCAAACCTCACCAGGAGGCATCCTAACCAAATGTCCGAACCACCTCAACAGGCCCCTCTCAATGTGGAGGAGCAGCGGGTCTACTCTAAACCCCTCCCAGATGACTGAGCTTCTCACCCTATCTCTGCAGAGAAGACTCTTTTCTGCCGCTCGTATCCGTGATCTCGTTCTTTCGGTCACTACCCAAAGCTCGTGACCATAGGTGAGGGTCAGAACGTAGCTCGACTGGTAAATCGAGAGCTTTGCCTTCCGACTCAGCTCTCTCTTCACCACGACAGATCGGTACAACGCCCGCATCACTGCAGACGCGGCACCAATCCACCTGTGGATCATCCCTGACCCGGAGAAGACATTCTACCCTTTTCCAACTCAAGACCATGGTCTCAGATTTAGAGGAGCTGATTCTCATCCCAGCTGCTTCACACTCGGCTGCGAACCGCTCCAGCGAAAGCTGAAGATCACGTTCTGATGAAGCCAACAGGACCACATCATCTGCAAAAAACAGAGACCTGATCCTCAGGCCACCAAAACGGATCTCCTCCACACCTTGGCTGCGCCTAGAAATCCTGTCCATAAAGGTTATGAACAGAATCGGTGACAAAGGGCAGCCTTGGCGGAGTCCAACTCTCACCGGGAACGAGCCCGACTTACTGCAGGCAATGCAGATCAAGCTCTGACACCGATCATACAAGGACCTAACAGCCCGTATCAGAGGGCCTGGTACCCCATACTCCCGGAGTACCCCCCCCCCCCGGATAACCTTCCAGGTGTTAGATTTCATAAGAAAGCAACATTTTTTTTCTTTTCTGATATTATGATTTATTTTCTGATCTGGAAACATTTAAGTGTGAAAAAAAGAACAAATCTGCAAGGGAAGCATCCACTTTTTCACAGTATTATATTTTATTTGCACATAAAAATCTGGATCAAATGAGCAGAAATGTCTAGTTAGATTACAGAGTAGTGAAATGCGTCCTGTGTTTCTCTACAGGATCTTCTGTTCAGCGCATGCGGCCTCAGCATTCTCTCCACCATCATTTGTACGTTGTCCACCGTGACTTGCAGCATCCACATCTTCTCCCTGGACCTCGTGCACCTGGTAAGCGCAGACACAGCACAGATCTGCACCGAGGCATGAATTTTGAAGGCTCTAGGCAAACAGAACTTGTTTATGTCTCCCGTGGCACCTGTAGCTGGCCCCGCATCGCTCTCGATCCGTCAACCCAGAATGCACCACTCCCCAGGATGCCTTCCTGACCAACATCATGGACTTTGAGGAGTTTGTTCCCCCCATTCCTCCTCCTCCTTACTATCCTCCTGAATACACCTGCAGCTCTGAGACGGACGCTCAAAGGTGCCAGACTCTTTTTTTCATCTGGATCTCACCTGTTTCAGTACATAACGGTGAAGTAAAATGAAAATGTTTGATTCGTCATCCAGCATCACGTACAACGGCTCGATGGAGAGCCCTGTCCCTTTGTACCCCACTGACTGCCCCCCTCCTTATGAAGCTGTGATGGGACAAAGAGCCGCCAGCCAGGTGAGCATGTTTGCACACACTGTGGCATCCAGATGTTTAGCTTGTCCTCTACTTTCTGGCCTCTGTTCAAGTTGTAACGCTGGGGTTGTAGTCGGTAGTTGAGAAGGCACAGCGGAGAACGCGCAACCGCACTGGTACTGTGTTGGTCCTCTCTTCGACAACCTTACAAGGCCCGGTTGAACGGCTGCTATCTAGTAACACGTGACAAAGCAACACATTCTCACACCCAAAGCGTCAATATATGACGATTCGGGACGCCCCAGCGCGTCAGGAGACGACGATCAGGGACACACTGATGACGCAGCGCCCCAGAGCGTCGGGATCCGACGCCGGTGGTGAGACGGACATTAGAACGACTTGTGAACTACTTAACCTTCCCCTCACCCCAATCCTAACCTTAAGGTCACAGTTACTGACCGTAAGGTTAGGATTGGGGTGAGGGGAAGGTTAAATAGTCGAATAATGTCCGTGTGACCGCGCGCGTCAAACACTGACGCCTGCGTGTCCCTGATCGTCGCAAACGTTGGATCATTGTAATAAAACGCGCTAGTGACCAGACTAAAATGAAGCTGTGGGATCCCGAGAGTAAAGGTTTTCACTTATGCAGCGACCGCTTCATATCAGGTACTTAAACCAACGTTTCCTCAACTGTGTATGGTATTTATTTTAAATGCTTTCATTACGATTCTCAGTGGGCTTCCTAAACTTATTTTGGCGTGGCTTTTTCTGTCTTATTACTCACAGCAACAAGTAAACGTCACGTAAAACGTTGCCTCGTGAGTTCTGCGTGCTGCCGTTTACGTGTTTTATGATCACAGCAATTAACCGGCTTAGCTGTATTTAATTTTTAAGCAATGGTTGATCAAGTGTCAGATCACACATAAAAAGCACGTTGGATTGCTATTATCTGTCTCACCGAGACAGATCTCAGACAGATCCTGAGACGCTCCTGCCTGACATATTTATTTTATTCACGGAAAAAAATCAAACTAGTGATTTCTCTTGGCGTTCAGTTTATACATTCAAACAGCACAGCACTCTATTTAAACTACTACTTACATGTAAATCTGTTATTTATCCATCCATCCATCCATTTTCATCCGCTTATCCGGAGTCGGGTCACGGGGGCAGTAGCTTAAGTCGAGAGGCTCAGACTTCCCTCTCCCCAGCCACTTGGGCCAGCTCCTCCGGGGGAATTCCAAGGCGTTCCCCGGCCAGGTCCGGTAAGAAGTCCGCTCCGACAGCTTCTGGCGTTTTTAAAAAGTATCCCAGGGGGACGGTAAGGGTCGGAGATGTTTAGTCTATTTAATTTCTGACTATATAAAACGATTTCTTCGGTTTTAAAGTGTGAAGTAAACTCCGACGAAGTAAAATCCAAGCCGATCCCGTTCATTCTGTTTACCTTTGCTGCCTGCCAACATGGCGTCTACTCTCTGAGAGTCACGTGACGTCCGGAGCTCTATTGGGAGGCGCCAGGGCCCAAAGACAAAAGGCCAAGGGCCTAAAGGGTTAAAAGCTAACTGATAAAAACGTGTCTTCAACACAATCTTAAAAATGGAAAGATGGAGTCTAACGTCCATCGGTGTGTGCTGACCCTTGCCTGTTGTACCCATGAAGGCCACGGTGTTCGACCCCCACGGCACTGAGCTGTCTGGAGAGAGAGGGACTTCCACGGCCTTTAGCGGAGAAGGTGATTAAATGTCTGCTTGTCTTTGTTACATTATGGTTAAAGGTCCACAGTGTGTGACATAGTGGCCTCTAGTGGTGGGAGGTGCAAACTGCAGCCCGATAGTAAAAAGAATCCAGCTGCAGAGTCAAAGTTTGATTTGTCCTCCTGGGCTCCTGTTGTGACACGACAGAGTAAAAAGGGTCACTGGACCTAAAAAAGACCCCAAACTAACTCAACCTCCCACAGATGTCTTTCTGCTGTCTAAAGAGAAATGTTCTTCAAAAAGCCAGAAGCATGTTCACCAACACCACAAAGTCTATTTTGTTTTAAACGTGCTTAAAAACATAAAAAGTAAATGTTTAAAAAAATCATTCCTTAGGGAAAAACACCAAATCTGATCAAATAGATAAATGTGTAATCTTTTAAAAGTCAGCTCAGTTAATAATGAATCATTTTGGTTTTTTAATGTCAGTCTCTATGGACAGTGGATCTCTGCTGATGTCAGAGATCGTGGACATTCCTGACGACTCCTCCCCCTCCGAAGACTCCTGTTTGTTGGAGGTTGGGCTTAGGAACCAGGGGGAGAGGGGTAACAGGAGCTCCGGGGACAGGGGGGACATGAGCCTCCGTGGATCTCTGACTCACACACCAGAGAGTCCCCTGGCTGGAGGTCCGAGAGCCAGGCGGTTCCTCCGAGGAGAGAGGTCCAACTCCTGCTCCTCGCCCAGCACGGCCACCACCACGTACAGGCCAGTAACTCCACAGATCACTGAATTATTTTAGTCAACTGGGTTAAAAATTAACTTGTTTTGTCTCTCAGGTCTCCTGTGCTGCATCGCCAAGTGATGCTAACTAGTAGCTGCTCTCAGCTGGAAACAATAAGTAGTTCCTCCAATCAGCAGCGAGCTTTCATCCCAGAGATCCGGGTCAACCCCTCCACCCCCTTAAACCACGGAGGTGTCCCGGCCAGCTCCGTGCCACATCCTTCATCTGCCGCTGCTGTGGGTGAGCACGGGGGAGGACCAACCCTCTTACACCAGCCTCTCTACCGCCGTCGAAGGGCGGAGAGAGGTGGGAGGGGGGGATTTACTACGAGGAGGCAGAGCGAAGGCTTTTTACACCTTGTGAGGTCACACAGTGAGCCTGGCCTCAGCTCCTCGACGGACACGGGTGAGTCAAGGTGACAGCAGTCTGTTTCCACCACTAAAACACCGGCTTCAGCCCCAGAAGTCACTTTCGCCAACAGATAACCAAAATGTTGTCTTTGTTCAAGACTAAACGTTAAAAAACTGAAGGTCTTTGACTAGGAGCCGGAGCAACAGAACATCTGCATCCCTTTTCCACCAGCTTAAACTGGGTGTTTACTTTAATTTTCCTCTTTTTAAAGGTGTGGAACGCTGAATTTCTGATTATAATCAGTCACTCTGAGTGTTTCATGCAGGCTGAACATGAAAATAGTCTCCTACACCTATCTCCTGCAGTACCTTCTGATAGAAAACAGACGGCGAAACTCTAGGATCAGAAAATCCTGACAGATCTACGTCACCCTGTCACTGACATTCATGGACTCGCCCATCTGGACTCACGACGGGGAAGGCCGTTGTTGGTTTAGCGTCTAGGAAACGGCAGAGAACATCTGAGCTGGTAGAAGCTAACCGTTAGCATTAGCTACTCCACCACACAGCAGAACTCCTCCAGACTTGTGGCATTAGTAGAGATAAAACATCATCTTTGCAGAGCAATCAGAGTCAGTGGTAGGGTTGTGTTGCCCTCATCCAATCAGAGGCAAGATGTCCAAAATATCATGAGATGTGGCTTAAAGTCCTGCCGTCTGAAGCTCAGCTGTGATGTAGGTCACTCCTGGTTCCTGGAAATGGTGCACCGTTATATTTCCCCCCCCAGGAACGACTCACAAGGCATTCATTCCTACTAGAGACCACTGCAAATGTATTGTTTAAACATTCTTTAAGACGTTGGTTTACCTTAAACTCAGGAGCCTGCAGACGGACTAACTGAGAAGAGATAGGCCCTTTGCTTTTGGCAATCATAAATGGCAGTCTTACTTCTAGTATGGTTCCATCTTCGTTTAAGAAGGCTGTTATTCATCCTATGTTAAAAAACCGGGGCTGGATGTGACAACCTTAGCTAATTACAGGCCCATCTCAAAACTCCCTTTTCTTTCAAAACTGCTGGAGAAGATTGTGTATTCACAATTGGTTGCCTTTATGGACACAAATGATTTATGGGAGACCTTTCAGTCAGGGTTCAGGAAAGGTCACAGCACTGAATCTGCTCTTTTAATGGTTTTTAATGACACGTTTTTAGCCTGTGACATGGACAATGATGTTGTCCTGCTATTGCTGGACTTATCTGCAGCTTTCGATACAGTCGACCACAAAGTCCTTCTGGACCGACTACAGCATTGGGTGCGGATAACTGGGCAGGCCCTCCAATGGCTTCGCTCCTACCTTCAAGACAGGACATTTAGTGTTCAGATGAGTGAGGTGATGTCACCCAGCGTGAAACTTCGCTGGGGTGTGCCACAGGGCTCTGTCCTTGGTCCTCTCCTATTTGCAGTGTATTTGCTTCCTCTTGGAGTCCTCCTTCGCCAGCATAATGTGAAATTTCATTTTTTTGCTGATGACTGCCAGATCTATCTCCCTCTTCGACGTGGGGAGGATAGATCTGTTTCTCCTTTACTGGATTGTTTGAAGGACATAAAATGTTGGGTGGCTTCTAATTTTTTGCACCTAAATGAGAGCAAAACGGAAGTCATAATACTTAGTCCTGGCAGAAGAAATGGCTCTGGTTCTGATATTGACCTTGGACCATTGACCCCCTATGAAAAGAAAATGGTCAGTAATTTGGGGATTAAAATCAACTCATCACTTAATCTTGACACTCATGTGAATACAGTGGTGAGATCCTGTTTCTTTAACCTGAAAAAATTATCCAGGATCAGGTCTCTGCTGTCCAGAGCTCATCTGGAGTCTGTGTTGCATGCTTTCGTCCTGTCCCGGCTGGACTACTGCAACGCTCTGTAAGCTGGTCTGGCCCAGTGCACGGTTGCACGGCTCCAGTTTGTGCAGAACTCTGTGGCTAGGTTCCTGACAGGTACTAGATGTCGAGAGCACATTACCCCAGTGCTGACTGCTCTGCACTGGCTCCCGGTGCAATATCGAGCTAAATTTAAGATCTTAACTCTTGTTTATAAGGCCCTCCAGGGCAGTGCCCCCTCGTACATTACTGCACTTTTGCAGAGGTATGCTCCATCTCGGTCTCTTCGCTCAGCCGAGCAGGAACTTCTGGTGGTCCCCTGGTCGAAATATCGATCGAGGGGTTGTCGTGCTTTTTCTGTTTTGGCTCCAACTCTGTGAAACGAATTGCCACTGAGCATTAAGCAGGCACCATCCCTTCATGTTTTTAAGTCTCGTTTAAAGACTCATTTTTATTTGATTGCGTTTTAGCGCTAGGGTTCTTCGAATTGCCCTGACATTATGGTTTTAATTCTTCTTCTTTTTAACCCAGATGCTTGATTTTATTTTGTCCACCATTTGTTTTTGATCGATTCGTCTTATTCCGTTATCTCTCTTTATTTGTAATATTATTTGCTTGATATTTTATGATTTTATGTTTTTATCTTGCTTTTATGCCCATGTACTGGGAATGTTTTTCTTATGATGATGCTGTTCAGCACCTTGGGCTTCCGATAACGTTGTGGAAGGTGCTCTACAAATAAAATTTGATTGATTGATTGACACTGAGAATGGAGTAATTACATGGGTATTTAAATATCAAGTTGTTTTTGACTTGAACCAGCTCTGAAAGCATAACTATGATGCTCCTCTGTTCCAGTTGACTTTGGCTCTGCAGGCAGCAAAGCTTCCACAGACACAGGTGAGCGTTTCAGTTTGTTTCATGGATTGGTGTTTAAAAAACATCACGCTGCTTTTTTGTGAGTTCCTTTCACCTTCTTCCTCCTTTGTACAAAAATGCGTGTTCTAAAGTGGTGATGAGCCAAAAGAGACATCTAAACCAAAGATTTTCTCCCATGTCAGCTAAAACAGCGTTTTAAACTACGTCTCTGTATCGTGTGTTGTGATTCAAAGCTCCGTCTTCTGAGGCGTGTTTGTTGCCCCGCACGCCTTTGCCTCCTGCTGCAGCTCTTCCCAGTAAAGGCAGCATGAAGCCAGCAGCTTCCGGGGTGCAGGTCCCCTCCAAACCAGTGCCCGCTTCCCCTCTACGTTTACCCAAGGACTGCCACCGTTCTCTTGGAGACCTGAAGGTAATACTGGGATCAAGAGCATGATGTCATCGGGGAGAGGAGATTTGGAAATTTGAACAGCTAACACCCCCCCCCCCCCACACCCCCACCCCCCACCCCCACCCCACCACCACGTTCAGGGTCAGAGCGGAACGCCACGCCTCTTACCGCACACACAAACAGCCTTGTAGCGCTAGCAGACAAAGAATGTTTTGGATATGTTCCTGCTCAGACACACCTGAACTGCCGAGTTATCTCTTCAGTCTCCATCAGGTTCTGCTAAACACTTGTTTTAATTAAATCTGCAGAGTTCAAGCGGGGAAACGTCTAAAACCAGCAGTAGCACAGCCCTGCTAACGCTGTAACAGACCGGTGTAGCGTAAGGTTGAACGCTACGCTAATCACTTAGCAATACACAAAAGATGAATCCCTTTTCAGTCTCCTCCCTCCTCTTCCACCGTTAGCTTTACTTTGCAGTTTACAGACTGACATTAAATCAGTGCAGGTCAAGTTAGCATTCAAGCTAGGTTGGTGTGCTAAGCATGAAAGATGACCTACTTTATACCGAAGAACAGGCTCAGATAGTCGTGTTTACGCACGTTTCTGTTCAAGCTTTTAAACTACGTACACCAGCTTGAATTAGTCCCACCCTTTCCCTTTAGGTTACTCGTGTTCTGGTGGCTCGCTTCCTGCAGCGCTCCAAACGTAATCTGTCGCCATCTACTGAGCACGTTGGGAGTTCAGCGTCAGGTCCAAAGAGGAGGGGCGGAGCCGAGGCTGTCGGATTGGACCACGTTTCCTCCGAGCAGGTACACCCACTAAACTCTGATCCATTTCCTTATTCTGGCTTTTGTCCTGCCGTCTGACCTGCAGCCCTGTTAAACTACCTCCAGGTGCTGCGGACCCCTTGGGGCAGCAGCCGGGGACACCTCGTCCATCGCTCCCACCACCCTCACCGCCGCGGACATCACTACTCCCACAGTGACAGTCGACACAATCGCCATCAGAGCAGCCGGGCGTCAGAAGGGATCCACCTGCGGAGCTGTGGAGACCTAAGCTCCTCCTCAGCTTCACTGCTTCAACTGGTGACGGCCCACCATGGGTCATCAGGAGCTCTCCACTCAGAGTCTGCGCTGTGAGGAAGGATGAGGAATGTTTGGGTTTTGTCCAGGATTTCACCATCAGCCCGGAGCTCCTTCAGGTTTCACCTCAAACAAAAATCCACTCACGCTCTTTCTTCTCATCTTGCTGTTCATTCACCAGATTGCTCGGGCGAAGCGATCACTGAAGCTCTTTTGTCGTCTTCCATTCATATGAGCTGAAACCCGAATAAACAAAAGTTCAGCTCATTTTGACGTGAGAGACGAACAAGGCTGCACACGAGGACAAATACGTAAAATCTACCTTTTTCACCTAAAAGATGGCCGTCACAAACCAAGCAGCCAGCACCGCTCTGAAAGACACAGACACAAGTTCAGCGTTTCAGCCTGTGTGTGTTCACCGGACGCTTGATCCACGTGTGTGCATGTTCCGCTGCAGCCGTGATGCCCCGGGAACCGTGTGCGTTTGATTCTGCTCGTCCGTACAGGGGCGTGTCCAGGGAGTGGCCTGGGGTAGCAAATGCCACCCTTGGAATCTGATTGGCCACCCCAGGTGCCACCACACAGAATTCTCCTTAGATAGGCTTTTCATTGTCCACAAAAGGCTTGGGGGTAAAAAAAAAAAAGCATAACCACTGGTGCCACCCATGCACAAAGTGGTGCCTCACCTGGGCCACCCCATTTTAAAAGATCTGGACACGCCACTGCGTCCGTAATTAGGCAACAAGTGCTTTGAATGTCTTTACCTGCACGTTTGCTTCTTACTTTTTACTTTTGGCACACATAACCTGTTAGAGTAACTCAAATCAAAGGTCAAAGGTCAGTTTTTTTTACCCTGTATTTTCATTTGTGAAAGAATATCTGAAAGTAAAACAAATCCTTGTAAAATAACCAAACCCACTATGTGAAGAGGCTTTACGAAACCTGTTGATTTGGATTTGCCATGGTTGTTTAATAAAGATGCTGATTGGTCCTAGCCTAGTGAACTAGACCAAACTCTTGCTTTGCAAAGAATGGTCTAGGCACGCTCCATTGGAACCTCAGCAGCTCCTACCAGGACTCTGGCTAGCCAATCACAGCTCTCTAGAGGGGTTTCAAACACATAAAGAGCTGTGATTGGTCCATAATGGTGGGCCAATCATAGTGCTCTATCTGCTTAGTGAACAAATCACAGAGCTTTATCCGCTTTGTGGGCCAATCAGGGCACTCTATATGCCTGGTGGGTGGGATGATGCAACAGAGTGAAACAAGAGGATGTCACATTCATTGTCCAGTGGAATGCGGAGATCATTTGAAAGACAACGGTAGAACCCGCCCCACAACTGAGAGCCGTCAATGGAGCATTGCCAGACTAAATCATACATTTATTTAGTCTGGCTTGCCAGGCTAGATTGGTCCGGCACCTTGAAGCATATTTATATCAGAGAGGGCAGACTCGCTGAACACACACACATGTATGTACACTAATTACACTAAGCTCACACACACACACACACACACTCTCTCTCTCTCTCTCTCTCTCTCTGAAGACACCGAGCTTTGTTTCTACCTCCTGTCGTGCAGAAAAGTTTATTTATTTGGAGAAATTGTGTCTGTATTGCAGGCCTAGCAGGATGGAGCCTTTAAACGTGAACGATAAATGTATTCTCAATCTGACGCTTACTCCAGAGTTTAAAAGCAGTGTTGATGGTGAAACTTTTAATGCAAGTTATGTGCTTCAACACATGAATAAATGATGAAATAAACATGAAAAATAAACAAGTTGCTGTTGTGTAAATATTAGAAAAATGAACTAATGATAGGTTTAGAGAAAGTCTGTGGTGCTGTTAAATTCAGTACAGATGTCGGTATCGGCAGGCCTGGCGAGCCAAACTAAATAAATACTTTGAAAAGTAAGAATTTGGTCTCGTGCATTTGTATAATTGTTGGCCTGTGTGCAAGCAAAAGGCTCTAATGACAAATTAATCTTATTTTATTTATTTCTACTAATAAAGTGAAACCAAAAAGAAAACAAACAACTCGTCTAATTTTTGGGTCATTTCAAGATTTTTCTGGAACACCTGGAAGGATCGGGACGATGGAACGGGAAATAAAATAGTAAAGAAAAACAAATGTTGCTGTGCGGAATGTCGTCATTTGTCACGCGCAACAAAGAAAACCAGAAACACAAATTATGTCCTTTAATTTATTAAAAAACGAGTGTGGGCGATCACGCAACAAAAACCCTTAGACCCACAGTATAAACATGATCGGTAGCCATAGCAACCACAGGTAATGGGGGCAGCAGTAGCTCAGGTGGTAGAGCGGGTTGCCTCAGGATCGGAGGGTCATGGGTTTGAGTCCAGCTCCCGCCAGGGATGTTCTGCTGTTGTGTCCTTGGGCAAGACACTTCATCCAAGGAGGGGCCGACGGCACCAAATGGCAGCCTCGCCTCTGCCAGACCGCCCCAGGGTGGCTGTGGCTACACAGTAGCTCACCATCACTGGCAGCGTGTGAATGTGAGAGTGTGTGAAAACATCTTTGAGTGTCCTAAACAAGCGCCATATAAGTTCAATGATTATTATTATTATTATTAATATTAATGGCAGAATGATTTGTTCAAGGTGCCATCTTGTACTTTCTTTCTGCTTATAAATATACATTTCATTACCAAACTTACTTCAAGAGGCAGTTCTGCTGAAAAAAAACAGCAAATGCTGTGTTTTAGCGCTGGTGTAGCTCCAGCATGCTAGTCCAGGATGGGGTGCTGGTGATCGGATGCTAGACCAGCATGCTGGATCCATCATCCCATCCTGATCCAGCATCAGAAGCTGGTCCACCAGCTAAACCAGCTGGTTTATGCTGGTTTTTTTAGCTGGAAATGTCATTTGCCCGTCTCCACCAGTCAGCAGGAGACAGCCTGGACAGATCACCCGTCCATCACAGCACCACATAGAGACAAAAGAGGCAGAACATTCACTCGTTCACATCCAGGGACCATCTAGAGTTTCCCATCACTCCAACCATGCATGTTGTAAAATCTAATGATGTAACACACGACTAAAAATAGAAACAAAACAAAAACAACAAGCTCAGGGATAACTACAAGAGTAAAAAAAAACTCAATTATTAAAGAGCACAAATCATAACGCAGTCCCTTCAGGTTTCTTTAGGCGGGGTTTAATAGACTTAACTTGTTTACAAGACTTTGTTTCTGCACACTCCTCCCATACCTCGCTGTCAATTAAAGTGTAAACATCTGGCTTTTGTTCAGGCGCTGGTTTCTGGGTCTGGTTTGTAACAACTGGGAAAAACAAACACAGCTCAGTGGAAATCTGTCCACTCACATCTGTAGTGTGTGTGTGATTGAGTTTGTAAAAATGTGGCACAATGTCTGGATGTTGCAGACGAGTGTGAGGCAGCTGGGATGAGAATCGGCTTCTCCAAATCTAAGACCGTTAAGGATAGAAGGTCAGAGACGAGGTCCTGGCTCAAGTGGAGGAGTATATCCGGTCTTACCGGTTAATCCATTCCTCGTGTGGTCACGAGCTTTGGGTGGTGATCGAAAGAACGAGATCACAGAGCCAAGAGGCCAAAATTTGTTTTCACCGCAGGGTGACCGGGCTCTTCCTTAGAGACAGGGTGAGAAGCTCGGTCATCCGGGAGGGGCTCAGAGTAGACCCGCTGCTCCTCCACATTGAGAAGAGCCAGTTGAGGTGGCTGGTTCAACTGGCATCTGGTCAGGATGCCTCCTGGACGGCTCCCTGGTGAGGCTTTCCTGGCAAGTCTAACTGGGAGGAGACCTAAGGGAAGACCCAGGATGTTCTGGAGGGACTATGTCTCACGGCTGGCCAGGGAACGCTGTAGGATTCCCCAGAGGAGCTGGCCCAAGTGGCTGGGGAGAGGGAAGTCTGGGCCTCCCTGCTTAGGCTGCTGCCCCCACGATCTGACCCCAAATAAGTGGAGAATGGCTGGATGGATGGTCCAGATATTTTATTGGTGATTCTTAGTTGAGGTGCAACCTAGGTCTGTTTTGCCTTTTTACTCGTTTCCAACAAAAACCACTGCCTGAACAGAAGCGTTGTGGGATTTGACCGCGAGCACATTTCAATTTAGATGTTATAAATGCATCATGCCAAGAAAAATCTAACAATTGTTTATGTTTTCAGATCAAAGAGACCAAACTGGTAAGTGACTGAGTTATCCTTACCACTGAAACACACTGAGGTCACACCTGAATGATTTAATCCAGACAGCAGAGATTTCCAATCTGACGGTTTGTTTTTTCTAAAGGTTTCTCAATAGCAGCTATTTAAGTTTTAACAGAAAGACAAGAGTGGTCATTTCTCCTGGATTGGTGTCTGACACTCATTTGCATCCTAATTTAATTTTAAATGGATTTTAAATACGTTTGAATTCAGGCTTTTTGGTGAGTTGGTTCAAAGCAACTTCTTTTTGTATCATTTGTATGTATAAGCAAACTGAACTGGAAATACATAATTATTCTTCTGAAATTCTCTATTAGGTTGAAACATGTTTTTAGAAGTTTTTCCCACGATGATATAAATAACAAGCTATTTAGAATATTTGTAGTTTTTGATCTTTTTACAACACCAGACATCCGCCATTGTTACACAAAAAAGCCTAATTGAACCTATGTAATAGTATCAGAAACGTTTCTTGTTCGTTTTAACTTAATTTCTTCATTAATAACTAATTAATACATTATTGTCCTACTTTTTAATTAGAATAAAGAAATGTTTTGCGCCATTTTTCAATGTCAAACGTTTCTGTCAAGAATCTGGAGAGAGATTAAGTAAAACAAAACGGTAATCCGAGTGGTTGTATTTATAATCTGCTATTTTACCTGTTCGATGGTCCGTTTTTCTAATCTGAACACTCCACCTAAACTCCGCCTTCTGTAAAGCCTTATTGGTTAACTATCGCGCGAGCCTATCCTGGTTCGATGCGACTAACCAATAAAAAAACAGTCGATGTCAAACGAAACATTTGTAACCCCGCCTACTTGCAAAGAGTTATGGGACATTTAGTCCACTGGTTTCGGGATAAAATCGACAGCGTCGCGCCAATAAACTACAACCTGAATATCCGCTTTCAAGGAGCGTTCAAAGACCTCAGGTTGTCCGTAAAAAGAGGGAAAAGAAAAGGGTTGAATTTGTTCTGTTTCACCGCGCAGTTTGGAATATTGAGAACAACTACATTATGGTATGTAAAAGTTTTTGAATAAGAGAAAATATTTAAATTGTTGACGCTACAACGAGCTTGCTAACGCACTGAAGGCGGGGAAGCTCTTTAAGCTAACTATCAGCTAACGCTTCTTTTTAGCTATTGGGAGCTTGTGACATATCCTTGAGCACGATGGTTATGTTGAACTGGAACAAGTCAATAACGTCATATAGTCTCTGCTACTAAACGTTTTTGCCTTTGTAAGATTTGAGCCGATCGATAATGAGACGCCTGTTAAACTGTGCCGCTAATGCAACTAAAGCACTTCGAACCAAGTGCCTGGACCTGTCTCCGTTTAAGATGAAAAGTCACCCTCTCGTGTTGTGCTCTGCGTCTTTTCAGGGTGACAGTGTTTGCAATGGGGCACACAGCAAGAAGGCGCTGCTGTCAGACCCGCAGTTGTTCGATGCTCAGTTCGACGAGCTGCTGTCCGAGCTGACAGAGAGGGACATGAACGACTCTGGTCTCACCGATGCACTAAAAAGACTAAAAGAGGTATGTGGCGTGGTCTTTGAGGATTCTGTGTACAAGTGCAAGAGTTTCATGTAGTTGTTTCTACTTATTATTCCAGATTATGGTCTACAACGTCCCTGGAGGGAAGAAGAACCGAGGGCTGTCTGTGATTGGCTCGCTCAGGGAGCTTCTTCCACCTTCTCAGCTCACGCAGGACTCAGTGCAGCAGGCTCTGCTGATTGGCTGGTGCATCGAGATGGTGAGGGCTTTGTGTTGTTGTCTTAGTCCCTTTTCCTCAGCAGGGGCTTGACTTCAGCAGTCTCTGAGCGAGAGGTGAGGGACACCCAGGACAGGTCACCAGTCCATCGCAGGGACACACACTGAGACAAGCACTCACTCACACCCTTACAGCATGGCTGCAGCCAAGATTTGAACCTGCAACCTTCTTGCTGTGAGGCAGCCAAGCTACCAATTTCACTGCCATGCAGCCCAGGAACCTCCTTAAAAAGCTAGTGTAAAGGTTAAGTATAGTACTTAGCTGCTAAGTAGCTTGTAGGCTGTTACTACTTGTGGCGATACGGGAGTGGTCTATGACCTGTTGACGCCAAGTATGGCAATTGTACCTTCTCGAGTGCGATTATTTCGAAAACCCATTAAATTCGGGCGTGCTCCGGACGACCTATAGTCGTCATTACCATAATCGGAGTAGCCAGTTGTTACCAACAACGCCACCTTGGGAATTTCGCCCAAGGAAATAATTAAGGCATGTAGATTCATTCCACTTCATTGAGACAGCAGACGTGGTTTCAGAAGTTACAATTCATTTATTTAATTTAATTGAAGAAACGGTTTAAAAGACGTTTTTAAGAACTGGCCATGTAAAATACCATAAAAGTACTAAAATTGATGCCCCCAAAAAGAAAATGAACCAATGAAGTGAATAATTAAAAATAAGGAAATTAATTTAACTCGCTACTTAAATTAATTAATGAAGTCCAAATGAGGGTAACTAAACACAGTTTAACTATAAGTTTAAATAAACAAAAAGGTAAAAAAATAGGGTCCAAACAATCACTTTCACAATGAGTTTAGACCATCAGTTTAACCAAACAAAAGTGTGTTAACCAGCAGGACTGAGGCTAGTGAGGGAGGCAGGTGACTCGGGGCAGAGAAGGCCCAACACAGCAAAAATAATAAAGAAAATATAAAGGATTCACCCCAGGCAGTGAGCATTCATACCAACGTGAGAAAACCCAGCACCACCACACTCGCACACGGGTCCGCCACCTCCGAGGCCACACTCCACACCTCCTGCCTCAGCCTGCACAAAGAAAACGAGATTAAAAACTGTAAAATCTGTACAATAGGAATTAGCTGTTCTTCCTCCTGGAATCCAGCCACGAGCCAGGGGAACTTCCTCCAACCAGCTAATTTAAAACGAGGTAAAGGAAGCGCAGCAAAACAGCGGTGCCTCCGGCCGGACCACAGAGGAATCTAAAAGGACGAGGAAGAGGTAGAAATGGCCAAACTAACAAATGGCCAAGTGTGGAGACGGCGCAGCACACACCTACCGGTCCTCCTACTGATGACGCCTGAGCAGAAGGGAACTCCCTGCCCGGCAGCAACGGGGATTCAATCTGTCCCTGGTTTTACAAAGAGCTGATGTGAAGATTGTTTGACTCAGGTTATCTACCTGCAGAAGGTACACACCGTTTACCAATGCTCCGTCTACCAAAGGCGAGCGATGACGTCACACCCAACACTGATACAAACGCCCAAGCTGCACAACAGTCTGAGACACAGCAGCCCTAGTGCTAAACAGAGTAGCCGTCCAGGTACATACCACAGTCGGAGCAGAGCCGATCACACCAAAAACGCAGCCTGAGGACACGGGCTGGCAACACCAAGACGTAGCGGTATACTGAGACCAGCTGTTTCCTGAACTTACGTCCTCGCCGGAGGAGCTCCCCTCTTATAGCAGCAGCGCCCTCCTACGTACGGAGGGTGTACTGCTCTAGACCAATAAAATTGGAGCAGGTATTTCGTACTGCTACATACTGATCGGATCACAGTAAAGTAGTGGGCGGGGGATTGTTTTTTGTTTTTTTTTTGGTTGTTGCCATTTTCATGTACGCCTCTGTGTGGAAATCACTCTAGGTGGCTTCTGTCTGGAAAACTATATGCTGCCGGACTGATGAGCTAACGGCTAGTCTACCTGCAGCCAATTGTCATTTAGGTTTAAAGGTACAATGTGTAGTTTTTACCGTTATCCACCAAAATATTGTTGAAAATGAATGAAATTAAGCCCAGTTGTTGAAAAATACTGGTGGCTTTGTAACATACAACCATAAAAATCTGTTCTAAAATACATGGGAGCGGGTGTAAGTCTCTGGGCGACGCCATATTAGATGCCATGTTTCCTTCTACGGGAGCCCATGAGGACAAAGTGTATTTACTGATTTGTAACAAACGATTACAAAACTTTCATCATTCTTAAATGTTGGTGTTTTACACATTTACCTCTTCACTCGTTTCCGGTGATGAAAGGGAGTTCGATGTTGTTGTCATTTTGCTTAAGTTTGCAGTCCCCAGGGCTTTTTGACCCTAATAGGCATCCGTTGGTAAGGTCTCACTCAAACACAAAAATACTGCTTGCATTGATTTAGGCATCTACTGCTCCCATCACCAGGAACAATACACACTGTCACTTTAAAATGCATTTGTTTTTAGAAAAGAAACGGTCTAATCTGCCATGTTATTATGTTATTTTATGCTTTACTTGATTACTTTGGCAGAGATGTTTCTACCATTCTAGACTCCTGGATGCACCAGAGTTCTGTGTAACAAGTACATCAGGGTTCGATCTGCATGTTGCTGCTAATATTTACTCATCAACATAATGTAATTTAAGTAACTTAGTAAAGGTTTATAAAATAGTGTTTCATAAACTGCTATTGTAACTGTTTTAAAGCAGCAGTACTCAGCTTTTGAAATCAAATGTGTTCCGACTAGCAGTTAGCTCATCAGTCCTGTAGGGAGTCAACTCCAAACTGATGCCATTCAGGTCAGAAATCTATCTTGAACTTTTTTTAAGTAACTGTTGGACAATAAAACACTTAGATTTGGTTTTTAGGTTTTTTAACAAGATATTTTTCAATGAAACCCAATTTTCACCTCATCAAGCACAGACTGTGACTGTTGTAGTGACACTTACCGAGTGCGTTGCTATTTCTGATCTCAGTCTTCCCACTGTCTTTTTATCACAGCTTCAGGCGTTTTTCCTCATGGCAGATGACATCATGGATGCATCTGTGACTCGCAGAGGACAGCCCTGCTGGTACAAGAGGGTGAGACTTTATATTTCTAGAAAAATATGCTAGAATTTACTTTTGCAGTATGATCATTTACACATTTCCATGCCTCCCTTGTAAATCTTTCCCATTCCTTTTGAAAGGATGGAATAGGCCTGGATGCCATTAATGACTCCCTTCTGGTGGAAGCATCCATCTACAGACTGCTTCGGAGGCACTGCAGGAATCAGCCCTATTATGTCCATTTACTAGAGCTGTTTAATGAGGTAAGTCTGTCTCCGAGGGAAAAAAGGGGGGAAAAATGAAATGAAAGAAGGAAAAAAAGGGAAATAAAGAGAAAAGGTGAAAGAAGAAAAAAAAGGAAAACGAGAAAAAAAGGTGAAAGAAGAAAAAAGGAAAAAGGAAGAAAAAAAGTGTGTCTTTGGGAAAAAAAAGAAAAGAACAAAAATAAGGGAAAAAAAGATTAATAAAAGGAAAAAAAAGAAAAAAGTGAGAAGAAAAAAAGGGGAAAAAATTAAAAAGGAAGAAAAAAAAGTCTGTCTCCGAGGGAAAAAAAGGGAAAAAAGAACAAAAAAGGAAAAAAAGATTAATAAAAGGAAAAAAGAAAAAAGTGAAAGAAGAAAAAAAAGGAAAAAAAGATTAAAAAAGGGAAAAAAAGAAAAAAGTGAAGGAAGAAAAAAATTTAAAATAGGAATAAAAAATGTGTCTCCTTGTAAAGTGGTGGTGACTGAGTGAAGTAGGTGTGTCGGCTCAGAGCTCTAAGATCACACATAATTACAGCGTAGCATTTATTTTTTTTTTTTTGTGTGAGCTGTTTTCTTTCTCTGAATTTCCTTCACATAAAACGGCTAAAATCACTAAAATACCAAAAGTGATTTTGTTAAAAAACTGCTAATTTCCAAATGTTTTTATTTAAACTCCTTTAAAGAAAAATCTTTAATGAATTACCTTTTGAAAATATGTCCCGACTAAAGGTCAGAGAGGTAACGGCTAAACCGCTCGTGAAATAATTTTGTTTCAGACGACTTTCCAGACAGAACTCGGTCAGGCTCTGGACCTCATGACGGCGCCGCCAGGTCAGATTGACCTCAACAGATTCACTATGGAAAGGTAAGAAAAGGAGAAAAGTCTAAAATATTCATTTTAAATACTCACAACCTGTTTACTGCAACATATGACTACACTTTTGTCATCCTTCAGGTATAAAACTATTGTCAAGTACAAGACGGCTTTCTACTCGTTCTACCTCCCTGTGGCCGCTGCCATGTACATGGTGAGTGTTTGTGCTGGAATGATGATATTGAATGTAGGGTTGCAGAACTGCGAGAAGGTCAGACGCAGATGACAGGTTTTTTTGCAGCCGCAAACGAATGGACAGTTTGTCGCGCTCGTCTCGTATCAGTTGTGTTTTTCCTTCTCTAGGCGGGAGTTGACAGTGAAGAGGAGCACACTAACGCCAGACACATCCTGCTGGAGATGGGGGAGTTCTTTCAAATCCAGGTAGACACTTTTTAGCAGGTATAACATGTATTTTTTAATCACTGACTGAGTAATGTGTGGTAATCGGTTGCGACTGATTTGCAGGATGATTACTTGGACTGTTTTGGTGACCCTGCAGTGACGGGGAAGATTGGGACGGACATCCAGGATAACAAATGCAGCTGGCTGGTGGTTAAAGCTCTAGAGGTCCTGAGTCCTGAGCAGAGATCCCAGCTAGAGGTGAGATTTAAGAGTCTCTTCTTCTGCCTTAGCCAAGTCACTTAAGAATGAAACACAAAACAGGTTCCTGCTCCTCCGCCCTACTGGTGAAAAGTGGAATTACAACTGTCGTGAACAACTCTGCAGCAGCCTGCTGTAGCTAGCGCTAACAACGAGCTAACACTGTAATGACCCAATTAATACTAAAATAAATCACAAAGTAAAAAGATCCACACTGTTGGACAAAATTATTACTTACAAGTCCAGTAGCAACAAAGCCAGGTCACCATCTTTAAATTATTTAATTACTTAGGCTATTTATTTATTTATTTAATGTATTCGTTATTTATACATGCTTTTTAAACATTTTTTTACTGTGATTTATGTTCAACATTATTTTAATATATATATATATATATATATATATATATATATATATATAACTTTTTATATTACATTTCTCATTTTAGCTCTTATGATTTTATATTTTAACCTTAATTTAACCATTTTCCAGTGCTTCCTCTGTGGGAGCCCCTTGCCCCGGCGGTGGTGGTCGGCTGTGGTGGCCTGGGTGCTTTCCAGGTGTGCCTGGGTGGAGGTGGGGGGTCTCTGCCATCCCTGCCCTGGGCGCCCTGTGTGGGTGCCTCGGCTGCTGCTGTAGATCTGCTGCTGCCGGGGCGGATGGCTCCACTGATGGTGTTTCCTTATCCTTATCTTAGCTGGTCTGGCTCATCTGATCTCAGTCAGTCGTGTTTTTTTTTTTACCATGGGGAAGGGTGTGTGTGTGTGTGTGTGTCGGGGGGGGGGGGGGGGGGGGGACAGAGGACAGGAGAACGCGCAGCTAATTAATTAAATAATGTGGTTCTGTACCTTTCTCTTCAGCACAGCCGACAAAGGTTTATGATGGGTCAGTCCTCCTGCATGCTCAGATCATTCCCTTCCCTTGCTTGAAAAATTTGTTCCAAAATGAAAGTTGAACCCACATCTTTTTTATCTGTGAATTCAATGCCGTTCGGCGAGTCTCAAATAAAAATTTGGCCATCTTACTGTAAAAAAATTATCATTAATGTAAAAAAGAAACTCTAAATAAATTACGTTCACACCCAGAATCGAACTCGAATCTTCTGCACGAGAGTCCGACGTCTTACTAGGTGAGCTAAAGCGCCAGTGACATCTTTCGTATCTGTAACTTGACAGATGAAACAACATTCAAAGAACGGTTGGGAGTGAAAATGGCTATTTTGTTGCTAATTTGCAGGAAATATCTAGAAGAAAGTTCTACAGAAAGTAGCTAAGGGTCCTCAGAAATGTAGCTAGCTTTGTCACTAGGCGTTAGGAACAGCGACAAAGTGGCACTGCCTCTCTCTCTGCTGCTAAAGCTACGGATAGCAAATGCTACGGGCGATGCCTGAGCGTGAACGCGCATGAAGCAGCCTGCTCGACCCGAGCATCTCTCTTTTTCTGTGATTTTACAGAAAAACAGGCAATCACAGTAAAAATGCCAGGGCTCATTCTACAGGACCAGGGCATTGCAGGAGAATGTATGAAGAAGACATTTATTATTTCTACACATGTTTTGGCTGTCAGACTTCCATAATGTCCCTTTAAAGCTGCTCTTTGAGTTTTCTCAACAAGAAGAGCATTGATCCAATATTTTTCATCCAATGCTGCTGATCTGGATGTTTTTCTCTCCATCCTTTCATTTTCTTTTCTCGGTTTGAAGGTTTTTTTTCCCTTCAACAGGATAAGTGTCAAAATAGTCAGTTTGAGTTTTAATTTTACAATTACAAAAAAAAATCCTCTTAACTATCGCAAAAACTCCGGGATTGCGTTAACTCTACAGGAAAACTGTGTCCAATATTTAGCTGCACATTATCGATCTAATCAGGGATGTGTATTTTTGAAATTCTGGTGATACGATACAGGGGAGATGATAAGATATATCACGATATATTGCGATACATTCAGTCAGACGTTACAAGCAATTTTTTTAAATGAATTTATTGCAAGAATGTGCAATAAATAGTCCAAACTGATACGTAACATGTTAACATGAGGTATCTGAACCACGATGGAGGGATTTACATTTCAATGGTGGAAACAAAACCCGTTGCACACTGCTGCCATCTAGCGGGTGGCGATTGAATTGCACAAAACGAAAAGAAAATACACAAGTTTGTATGTAAATTCTTTCAAGAATTAGATACACGGCTTTTGAATATCGATATAATACTGCAGAAAAAATATCACGATATATTGCCATATCGATATTTCCGATACACGGCTTTTGAATATCGATATAATATTGCTGGGGAAAAAAATATCACGATATATTGCCATATCGATATTTTTCTTACATCCCTAGATCTAATAATCCACGAACCCCTGAATCAGTCTGTTCTAAACTGCATCATATTCTCACCACACGTCTTCCTCAGGCTTGCTACGGTCGCAGTGACGACTCCAGCGTAGCAAAGGTCAAGGAGCTGTACAACACCCTGCAGATGCCAACGCTCTATCAGCAGTATGAAGAGGAGAGCTACCAGCGGCTGCAGAAACTCATTGCTTGTCACGCTCAGAACCTTCCTCACTCAGTCTTCCTAAATTTTGCCAAGAAAATCTACAAGAGGAACAAGTGAGGGGCGTCTTTGTTTTGGTGTAATTATTATGGGTTCCTCTTGCAAAGAAGTGAAAGTCAAGTCTGAATGCTTTTGTAATAAAGTTGAAGGCCAAGAGCGGGCGAGCGGTGTAAATATCTTGTCATCAAACAGCCACTTTGGGTAAAGTTATTATGGATAACGTGTTTTTGATGCGATTAGACAGATTTGACCAACGTCTGTATTCTTTTCTTTTGTAAAAGATAAATTAAAGCCTTTTGTGACTCCTAACTAGACGGTAATATTTAAACAGCTCGTTTTTTTGTTTTGTTTTTTTTTTGGTTGAGTTTCTTAAAAACAAAACAAAAGAAAGTAACTTTTGTACTTCTAGAAGAGTTTCACAGCTAGTTTATCAGACAGTGACAAACAAGCATCTATTTATTTATTTTATGCTCTTACTTGTGAGAGGCAACAGCAGTCAGGCAAAAGCAGACGCAACTGTAATCACAATCCCTTCACACTAGATTATTTTATGTTTGTGTCGTCTTTTCTGGCTCAGATGTAATTTCAGTAAATAATTTATGATCAGTATTTGCTGTATCCTGGTATATTTGTGTGTGTAAAATAAAAATACTGTTGATAAAGTTTTCTCTGTCTGCTTTAAAAGGACAGCCGTTGTCCCAGCCCCAAAACGTTCAGCTGAACAGGAAATGAAAGAGTGTAGTCCAGTGGCGCCCCCAAGGGGTGGCAATGGCCCCCTCAGGAAACGCCAGTGTTCAACCGTAAATTTGTCTTATTTATTCAAGACAAAAATGTTAAACAAAAAATATACAATTAATATCAAAAGAAATGATCTGATTTTTTTTAATAATGTTTCTTCTGCTCACCATTAAAAAAAATTCTATAAGTTTTTGCGAAGACAACAGGTGAATTAAACAAAAAAAATTAAAATTTTGAAATAAAATATCAAATAACTAAAATTTTTATTTTTTTCTGTAAAAAAGAATAAAGAGCAATGCATCGCCACAGGCTCAACTCTCAAGAGTTACCACAAGGACCAGTTAAGCTTGGTTTATGCTTGACGCATTTACTTTCCGCTTGGTGATGCGGCTCGCGGATGGAACGAGCATCACAGCTCGCAGCGTTTATGGTTCATGCGGCTTGTCTCTGCGGTGAGCCAATATTCTCCCAAACTGTAGGGGGCAGCATGGAGCTCTACAGCCTGCATCCAACACTACACCATAGTAGAAGTAGAAATTACTGTTTACAACATGGCATTCCAGCATTTTTAACAGCGTCCTCGTCTTTTCCGACAGTGCGAGCTATTTCTCTCCAAGAATTATTAACAACATGTCGATCACGGTGATCTCTGAGAGCTGAATCATACAAATGTCTGTATTAACGAACCTCTGCCATACTAGTTCTTGCCGGTCCGCCATGTTTTTCTGCGTCCGACCGTCCGCGTGGTTAGAAAATTTCCTAGGTGCGCGGTGCGGAAAGTTTGGGCCGTGCGGAGGCGCGGTGGAGGGGCGTGGTTGTTAAAATGATGCAATTTTGCTGCGCAGAGCAGTGCGGAGCTTGCAGACGCGTCAAGCATAAACCAAGCTTTAGGTGTGCCACCCTGACATTTTCCTTGGCCCCTTTGGCCACCCTTATCAAATTTTTCTGGGGTCGCCCCTGCTCTTAACAGCTGGTTTTGATCCACATCAAGAACTCGTTTTGACACCACCAGTAGGTAAGATGCCAGAATTTGAGATGATCTATGGAAGCCATCATCCATGACCATTCTCGCTCACGAGTACCAGACTGACGCTGTCGGATGGCAATAAATGAACGTGAATTCGAGCTTATTTCATGATAAACACGTTTTTAAATTTCATTTAGATTTATCTGACAGTCATCCACGTTTTGTTGTGAATAAATTTACGTTCAGATCCACAAAACAAACAAATTCAATCTGCAGCAAGCAATAGGTTTAAAAATGTTATTAATAAACAAATAAACAACATATAAATAAAAACGGGACTAAAACTCTAAATTTCAGCAGCGTTTTTAAATACTAAAGAAAAGTATTTCTTCCAGATGAATTTGATAACAAACAAGAGGTGTGGTTTGATATGGGACCAGGAGGGGAGGAATGTTTCTGAAATCTCGCGGGAACTCACGCCGAGCCTGTGAACGTCGAGAGCATCCTCACGGACTGCTGGGATGCGAGAGATCCGGAGGAGATGGAGACCTTCATACGTTTGTCCCTGATTTTGAACGTAAGTCCGTTTTTATGACTCTTTTATGTCCACAGAAACATAAATCCCGTTTTTAAACGATTTTCCTTTGGCGTAGAGGGAAAAACCTGATGTGACACGGAGGATGCGCTGGTTCAAATCCCACAAATCCGCTTTTGACTGTGACAATAATGCTAGCGCGTGGATTTTAACTCAAAACTGTTCCTTATGAAGGCTTAAATGGACATTTGAGGGTAAAATGTGCAGCCTGGCGTTAAGTGGGGCGTGTGGGCCTGTGAGCGATGCGGTTGGAGGTAGCCCCCCTCCTCCACCCATCCTCTCCAGTCTCCATCAGCTCCGTGGCCGATACTAAACAGTTAAATAATAGTGATTTGTTGTTTTGGGGGTGAATTTCAAACAGTCGGTTGTGTTTCTGTAAGCAGGTCGTTTAAAACTCAAGAGTGGAGGAGCACCGTCCCCTAAGATGGGCTCCTGCGTTGTTCTGCACTGATTATTTCACGCTCCAGTTAAACGTGCGTTGTGTTCACGCATTGCTCTAGGTATGGAGGGATGCTGTCCTCCTTCTTTTGATGCCTCTTATAGCCTGCAAGGACGGACAGGCCCAGATGGAGACAGACTCGTGAATGCCACTGAGGCTGTGAGAACAGATGATAAAGTGTCAGATTCATTCAACGTATGGTTTGGATTTAAATGAGTGAGAGCTCCTGGAACCAGATGAGACAATTTGATAGTACTTGACTGTAAAATGTCCCAAAAATGATTAAAATGTACGTTTAAATTTTCTAAAATGATAACAAGTCTTAAATATTTCAAATCCTGAATATTATCTTTAAAAAATACTTATATTATTTCTGTCAGTTTGTAATATTTAAAGGAGTAATATGTAGGAGTTAAACTGACATCCTGTGGTCAAATTTGGTTGCTGCAGTCACTTTCTCGCTCCCGTTTTGAGTTTCATGGCTGTTGTCAGTTACGGAGCAGCACCAGAAGATAGACAACTAACATAGACGAGTCACACACAGGAAGTTGATTAATAGATAAAAACATTGTCATATCTGGTGGTAGCACTCTTGAGTGTTTTACAGTAGGGAGCACTTACTACACGTAGTACAGTAATATGCCTCCAGCATAAAAGGAAGTTTAATAGTTCTGAACAAAGAGCAAGTCACCCCCTACCAGAGTATTACTCCACTTCCACTTCCTGTTTGAAAAATGCAACAAATTACGTTGCCTAGCAAACCGAGAGGGCGGAGCCGCTAACAAACACACACACACACACACACACACACACACACACAGAGAGAGAGACTCACAACAATATTGCGACATCATATGGTACCAGCTAACGCTCTAGGGTACCTCTTAGCCAATAACGATGGCAGATTTAAATTCACCTGCAGTGCAGAGTTTTTACCTGACAACGGCACAACACTGACAGTTTTAGGCAGAAAATTAAAAATTTAACTAAAATGCACTAAAGTGCAAAACTATATATAATATAATATAATTAATATAATATAATAAATATAATATAATATATTCAACGAAGGGTTGAGAAAACAGATTTGAATGAGAATCCAGCATATGAGGTTTTTCTATAAAACTGCTTTAGGATGTGCAGACTTTCCTTATTCACTCCATCTCTCCTTTGATGCTGCAGGATCTTGGGAGTCGAGCCAAGATGTGACTGTCACGGTGCGTCATAGTTAGGTTCTGTCCAGCCTACACGCTTGTTTCTATAGCAACAGAAGTATCAGAGAAGTCCCATTCCAACAATGCAGTCCTCCTCTCAGGCCTCGAAGCCACGGCGTTTTGACGCCAGCAGGCGGAACATTTCCCAAGCTGGATCCAAGGTTCATGGTTCCAGTTTTCAGAGAGAGGATAAAAACATGAACACCATCAACAAGACCTCGCCGAGGAGGATCACTAAAGCTCCTCCTGCCCCGTCCATGATCAGGCCGGGTGTGCAGCCTCGAGCTCCGGCCATCCAGTCCAGACTGAGCTCACAAAAACAGGTTTCCAACGTCTCCAGAGGAGCTAAACCCAAACCCAAAAGCGCTCGTGCAACTACTGTAGTCCCAGCTGCAGCCAAAGCAGCACCTCCTCCTCCGCTCCCCAGTGTCCTCCCTCTTGACCCAAACTGCAATGAGCCCAGCCTCCCGTGTCTGTGCTGCGATGGACGTTCTCCGCAGGACAACAACAGCATGTTCAACCACAACCACAACAACAACAACACCATCTCTCTCAGACAGCAGATGCAGTTGCCACCTCCTCCAGGCCCCCTAGCCCCGGTGCAAGATGGGAAGAGGGCTAAGGAGCAGGTCCCGTCGGAGGCCAAGGCCCACAAGGAGCCTCCTGCCAACCTGGAGAAAGCAGCAGAAAAAGCAGGTGAAGGGGCCGACGTGGATAACAAGAAGAAGGTCGAGGAAGATGACGATGATGAGAGCAGTGGAGATGTTGCTATCGATGAGGCAGACAGTGATGACGATGATGATGATGACACTCTGGTGCCGTCCTGCTGTGACTGCCCCCCATCTCTTTTGGAGTTCTCGCTCTCCTCGTCTTCCTCCTCATACTCCACTTCCATCAGCTCCTGCTCCGATCTGGATTCCGACTGTGCCGACCAGTCCGCCTCCATCTGCTCCTCACACGATCAGGACAATCTGTTCATTGCGCTGGACCCCAGGGAACACTGTCTCGATCCAGTTCCGGAATTCCAGCTTTCTGCCCGTTCACCTCCTTCTCTTTCTCTTAATAAAAATCCGTTCTCCCGAGCTTCCCGCTCTCCAAGTGCCGATTACTCCCCAGATGAGGGCTACCCCTCCGCACTCGACTCACCTTCTCCTGACTTCCTAGGACTCAAAGGTGACTCTGAGGTCAACAAGCTAGGTTTGCTTGACTTCCTGGAGTCCGTAGGGGAGTTTGGTAAAATGGAGCGCTTCAGCCAGGTGATCCAAGTGGCTCACTGGGATCTGGAAGGGGAGCAGCACTGGGATGTTCTGCGGGACCGTTTGGATCACCTGGATCGTCTGGAGAAGGTGAACAGGGAGGTTAAGCTTGCCTACATCGCCAGACTCCATGAGAAAGGTTTGGACCTTGGAGATCTGGAGGAGCAGGACCTCACAGACGTCATGGACGAAATGGGAAACATAGACATTCCCTGGAAGTTGTACAAAAGCCAGAGTGGAACACTGAGGGACTCTCAGGAGTTTTCCGATGCCGGAGTTGACCTGACTGCTCCGTCGGACTGCGACGATCCACTTGTTCCTGACTCACCCTCCCCTGAGGAGCCTCCACCTAGACCACCAAAACCACCGGCACGTCATGCCAGTGTGACCTCTGACCTTCACACCTACATCCACATCAGTAGAGAGAGCTCCTCCACAGGCGTCACCGCCTCCCCCACGCTGGTCACCTTCTCCCCTAACTCCTCGTCCCCCACCTTCACCACGTTCAGATGTGAGAAGCCTCCCCCTTCGTCTCCACCGTCCGTCCCTCCTCTCCCCGCCTCCAAGCCGGTCTCTTACCTCACCCTCTACACCGCTCCTTCTCCACCTCCGCCCATCGCCGCTCTTATTCCTCCCATTCCTCCACCCAGAAAACGGCACCTTGCCAGGAAGGAGGCCCAGCGCCTCGCTGCTCTTCAAGCTGAGCAGGAGATGACCCCCGTCTCCCTTCCACCACCCACCACACGCCCTCCCCCTCTGCCTCCTCCGCCCGTTATTTCAGTCACTTCCTCCTCCTCTCCACCTGCATCACCACACCCACCCACCTTGCCCCCGCCCCCCTCCTTCCACACTTTAGATGTGGAGATTCGGAAGCTGCTGATGCTGGCCGGACTGACCCAGGCGGAGCTGCTCAAGCTCAGCCCTGAGCTGGGCGTCTGTGTTGGGGGGCTGGAGGAGAAGGAAGCCGATAATCTTGTTACATCCAGATCTCTGGAGTCACGAGAGTTCAGGTTGCAAGACGGAGGGGAGGAGAGTGAACCTGGTGCAGGCCAGTGTGATGGAACAGCAAATACAGCCGAGGGAGGTGAAAAGGAGGACGAGAACAGCAGCGCACAAAGAACCACCTCGTTTACTGAGATGGCGAGAAGAAGGAAGAGGAACACGAGTCTGATGGCTGACCATTACTACAGCTCAAGTTTTAGCAATTCACACAAAGCCATGAGCATCGAGGCTTTCCAACGTCCTAAAGAGCTCCCCCCCAGTTCTCCACCGCCACCTCCTCCTCCTCGTCCTTTGCCTCCAATCCCGCCTTCGCTGTCACCCCCAAAAGCCAGCACTTTACCAGCCAACTCTGAGCAGCCTGAGCGCTTTGATTGGCTCATAGCGTTCACACCCGAAGCCCCGCCCCAGCTCTCAGCCGCGGAGAAGAGAAAATCTCACACGGAAACCGCCAAAAAGCCGACGTCATCGGGCTCGCCTGCACGTTCCGGTCCAAGAGTCACGACCTTTAAAGAGCTGCGCTTCCGCAACAAGAGCGCCTCCCCTCCGACGAAGGTGATAACTGAACCCGAGCCCGACCCCGCCATCGTCACGCCCGATCCAGACATCCTCTACAACTTGAAGTGGAGAAGGGAGAAGGCAGGCAGCGATGGCAGCCAGTGGGAGTACACCTCCCAGGCTCAAGCCCTGTTGATGCAGCCGCCGCCAGCCCTCACCTCGATGGCCGCCCTGCAGGAGATGCTGCAGAGAGCCGACGCCGAGGGCAGGCAGCCTGAGCTGTGCCCGTCACGAGAGATCTGCGACAGCAGCCTGTGGAGCACAGGCAAGGAGGAGGAGAGAGGAGAAGTTCAACCAGAGGTAAAAGAAGAGGAGACGGTGGAGGTGAGAGGCCAGGCTGACGGAGGGAGAACGCTCGAGTCAAGAACCACGGGTGAGTTTGAGCTTTGTGACGAGTCTTTGACATTTATGTTTATCTTTAGAGGGTTAATTCATCCGTATTTGGATCCGGCTGCAGATAGAAAACCAGGCTTGCTTCTTCAGAAATAAAAGCCTTTGACAGTAAAATAACAGGAAGCTGATGAGAGTAGCATGAGTCACAGAGAGGGATAAGTCATGATGGGATGGATGGGGGTGCTGGGGGATAAACGAGCACACGAGAGTAAACCAAAGAGGGCAATTTAAACTGAGATGTAGCAGGATAAAGACCGTAATACGAGGAGAAAGTATTAGGCTGGAAACTTTCCAACCAGTACTTCCTGTGTGGATCATCAGAGTGTGATGTCATCACAGCTTCATTCAATAATTCATCCTCTCTCCACACTGAGTGGATCTGATGGTGGAGAGCCCACTGAGGAATCTGTTTTCCTCATTATTCCCCATTAAACCAGTCTGCTGTCATCCTGGTTTCATCCTGTCTGTGGGTCCTCAGGTCTTCCCGACTTGCTGCTTTTAAGCCCCAACAGCCTGGGATGTTCATCCGCTCGCTGCCGATCTCCACCCTGGTCCAGAAAGCTCCCATCAAATTACTTTTCTGATTCGGCGCTGCAGGAAGCCTCTCAGAAACTCGGCTTCGGACCTTCCAAAGTCCGGATCTGGTGAAAGAAAACATCGAGTAGTTACTGTTTAAATATGTAAGATTACTTTGACGTCTTCAGCGATTTTCCTTGAGAAATTCTTGCATGGACAAACAGAAGAACACACCGCGTGTACACCTTTAAGGGGTGGATCTCAGTGTGTGAGCCAATTGCTGAGAACCTGTGTCATGAAAACAGGAAGTATCATATGTTGAGTCCAGTTCAAAGGCAGCTCCAGTCTAAACAAGGTACGGTTTCCTGATTTAGCTTTCTCTTTCCTGTAGCCAAGCAGAAAATTGGGCTGCCTCTCCAAACGTCCACAGAGGCGGACGCCATGACTGAGCAGAAACAGACTAAGTAGTGTTATCTGTTAACTGACTCAGCATTGTGAAGGGGGGGGGGGGACAGGAAGACAGGGAACAGAACCGAGACGACCAGCAGGTGATGGGAAGTGAAAGCAGAGGAGGACGCGAGCCAGAGAGATGAGTCTTGTTGATCAGCAGTGGCAAATGAAGTAAATAAAGCTGTAAACCAGTTTCTGCTGGCATAAAAAGTTAGAATCTGGAGTGACTAAAACTTCCTCATTCATTCCAGTTTCTGTCTTATTTAATGTGCATATTTTAAATCTTAAACATGTGTGCAATGTTAGTTTAGATTCTTTGTCCTTCAGGCCAGATGGTCTTGGAGGTTTAGTTGGTGTCAAGATAAACAAAGTCTGGTTGTTTCCAACTAAACCTTAAAGGTGTGGATCACTAAAATAAATGCATTTTAATGATTATTTCTGATTCTAACGGGTCACTCTGAGTTTTCATGCAGGCTGAACATGAAAATAGTCTCCTACACCTATCTCCTGCAGTAGCTTCTGATAGAAAACAGACAGTGAAACTCTAGGATAGAAAATCCTGACGGATCTACGTCACGCTGTCACTTACATTCATGGAGTCGCCCATCTTGGCTCTTGACGGGGAAGGCCGTTGTTGGTTTAGCGTCCAGGAAACAGCAGAGAACGTCTCTGCTAGCAGAAGCTAACCGTTAGCATTAGCTACTCCACCACACAGCAGAACTCCTCCAGGCTTGTGTTATTTGTGGAGATAAAACGTCAACGTCGCAGAGCGACCAGAGTCAGTGATAGAGTCGTGTTGCTGTTAGCCAATCAGAGGAGAGATGTCCAGATATCAGGAAACGAGACCCTGCCGTCTAAAGCTCAGCTGTGATGCGGCTCATGTCTAGAGCACCGGTCTTTTTTACCCACTGAATATGACTTAGGAGGCATTAATTCCTACTAGAGACCTCTGCAAACGTATTGATTAAACGAGCGTTCCACACCTTTAAGGTTTATTATCCACATCATTTTGGGTTATTTTAACTGGTGCACCTGAGTAGAAACCCCAGGTAGACAAAGCAGAAGGACGGGAATGTTTGGTTTTCATAAATCAGCCCCATTCACCTCCGTGAGCTGCCAGTGCGCTCCAGTTTAAATGCTGTACTGCTGCTCTTAGGAATGTGCTTTTGTCTCTCGACTGACACTAACATTCTTCACATCTCTCTCTCTCTCTCTTCCCATTTCTTTGCCTCGTTAATTTGAACCGAATCTTCCTCGTCTCTCTCACCTATCCATCCTGTTTGGTTGCATCCATTGTTTGTCCAACTGCTTGGCTTTGCTCCCTTGCATCACTGCGCTCATGCATCTGCCTTCTAATAATTTTTGACCTTTTTCCACCCTGAACTAAGCAGTTTCCTCACCCCCACTCCCCCTCGCCCAGTCCTCCCAACCCTACTTCCTGCACCCTGCCCTCCCTTCCTTTCGCCCAGGCTACTGTAGCTCACAGCCTCTTGCAGATCTCGGCTCCCAGAGACGCGTAGGCGAAGACAAACACTTCGGCAAACACTGGAGCCCCGCTGCCAGCTCAGCTCGTCTCCACGGAGATGATTCCAGCTCTGGATTGAGCGATTCTCTGGTTGATTTAGGTGTAGGTTCGCCTCGCTGCTATGAGGATATTTTTAAACGGAGCACACAATCGGCGAATCGAAGCTTTACTGATTCTAGAGCCAACAAAGGGGAGCTTGTGTCTGACTCGGTTTGTAACTTGGACTCCCTCTACAGCAGCGATTCGGGGAGCCCCCTCGCTGGGTGTGACCCGGTGTTTAGCGGCACCACTGGAGGGCCGGGCTGCTCCACCCCCTATAAGAACATAGACGTCATGATGACGTATTTAGACAGCATCGGCGCGGTGGACTCTCTGTACTCAGAGCGGAGTTCACACGCAGACCGTAACCTCTACAAGGCAAGAACGCACAAAGAGCTCCCCCCACTCCCCACCTATTACCTGTACTCCCCTAAAAACTGCCCCCTTCACCGAGGGTCCCCTCCTCGCCTCTCTCCCATCGGAGCCCTCTCTCCTCCCCAGCGTTCCGGAGCCCCCTGCTCCCACCTGAACTCCCCTCTTTTCCCCCGCTCCCATACCCTACCTGCCCTCGCTGCTCCCCTCTACTACCCAAACCTCTACCCTCCTATACCACCCAGGCCTCCCCACTTACCCCCAAAACTCTACCAGGGTCCTCTGCAGCCACATGTGGCGAGTAAGACTTCTCTCTTCTCTTTCACGACATTTTACGTCCTCTTTGTGTCTTTTTCTGTGGTTGTCCTTTGTCTCCTGGACAGATTTGTCTCATGGAGGATTTACAGATCTGTGAGGAACTGTAGTTGTTGTTTCGGGCCTTCTGATGCGTCCTAGCCGCTCTATCCTTCTGAGACCTTCAGACGGGGAACAGCTGTTCCTGTCACAGACAGTCACCCTCATCACTGTATCTGTCTTTGTCCTCCTGCTCTGTCTGTTTGTCTCGTCTGTGCCGTCTCCGTGTTGTCTTTGTCTCTGTGCGCTGTTAAAACCGACTCAAGCGTTTCATGCAAACCAAACCCAAAGTGCTGATTTGCAGCGAGGCCCTGAAACGAAGCTACCTCCTGCTAATTCTGTACATGTGTGAATTTAGCATGTTTATATAAATCTTCTTATATAAACCCCGACGTGGACGACACCTGCCCTGCACGTGTGTGTGTGGTTTCCTTCTTAAGTCTCACCTCGTTTTTGTGCTAGCTCTTCCTCAACTCTTCAAATATGCTTGTTGTAAATTTGTAAATCAATTTACGTCGACTCCCCAAAACTTCTCAGTTCCCGTCATGGATTTTCTTTATTTTTCCCTGTCAAAAATAAAAAAAGACAGAAAACTCCAGAGGTAGGACGGGGGTGGGGGTGCTGTTAGAGACTCGATTCTCCAGCAGAGAAACTCTGAGCGAGGGTGGATGAGTGGGGGTGTACAGACGAGAAAAGGTGCAGCAGGGCAGTCGAGAAGGAGGAGGAAGGCCCCGTCGGGGAGTGAGACGGCCAACTTCACAGTTTGTTTGAACTCAGGGGGCCCCCTTGTGGCCTGGGGGCCCAAAGCGGTTTCCTGCCCTGCCTGCAAGTGGCACCTCTGCATATTACCCACAACCTTTCAAGGCAGAGTTTTAAATTAATGTTTATGTTTATGTTTATTTATTCGGCAGACGCTTTTATCCAAAGCGACTTACAATTTATAACCTATAGGGCATGTTGTGATCTGTGGGGGAAACCGGAGTACCCGGAGGAAACCCACGCATGCATGGGGAGAACACGCAACTCCACGCAGAAAGGCCGCAGCCGAGTTTCGAACCTGCAACCTTCATGCTGCGAGGCAACAGTGCTAACCACTGCGCCACCGTGCAGCCCCAATTAACCCCCAGAAACCCAAATTTAGAAAACAACCGCAAAATCTTTTTTTAACCTTTCACATGTTGTTCTAGGAGGCCAGATAAACGGGCCTATTTACACATTTTAGCAGCCAATAGTGTTGCAGAACTGAACAATAGGACCTATTAGCAATGTAAATGTGGTTTTAAAAAGAAAAAAAATGGGGAAGGTTTATTTTTGTAGACTTAAATCTGATGTTGTAATATTACAACCGTGGGTCTCTGGGGGTTAATTAAGACCATCTTATATTGAGAAATGATGCAGTGAATGCTGTTTTCGGGTAGCGGGTCAACCGGTTACAGCTCTCTACATGTGTTGGATTAACTAAACACCAGAGCTGCAATGCAGAAAAACTGCAAAGATGGCGTCGGCTCAGGAATGGTGCTCATTCAAAACGGGTTTTCTCCTTGAGACACGAGCAGACGAGGTACTTAACTCATTCACTGCCAGCCGTTCCCTGATCAGATTAGCCCTTCACAGCCAGCGTTTATCAGTGTTTTCACTGTTTTATTTTTAAGAGTCACAGAATGTTTTGTGCTAGGATGATGTCGACACCAAAACAACCAAAACAAAGAGGAGACTCGCCTCTTGCATCAGGATGAATCCGCGCTTTTCGAACATTGTCCGTTCTTTCGTAATCCGTTGTTGAATTGTGATCGGCAGACACTTTTCCGGTTCGCTCCTCACTTTTTTTACAGCAGCGGCCCAAATCGATCTCCTAACACATGGATGTTCTGCTTCCTGATCACGTGACGTGTGACGTACGCGGATGAAGATCGGCATAAGAGCGGAGATGTTTGTTCTCACGGTGCGGGGGCTCGTCCGACGCCCACACAGTAAAAAAAATGCCAATGACGACTTTAGTCCCGAACAACCTCAAATGGCTCCTTTTCGATGCGGAGGAGCAGCGACTCCTCTCCGAGTTCCTCCCGGATGTCCGAGCTCCTCGCCCTATCGATGGAAACTCATTTCGGTCGCTTGTATCAGCGATCTCGTTCTTTCGGTCACTACCCAAAGCTCGTGACCATAGGTGAGGGTAGGAACGTAGATGGATCGGTAAATCGAGAGCCTTGTTTCCTGGCTCAGCTCTCTCTTCACCACGACAGACTGGTTCAGCGTCCGCATCACTGCAGACGCAGCACCAATCTGCCTGTCGATCTCCCGCTCCCTCCTGCCCTCACTCGTGAACGACACCCCGAAACACTTAACTCCTCCACTTGGGGGAGGACCTCTCTCTCGACCTGGAGTTGGCAAACCACCCTTATCCTCAGTCAGTGAGTTTTAACTAGTGTTACAGAACATATTCCCGTTTATTTTTGATTCCCACAAATTCCCGTGAAAACTGGGTGGTTAGTTAGGCATCAGTTTGTGGTTGAGGTTGAGTTTCAGACGTTTCTAAGATTCTTGCGTGAACTTTCCCATTTGAATCCATGTTTTAACACAGAAGATTTTGGTGAGTTGACACGGGAGAACTTCGCATCGCTGTTTTTAAATGTCAGCTCAGGTTAGTTCGGTTGTCTTCTCCAGCAGACCAGAACTGCTTCCATCCCTCTAACTGCACCTACTAATGACAACAGTGATATTTCCGCATTTGTCCCACCCGTAATCACCATTTCTCTCGCTGTAAGCTGTTCGCAGTGTCTCGTTCGCCGGTTCTGTGCGGCGGAGCGACGCACCCTGGATGGGCGAGGATGCGGAGCGTCCAGTCAGAGGTCTGACCTCTCTGTGTCTGCAGGAAAAGAAAGGTGCTCGTGTTTCTGCATGTGTCCGTGCACGGCGCTCCCTGTCTGCTGTGTTTTGACTGTGGACAGTTGTTTTTCCTCCTCAGCGCTGGTCGGTGCAGTCGGCGCAGCAGTGGAAGCCATCTTGGCCCAGTTCAGTTCTTCTCGGACTATCGTCCAGAAGGTTAGTCACTGATGACGAGCTTGGTGCCTCAGAAATCTCCTGCTTTTCGTTTTGCTCTCTCCTCTCCTCCCTCTTCTCAAGCTCCCTTCTCCTGAAATGTCTCGCTGTATTTCCTCACCTCTCCTCAGGCCTTATCTGGAGACAGCGCCGTAAATCCATCTCTGGGCCGCCTGGTGCTGCAGTGCCTCTGCCCCGCCCTGCATAACTTGCTGACTGATGGCTTGAAACCTCACCAGAGTGACCTGATTGCAGGCAGGAGGCCAAACTCTGCCTGGGGTCTGGTCCAAGCCACAGCGAGGCCAGGTAGCACGCTTTGTTTCTGTTTGTTGTCTTTATTCTTCCCTCACACATCTATCCAAACTAGCCGACTTCGCCGATGAAAAAGCTAAACGATGTGATCCGGCGGGAGGCAAGCATCGATTGGCTGATGAGTGCCAAGCTTCACCGCAGTCAAGTTCTGTTTCTTCTCCTCCTTTTTTTTGATTTTCCAAACGTTTCTCATCTAAAGGTCCTAAAACTCAGGCCTTGTTCAACCTGCGAGTCCGAGTGGGCGAGCTGCCCCAGCTGGAACGGAGCAAACACAGGTTCAACGCCTTCCTCCTCGGACTTCTGAAGTAAGGACGACTCGTGTGAATCCCACATCAGGTTCAAGCTCCGGGTTTGACCTCCTGTTTAATCGTTCTCTTTCTCCTCGCAGCACCAAGCTTCTGGATTTCTGGCTGTCTCATCTTCAGTCTTGCTGCGGTGAGTTTCAAACGCGCCACAGATCATCCTGTAGATTTCATAAACGTCGTAACCGTTTTTCTCTACGTCTCAGATGTGCTGGAGGCGTGTTACCATCCCAGCTCTTTCATGCGCCTGTCGCTGACCGCCTGTCGACCTCAGTATGAGGAGCTGCTCCTCGTGCTGCAGCCTCTCAGCCTGCTCACCTTCAACCTGGACCTGCTCTTCCAGCACCACCATTTGGAGCCGGATGCTCAGAGGCCGGGGGTCCTCAGCTCTCCCCTTCAGGAGGCCGGGCGACAGCCGGACACACGAGGCCAACCAAACATCACGGGCAGCAGATACACAGAGAGCCTTTCTGAAGTAGACTTTGGAAGTCCAGAACATCCAGAAGCTACAAAGTCTTCAGCTGATCCAAAGGTTGGAGGGCGGGAAGGGTGTGCACACCCAGACGCTGAACCTGGAAAGGCTTTGTTTACTCTTGGGAAAACGAGTCCTCAGCTGCTGTGGGTGCAGGAAAAGGACATTGGAGGTTTACCTCCTCCGGATGCTGAGGAGGACAGCTTCACTCAGCAAGCAGGACAGGTAGTCACACCTGTTCTGTTGTTTGTTGTTTTTGTGTGATTCTTCCAAGCTGATTTTCTTTTATCATGTGTTTTAATTCCAGGCGATCCAGCAGGGATGGGGAGCTGTGATGCGCTGGGGGGGGCGGCTGGGTCACAACCTGTCTGCGGGGAGAAGGGACGAGGCCCAGACAGGAAGTGACTACGCTCCTGTCAGCGGTGGCACTCCCGTTCCCTGGAGTCTGGGGCGACTCTTTGGAGCCTCTAAAAGCCCCAACAGCCCAGCTGGTCTCACCCCCCCAACCAGGTGACTCTGAGTTTATAACACAAGTGCTGCTGCTGCTTGTTCGCACAAATGGCTGCACATGCAGTTTAATTTTCACATCGAGTGGAGTCCCTCCTGTTGGTCAACCCCAGCGTGGGTCACGGGGGTAGCTGCTCCAAAAGAGAGGGCCATGCCCTCCGCTGTCCAGCAGAACGTTCATGCTTTTAAGATCAGGATCAGACCCACCTTTTTAGTTTAGCTTTTAACTGATTACATGTTAAGTATTTCATGGACGTAATTTGGGGGGGGGGGGGGGGGGGGGGGGGCATGTCCCCCACTTTTTCCAAAGTCAAGGTTTGACCCCTGCACTTTTTACCATCAAAAAGCAATATTACGCTATTTTCAAATTGACACTGGTTGAGCTCTAGGACCAAGCGGAAAACAACCGTTGTGTTGAAGCCTGTTTCCCTTTAGAGCATACTGTAAAGATCCCCCCCCCCCCCCCCCCCAAGTGTCTCTCCCACTTCTAGAGTGAAAATTACGTCAATGCGTATTTTAATCCTTCCAGTGTTTCCTCTGTGGAGCCCTCTGCCTCGGTACCGGAGGTCGGTGGCGGCGGCTGGGGCGCTCCTTGGGTCGTGCCCAGGTAGTGGTGGGGGGTTGTCACTCTCCCTCCCAGGGCACCCTGGATTGGTGGCCTAGATTGCCGTGGATCTGCTGCTGTCGAGGCAGATTGCTCCCTTGATGGCGTGTCTATCATTACCTGTCCAATCTGAGCTCAGCCTAGTGTTTACTGTGGTCTTTAAATGTGGACGAGTGTGTGTGTGGGGGTGGGGGGTGGGTGGGGGGGGGGGGGGGATATGGGTCATATGGGTCATTTTAAGCACTTTGTGTTGCATCCTATGAATTAAAAGTGCTTAATAAATAAAGTTTGATTTGATTTGAATCTCCACCAGCTCCACCAGAAGGACCTCAAGGTTTCGCTGGCCAGCCTGGAGATACAATCCCTCTTGCATGTCCGCCTGAGGGCCTCCTACCTGAAGCGTCTGTTCTGGGTGGCGTCCCGGCTCCTCCTTAACTCATTCACTGCCAGCCGTTTCCTGATTGCCAACGGCCTTCGCTGCCAGCGTTTCTCACCGTTTTTACTGTTTTTTTAAGAGTCACAGAACGTTGCGCGCTAGCATGATGTCGATGCCAAAACAACCAAAACAAAGAGGAGACTCACCTCTAACATCAGGAAGAAGCCGTGTGTTTCGAGCGTTATCCGTTCTTTCATAATCCGTTGTCGAATTGTGATCGGCAGACGCTTCTCCGGTTCGCGCCTCACTTTTTTTACAGGAACGGCCCAAAACGATCTCCAAACACATGGATGGTCTGCTTCCTGATCATGTGATCTGTGACGTATGCGGATGAAGATCGGCTTCAGGGATGAGATGTTTGTTCTCTCAGCGCGGGGGCTTGTTCCAATGCTCAAACAGTAAAAAAATGCAAATGACGACTTTAGTCGTCATTGGCAGTGAACGAGTTAACCCTCCCACTGTCTTCATGGGTGACCCCGCGAGGAAAGTGGACCATTGAGCAGGATTGATGGTTTATCCCACGCATGGACCTCAAGGGATAAACCATCAATCCTGCTCAATGGTCCACTTTCCTCGCGGGGTCACACCCGTTAGGACAGTGGGAGGGCTAAACTGCCACCTTAGGAGGACTTTTAAGTGCCCTAATGATCCTTGGAGCTATGTTGTCCAGGGACATTTTGCTCGTGGTAGGGTTTCCTTTGGCAGATCAGTCCAAGGTGAAGAGCGAGACAAAGGGTGGTTACAAAACCTTTTCATGAGTGTACAACTAGAGGGTTACCAGAGCGTCACCCTGGAGCCGGTCCTGGCATTAGGGACCTGGAAGATGGGCTTTTGGCCAGCCTTTTTTTTTTTCTTATCCGGCTCTCAGAGAGTACAGAAGCTTTTTCTTCAGCTCCCTTATCTGCTTCCCCAAGGCTCTCTGTCCTGTCTGCCTACAGAGCACTTCTCTGCATTTCTCCTGAAATCACTACTTCTCTTTTGGAAAATGGACTTAATTAACTGGTCATTCAACGCAATTGATAAGATTTTTTCTACGATGAGAACGGAGAAGGGGGCTCCCACCTGTCCCGAGGGGACATTCGCAGCGGGATATGCACTCGATTCTTGGGAGGTCTGGCGAATCGTGTGCCTCTCTCAGTTGTCCGTCGAGGACGTGGAAGATTTGTGGATATTCGGCCTGATGATCTCTGGATTTCTTCTGATTGGAGTGGGAGGATATCTGGTTTTCTGGAAATTTGGGAAGACGGGAGCGATTGGAGTGCGACCCGCACCCACGGAATGTGCCGCCCGTGCGGTGACCTCACAGACTGGGACGTTACTCGAGGTGAACCGTAAGCTGGACAATGTCCTCGCGGCATTGCCTGTGTTAGTGCGCAAGATGGATGTCATCTCGGAGAGGGTCGCCGGATGGTGTGGGGATGTTTAGAACGTATAATTGGCTTCACTGGTGGACATGAATGACCACTTAATGAACTCCAAGGCAGAGAGGAAAATTATCTCTGTCTGCCCTAAACAAAGTCTTGTTTATCCTTATCTGACGCCAAGGCAGCCTCCAAGGAGGAGTTTTTTTGTATAATAGAGCTACTCCCTGCGAGAGGGTGCTCGCTGCAGAACCACAAAGGCGGAGCTGCACCATAAGGTGAAGCTGCACCAGAGTCAGCCCCGCCCATTCACGCAAACTCAGCCTAGCCCACTGACTTCCGTCTTTGTTTTTCTACTTTATCGCAAACTAACTTGACCCACATGAATTACGGCTGTTACTAGTTTACAATCGTTAATCCTATGTTCTATGCTCCAATTAAACAAGATAAATATAACTTGCTACATGACAAAGCCTGAATATATCCTGAAACGAAAAGGTTTCTTTTAGCGAATATCTGTCCACAGCCGCTCTGACAAAACTGGTGTACAACAGCATATTACATTATTGAATGGGTTCTGGTAGTCTAGTGGCAACATCGTCTGACTTAAATTTTGCTTTCCCCTCAGCTGATGCTGGTTCGATTCTCGGTGGGGTCGGCAGCAACCTATTTAGCCAGCTGAAACATTTAATTTGTTTATTTTTTAGTTGTAATGTTTATTTTCTGCAAAATATTTATGTCTCTAAAAGTTCTTTGAATTTAGTCGTTCCTAATCAGCATTTTAGTTGAAACTCTGCTCACACATGGACTCACACTGGCTGAATAAACGAATATATGTTAAACGGTATACCAGTAACTTGTTGTAAACAAAGTACTGGCAAGTGTAGCTAGAAATGAAGAAAAGAGGTTGTAAACTACCTAATACTTTCGCTACTGGGAGAAGAACCTGCGGGAAAATGCATGTCAACCAGACTCCATAACCACTGAACCAACACTTCAGATAACAATAATGTGGCGTTACATGTAATTGTGCTACCCAGTGTGTGTCTTTGTAGATGGGATGAATGGTTTATTGGCGGTGTCTCAGTAGAAGTCATTTCAGAAATAATTTGTCAGAAAATTCACAGAATATCCAGATTTGAGAACCAAGACCAGACCCGCTTTGGGGGAGGAGACCAAATTGAAGCTGAGATGGGAGGAAAATGCATGAATGAGGCCAAAAATGGCTTTGGCGTGTTTCTTATGAGGAAATGACAGTATAACATGGTTAAAAGTTCCAAAAGTTTGATTTTTAATTATATAGAACCTTTACAAAAACTGTTCAATTAACTTCTCAACTCCGTCCTCAATCTTGCAATTTTTAGCTATAACACCTAGCCTAGTGAACTAGACCAAATTCTTGCTTTGCAAAGAATGGTCTAGGCATGCTCCATTGGAACCTCAGCAGCTCCTACCAGGACTCTGGCTAGCCAATCACAGCTCTCTAGAGGGGTTTCAAACACATAAAGAGCTGTGATTGGTCCATAATGGTGGGCCAATCATAGTGCTCTATCTGCTTAGTGAACAAATCACAGAGCTTTATCCACTTTGTGGGCCAATCAGGGCACTCTATATGCCTGGTGGGTGGGATGATGCAACAGAGTGAAACAAGAGTATGTCACATTCTTTGTCCAGTGGAATGTGGAGATCATTTGAAAGACAACGGTAGAACCCGCCCCACAACCGAGAGCCGTCAATGGAGCATTGCCAGACTAAATAATACATTTATTTAGTCTGGCTTGCCAGGCTATATAACACCCTCTTTGGTTCCAGAATGCTATCAAGTCTGACAACTGAAAGGAATTGGACTGACTCTGATGGAATGGCCGGGGCTGATTCTGGAATGGGCGGGGCTGATTCTGGCGCAGCTCCACCTTCTGGTGCAGCTCCGCCTTTGTGGTTCTGCAGCGAGCACCACTTGCTCCCTGCTGGGACTAACTCTGCTATGCCTTTTTTTACCTTACCCCAGTTATCCTCATGTAACACCCTTTTCTTCTAATGAAATGAGCGCCGTTCTGGCTGCTCTCGTGACTGCCTGTACCTGTTTTTGTCTACATGTGTGTGTGTGTTTAACCTTGGTCAGGTTGTGTTTGCGGAGTCAAGTTCCTATGCTCTGGGTCGCTGGAGCGCTGGCAATAAAGCTTATTCTGATTCTGATTCTGAACCGGTTACTTGGACTTGTGCTGTAACTGCCTGTGTTTTTCATCCACAGGCGTCCTTCTCAGTGGTTGGCTCCCGGTGTCACCGCTCTGACCCGAATGGTGAGCAGCAGTTCTGCTCCGATACTACGACGGATCCCTGAGCCCATTGGAAGGAACAAGTCTGATTCAGAGAAAGACACAGACACTCTGGAGATGAAGGACAAACCCAAACCACTCAGGTACTTCGCTCATGGGGATAGTAGAGAGGAGGGATGGAGGCAAGAGACAGACTATAGCCAGGGACTAGAACTACAGACTAGAGCCAGAGACTAGAACTACAGACTAGAGCCAGGGACTAGAACTGCAGACTAGAGCCAGAGACTAGAACTACAGACTAGAGCCAGGGACTAGAACTACAGACTAGAGCCAGAGACTAGAACTACAGACTAGAGCCAGGGACTAGAACTACAGATTCAAGCAAGGGACTAGAACTACAGACTAGAGCCAGAGACTAGAACTACATACTAGAACCAGGGACTAGAACTACAGACTAGAGCCAGAGGCTAGAACTACAGACTAGAGCCAGAGACTAGAACTACAGACTATAGCCAGGAACTAGAACTACAGACTATAGCCAGGGACTAGAACTACAGACTAGAGCCAGAGACTAGAACTACAGACTAGAGCCAGGGACTAGAACTACAGATTCAAGCCAGGGACTAGAACTACAGACTAGAGCCAGAGACTAGAACTACATACTAGAGCCAGGGAATTGAACTACAGACTAGAGCCAGGGACTAGAACTACAGACTAGAGCCAGAGACTAGAACTACAGACCAGAGCCAGGGACTAGAACTACAGACTAGAGCCAGAGACTAGAACTACAGACTAGAGCCAGAGACTAGAACTACAGACTAGAGCCAGAGACTAGAACTGCAGACTAGAGCCAGAGACTAGAACTACAGACAAGAGCCAGGGACTTGAACTACAGACTAGAGCCAGAGACTAGAACTGCAAACTAGAGCCAGAGACTAGAACTACAGACAAGAGCCAGGGACTAGAACTACAGACTAGAGCCAGGGACTAGAACTACAGAGTAGAGCCAGGGACTAGAACTACAGACTAGAGCCAGGGACTAGAACTACAGACTAGAGCAGAGACTAGAACTACAGACAAGAGCCAGAGACTAGAGCCAGAGACTAGAACTGCAGACTAGAACTACAGACTAGAGCCAGGGACTAGAACTACAGACTAGAGCCAGAGACTAGAACTACAGACTAGAGCCAGGGCGTAGAACTACAGACTAGAGCCAGGGACTAGAACTACAGACTAGAGCGAGGGCCTAGAACTACAGACTTGAGCCAGGGACTAGAACTACAGACTAGAGCCAGGGACTAGAACTACAGACTAGAGCCAGGGACTAGAACTACAGACTAGAGCCAGGGCCTAGATTTACAGACCAGAGCCAGGGACTAGAACAACAGACTAGAGCCAGGGTCTAGAACTACAGACTAGAGCCAGGGACTAGAACTACAGACTAGAGCCAGAGACTAGAACTGCAGACTAGAGCCAGAGACTAGAACTACGGACTAGTGCCAGAGACTAGAACTATAGACTAGAGTGAGGGCCTGGAACTACAGACTAGAGCCAGAGACTAGAACTACAGACTAGAGCCAGAGACTAGAACTACAGACTAGAGCGAGGGCCTAGAACTACAGACTAGAGCCAGGGACTAGAACTACAGACTAGAGCCAGAGACTAGAACTGCAGACTAGAGCCAGGGACTAGAACTACAGACTAGAGCCAGAGACTAGAACTATAAACTAGAGCGAGGGCCTAGAACTACAGACTAGAGCCAGAGACTAGAACTACAGACTAGAGCCAGAGACTAGAACTACAGACTAGAGCGAGGGCCTAGAACTACAGACTAGAGCCAGGGACTAGAACTACAGACTAGAGCCAGGGACTAGAACTACAGACTAGAGCCAGAGACTAGAACTACAGAGTAGAGCCAGGGACTAGAACTACAGACTAGAGCCAGGGACTAGAACTACAGACTAGAGCCAGAGACTACAACTACAGAGTAGAGCCAGGGACGAGAACTACAGACTAGAGCCAGGGACTAGAACTACAGACTAGAGCCAGGGACTAGAACTACAGACTAGAGCCAGGGACTAGAACTACAGACTAGAGCCAGGGACTAGAACTACAGACTAGAGCCAGAGACTAGAACTACAGACTAGTGCCAAAGACTAGAACTATTGACTAGAGCGAGGGCCTAGAACTACAGACTTGAGCCAGAGACTAGAACTACATACTAGAGCCAGAGACTAGAACTACAGACTAGAGCGAGGGCCTAGAACTACAGACTAGAGCCAGGGACTAGAACTGCAGACTAGACCCAGAGACTAGAACTACAGACTAGAGCCAGAGACTAGAACTACAGACTAGAGCCAGAGACTGGAACTACATACTAGAGCCAGGGACTAGAACTGCAGACTAGAGCCAGAGACTAGAACTACAGACTAGAGCCAGAGACTAGAACTACAGACTAGAGCCAGAGACTAGAACTACCTACTAGAGCCAGGGACTAGAACTACAGAGTAGAGCCAGGGACTAGCACTACAGACTAGAGCCAGAGACTAGAACTACCTACTAGAGCCAGGGACTAGAACTACAGAGTAGAGCCAGGGACTAGCACTACAGACTAGAGCCAGAGACTAGAACTGCAGACTAGAGCCAGAGACTAGAACTACCTACTAGAGCCAGGGACTAGAACTACAGAGTAGAGCCAGGGACTAGCACTACAGACTAGAGCCAGAGACTAGAACTACAGACTAGAGCCAGAGACTAGAACTACAGAGTAGAGCCAGGGACTAGAACTACAGACTAGAGCCAGAGACTAGAACTACCTACTAGAGCCAGGGACTAGAACTACAGACTAGAGCCAGAGACTAGAACTACAGACTAGAGCCAGAGACTAGAACTACAGAGTAGAGCCAGGGACTAGCACTACAGACTAGAGCCAGAGACTAGAACTACCTACTAGAGCCAGGGACTAGAACTACAGAGTAGAGCCAGGGACTAGCACTACAGACTAGAGCCAGAGACTAGAACTACAGACTAGAGCCAGAGACTAGAACTACAGAGTAGAGCCAGGGACTAGAACTACAGACTAGAGCCAGGGACTAGAACTACAGACTAGAGCCAGAGACTAGAACTACCTACTAGAGCCAGAGACTAGAACTACAGACTAGAGCCAGAGACTAGAACTACAGACTAGAGCCAGAGACTAGAACTACAGAGTAGAGCCAGGGACTAGAACTGCAGACTAGAGCCAGAGACTAGAACTGCAGACTAGAGCCAGGGACTAGAACTACAAACTAGAGCCAGGGACTAGACAGATATGAGTCTGAGTCTTTGGCCAGAGACTGGAGCCACTCCTAACATGTGGCCAGTAAGAGGCCATTTTGTGAGTTCTTTAAGGATAAATGGATCTGAGTTCTTAGGTTTAATTAAATTCCAGAGAACGGTGCATTTTAATCTGTTTTAGAAACTTTAAAGAAGACGTGTCCCAAAGGTGCAGCTATTTAAGACTTGACCGAGTCAGAACCCTCTGTGATGATCTCACACAACAATTTTAGGCTGGATTGTTTAATAAAACACAAAAAAACGGTTCTTTTCCATTTATGTAGTAACGTCTTCCCCCTCCAGGAGCAGCGGTGGGTTGAACAGAAACCAGAATAGCTCCTGTTTTCATTTCTGCCTCTGACTGGTGACTCACCAGTCTGACTCTGACTGGTCCTGGCTGTGACTCACCAGTCCTGCGTCCTTTGCTGGCGTTGTTGTTTGTGGCTGCTGCGTGCGATGACGATGACGGCTGAAGCTGACTTCTCTGCCTCAGGTCTGTTCGAACGCTGTGCCACCACACGGGGACCGGTTCGGAGCTCAGCTTCTGCAAAGGGGAGGAGCTTGTGGTGTTAGGAGGCGTCGACCAAGACTGGATTCGGTGTCGTCAGGGAAACAAGGAGGGGCTGGTACCTATTGGCTACACCTCCCTCATCATGTGACACTAAAACCGCTGCACTAACTCAGTTAAAGAAATAAACAAATGCATATAAAATCTATACTTATTTATAGAAACGTATATATTTGGTGAGTCTTGAGAGGTTGTGAGGTTGCAGCGCTACTCTGAGGGATATTTGTCGCTGCTGTTTGAGTTGAGAGCATAGCGCCATCTGCTCTGCTTTACTTTCATCACCAGTCGTTTTCACCATATGGGATGTTTTCCCACAGCAGTCCTCCCAGTGTGGCGACATTTAACGGCTCTCATTCAGCAGGAACACAGCAGATGGTGTGAAATAATGACTCAACTCAAATTTAGACGCCTGGAGGCGCCTCTGATCTCTGAGTCAAGTATCCCTTTTTAACGTCTTTCTTATTTCCTGCCCTCCGCCTCGGCCGCCGATCGGGAGCCGACGCTCTGCCCCGGCAGACTCGTGCTCTTTCCGATGGGCGGCTGTGTGCCCGCCGGAGGAGAGAGAAAGCATGTTGGAGTACCGCGCTGCAGCTTTTGGTGCACACCGCGTAACTATGTAGTGAACTGTAGCCGTGTAGATCTGTGTTCTATCGACCTTTCACCCTTTATCAGCCTCTCATCTTTGGCCTGGTTTGTGTGTGTTCCTGTTATATATTTGACCGTATAAATATATATATAAATATATATAAAGACTACGTGTATAGCTAAACGAGCAGAGACTGGTAGATATAAAGATAGATGGCAGATGAGTGTGGTGTTACATGATTGGTCCATTTCTACTTGTGCAGCTTGCCTCACCCATCCAGTGAAAGTTTATTTTAGGTATAAAATCCAATAACTTCCCTCTTGTGTGCTTCGTGTGCTGCCGATATAGCTCAGATGTGTTTTATTTATTGTCCCGTGAATCCTCTGAGTCTAACATTTACAGCGCGGTGCCGAACTCATCCCTCGTTTCTTTAAGTTTTACTTCCAAGGAGCTCCTCGTATGTAGAAGTGATCCCGACCAATGTTCATTCATGTTTTCTGAAGGTCTTTCGAAGGTTTTCCCAGAACTTTTTCACTTATTTACAGTGGCGTGTCCGGATCTTTTGAAATGGGGTGGCCCAGGTGAGGCACAACTTTGTGCATGGGTGGCACCACTGGTTATGCTTTTTTTTTTGTTTTACCCCCCAAGCCTTTTGCGGACAATGAAAAGCCTATTTAAAGGTAAATTAGTGTGGTGGCACCTGGGGTGGCCAATCAGATTCCAAGGGTGGCATGTGCTACCCGGGCCACTCCCTGGACACGCCCTTGCTTCTTTTTCTATTTATTCAATGTTAGTTATTCATTTGCAGATTTTGAAAGGGTAGAGTATTCAATGGTTGGTTTTACTTTTAATTAAAAAAAAAAACAGCAGCAGACTTCTCAACAATTTAATTTCATAAATAAAAGAGCGCCCTTTCTGGAAGTATCTCCCGTTATCCTGAAAGGTAAACGCGGACGCACATGTGTTACCGGCGGCCAGTTTTACATCCACTACTTTTTAGATATATATATTTAATTTTGACATTTCCTTTTTTCTTCTCCACCTGTTTAATTTGCACGTTTTTATTGCTAAACATTGTCATGATTTGGTTCAAGGGCTTAAAGTAACACTAAACCTTTTCCTGCTCCTCCGCCCTGCTGGTTGAAAGTGGAATTACAACTGTCGTAAACAACCCTGCCGGAGCTAGCGGCAACAATGAGCTAATGCTAACATGAGCCAACTAATACTAAAATAAACCACAAAGTAAAAAGATCCACACTGTTGGACAAAAATATTATTACTTATAAGTCCAGCAGCAACAAAGCCAGGTCACCATCAGTCCGTGATTTTGTAGCCTCCTTTAGCTCCCTCCAAGCTAGCTTAGGACGCACCGATGTTCACTGTGGTTTTAGCTCTTTGCTTCACCTCCAAAGACATTACTCTCTTACTTTTACTTCCTGGCTCCGCCAAGGTGCGGTAGCACATTTGCAGTTAGTACAAAACTCAGCCGCTAGGTTCGTGATAGGCACTAGGCGCAGGGAGCATATCACCCCTGTGTTGGCATCCCTTCATTGGCTGCCTGTGCAATACAGGGAAAAATTCAAGGTCTTGGTACTGGCATACAAGGCCTTACAAGGAACTGCTCCAGCATATCTTGGCAACCTTTTGCATAGGCACGCCCCCTCGCGGGCCCTTCGCTCAGCCGGCAGGGAGCTGTTGATCGTTCCACGCACTATGTGCAGGTCACGGGGGGACCGTGCGTTCTCGGTGTTGGCACCTGCACTTTGGAACCAGTTGCCTTTGGTTGTGTGTCAGTCACCCTCATTGGGATTTTTTAAGACTCGCCTTAAGACCAATTTTTTTGTCAAGGCTTTTCAGGATTAGCAAATTTTACCCGGTTTCGATGCCCCGGCCTCTTAATCTTTTTCAGGATTTTATTTTTTGCTTTTACTCTCCTCTTTTAATTGATTTTATGTTGGTTTTACGATTGTTATGTTTTATTCTGATGGTTTTATGTTTTTATTGTGCCGTGTTCAGCACCTTGGGCGTCTGCATTGGTCGCAGAAGGGGCTTTATAAATAAATGAAATGAAATGATGCCAACAGAAAAACCTAATTTCTTATTTTTTTCTATCTGTGCTTTTTATTGGCCATTGGCGAACTGAAAATGCCAATCGCAAGCGTTACAGCTAACCGCCGTAAAGCAGGTAAAGGGCCCCCCATAGAGGACCTACCCACTCCACTGAACTATCAAATATGGTTTTTGGCCAGCAGAGGGCAGCAGAGTGGTGTCAAATATGAAACTGGTCAAGTTTCTACCTCAACAATCACTGAGATCAACATTATATCTTAGCTTAAAGTTAAAAAAAACTATTTAGTGTTACTTTAAAATACAGTAAAATGCAAAAAAAAAAACAATGTTCAAAGACCTACGAAAGCCCGAAGAACTACATTTAAATGCCATTCTGAAAGATCTCATGACTTTTGGCTTTTTCGAAGTAAAGTTTAAAGAAATCTGGAGTATTTCAGAACTTTTGCATGTCCTGTACAGCTACACACGCACCTAGTAATTAAAGAGAATATCAGACAACAGCAATTTGCAGCTCAATTAGTGGTTGAAAAAACCTGATTAAACTATCTTCAGCTCTTAATCTGAGATTAAATCCCAGATTTTCTGGAACTCCTGGAAGTTTCGGTGAATCCTGCAGCTTTGGTGGCTTTTTCTGATCATAGTTGATGTTAATGGAAGTGGCCGTGGTTTTATCCAGATGCTGCTCACATGAAACGTGTTGCTTTGTGCCATATATTGATTTGTTTGTTCTCTATATTCTGTATGGATTACTATGCATCTGCGTAAGTGTTTCAGCTGTTTTTGCTCATCAACGAGCCAAACGCTTAGTTTGATGGTCCATCCGAGGCGTTGAGGCGGAGGAAGCAGGAATGCTTTCGTTGGCGTTGAAAAACAAATCAGGGACATTTCAGCTCTTCTTGTTTTATCGTGAGAGTGCTATGTAGCATGAGATTATTGGCGCTATGGCAACAGTCCAGTAGCAGCGAGACAATAAACCGTTTCTCATCATGTAAATAATCATCACGACAAAACGGCGTCAAACTGAAAGTAATAAGAAATTATGTCGACTTATAGATTGAACATTAGTAAAAATATTACAGTTTTTTTTAATAACATGACTGAAAGCTGGTAATTTATTGGATGTTCTATTTATTGATCTTGAGGTATGAAAGGAACGGCTCTCTAGAGCACCGGGATCTGGAGGAGTCAGAGCGAACATGGAGGTGAAGGCAGGGATGATTCTGAGCACTTAGATGCGTCTGCACATCCTGCACTTTCACTGTGTGTGTGCGCGTGTGTGTGCGTGTGTGCACGTGTGTGTGTGCGTGCACGCGTGTGTGTGCATGCATGCGTGTGTGTGTGTGTGTGTGTGTGTGTGCGTGCACACGTGTGTGCATGCATGCGCGTGTGTGTGTGTGCGTGCATGCGTGCGCGCGTGTGTGTGTGCACGTGTGTGTGTGCGTGCACGCGTGTGTGTGCATGCATGTGCGTGTGTGTGTGTGCGTGCACACGTGTGTGCATGCGTGCGCGTGTATGTGTGTGTGTGCGTGCGTGCACACGTGTGTGTGCATGCGTGCACACGTGTGCGTGTGTGCGTGCACGCGTGTGTGTGCATGCATGCGCGCGCGTGTGTGTGCGTGCGTGCACACGTGTGTGTGTGCGCGCACGTGCACACGTGTGTGTGTGCATGTGTGCGCGCGCGTGTGTGTGCGTGTGTGCACACGTGTGTGTGTGTGTGTGCGCGCGCGTGCACACGTGTGTGTGTGTGTGTGTGCGTGTGCGTGCGAGTGTGCACACGTGTGTGTGTGCATGCGTGTGCACGCGCGTGTGTGTGTGTGCGTGCCTCCTCTCTGGTGTATCGTAGCCTTTAGACACTCCCGGGTTCCTCTTGTTGCTCATGGTGCAGTGCTCCTCTGGTGTCGGTCAGTGTCCGGTTCCTGCATGTGCTTGTTTGTAAATACACCAAATAAAAAGATCTGTTCAAACCAAACCTGTTCATCTCTGACTTTTACTTCTGTTCAGCTCCACGTTCAGGACCAAGCTCGGTCAACTGGGGTGTCTGAAGATTGGAAAATGTTTAACCCTTCCACTGTCCTCACGGGCGAGCACCACCTCACCCCGTCACAGAAACCTGAAGGGATGAACCCTCAGCCCTGCTCAATGGTCAACTTTCCTGGCGGGGTCACCCATGGGGACCGTGGGAGGGTTAAGGTTTACTGTAAGGACTGGTGAAGCGGGTACAGAATGTGTTACGGTCGTCTTCTGAACCAAAACGTTTGCTGGATTGCTATTAGGTCATCGAACAGAGTCAGATGCTACGTCTCTGTGTGAAGCTGTCAGAGCTAAAAATGCTGTAATCTGTTAAGACCTGCTCATTCATGACCCACTGGGCTTTTTTCTTGTTTTTAATGAACTTTATTCCATTTGTCTTAAGATCTTTATTTGTGTTTTGAGTTTTTACACGTTCCTCAATATAAGATCATTAGACTTGGACAATCGGGGGGGGGGGGGGGGGGGTATGGGACACTCTTGCTTCACAGCAAAGCCACACAAACTGATTGAATGACTTGTGTTTGTATAGCACCCGCTAGGGTTTTACAACCCCCCAAGGCGCTTCACAACACATTAAATCCTTCACCCCTGCACACACACACATTCACACGCTGGTGATGAGCTACATGGTAGCCACAGCTGCCCCGAAGCGAGGCTGCTGAATACAGCATCACATTATGATGTAAAACTTTAGTCGACGGCGGCTTTTTCGCTTTATAAAGGGATACTTTCAGGTGTTTGCAGTGTTTTGAGGTTTTTATACTGATAACATGTTTTTTTTTTTGTTAAACAAGAACTTACCTCTCATAAACAAACTCGTATTGCTGACCTATTTGGCATGTTTCTGGTCATTTTTACACCTTTCATTGCACCTTTGTGCATTTTCCAAAGCGTGGCATGTCAACAATAAGGCTTATTCAAGTTTTCAATTCAATTCAAGTTTATTTATAAAGCGCCAAATCACGACAAGAGTCGTCTCAAGGACCTTCAGTAAACATTCCAATTCAGGTCAGTTCATTAAGCCAATCAGAAAAGTTTCCTATATAAGGAACCCAGCAGGTTGCATCGAGTCACTGACTAGTGTCAGAGTCTTTACAGCAATCCTCATACTAAGCAAGCATGCAGCGACAGTGGAGAGGAAAACTCTTTTAACAGGAAGAAACCTCCAGAGCATCCTGGCTCAGTATAAGCAGCCATCCACCACGACTCACTCACACACACACACACACACACACACACACAATAAACTTTATTGTATTTATCCTAGTGAATCTATAATTAATCAGGTAAACTAGCAGTAGCACATTCAATGTCAAAGAGAGTAAAATGTTGTTATCAGGAGAGGGAGAATGTTTAAGTGGTTAGCAGCAGTGTGCTAGCCGACGGCCCCCTCCACGAGGCCACCACAGCTTATGCTGATACTATTCCCCAGTTCAAATACTGAATTACACTTTGCAAAAACGAGCTAAAAACCAACAATTCAGGTTCATGCATGACCGAAAAAGTCCTAAAACACAGATCAAACAATCCCAGGATGATGGGATGCCTCTAAAGAAAGCTGCATCCTTACCCCATCTTGTAGTTGTGCTCCTTGTGACTGCGCTGTCCTCCATTGTGTGAGGCCTAGCGATGTGTCAGTCGCGAACGAACCGGCTCTATGAAGAGAACGACAGGAGCCAGCTCGTCATTGGGAGCCGTCCCCTCCCCTCTTGCTTTGGTGAAAGCTACAGGCGATTGGTCAACATGTGTAACTGCGTGTCCAGACTGTCCACACACAGAGCAGTAGGGGCGGAGAAGAGGGGGGACCAGACTCAGACACACAGCAGAGCACATGCGGGCGGAGGGAGACGAGAGGGAATGAGGAGGAGGAAAAAGGCCAGCGAGAGAGGGGAGAGTGCGACGAAGACGGTGAGAAAATGAGCGCCAGCAGTCGGAAAGTGGAGATTTCTTAACTCATTCACTGCCATTGACGACTAAAGTCGTCATTTGCATTTTTTTTTACTGTTTGAGCATTGGAATGAGCCCCCGCGCTGAGAGAACAAACATCTCAGCCCTGAAGCCGATCTTCATCCGCATACGTCACAGATCACATGATCAGGAAGCAGACCATCCATGTGTTTGGAGATCGTTTTGGGCCGTTCCTGTAAAAAAAGTGAGGCGCGAACCGGAAAAGCGTCTGCCGATCACAGTTCGGCAACGGATTATGAAAGAACGGATAACGCTCGAAACACACGGATTCTTCCTGATATAAAAGGTGAGTCTCCTCTTTGTTTAGGTCGTTTTGGCATCGACATCATGCTAGCGTGCAACGTTCTGTGACTCTTAAAAAAACTGTAAAAATGGTGAGAAACGCTGGCAGCGAATGAGTTAATGTGTTCAGTTATTAAATCCATATAAATGATAAATATTTTATATATTGCATTTATGTATATTAGTAAATCATTTTACATATAGTTTAGCATTATTTTGGTTATAAATGAACTCTACGCAACAGAAAATCTGAGGAGCCACTTGGGAGCCGAAAGAGCCGGCTCTTTTTGGTGAGCTGAGCCAAAAGAACCGGCTCTCTAAAAAGAGCCGGAATTCCCATCACTAGTGTGGCCTCAGAGGACAACACAACACCAGACGTACCGTCTTCCACCACTAGGCAGCGCTGTTGGCCCAACATCCCACCAAACACCAAGAAGGAGGCAAGTTTGTAGGTCATAGGAGACATAAAATGCTTTTATTATTATGGGTATTGAGGCAAAATGCTTCAGCTTACATTCTACGCTACGATCACTGATTTATCTTGTTTTGTTTCTCAGATGCACGCCGTCAGAGGCAACGGGCGAAGCTTACAATGTCATGCAGACTTGATAAATAACTCTGTGTACCTTTGCTATAAAGTTAATCATCCGCTGGCGATAACGTAGTGCCTTTAGTTAAAAAAAAGAGAGAGAGGGAAAATATACATACAGTATGTAAACAGTCAAAGCAATTGCACTTTCTTGGCTCGTTATAAGAAGCCACACTACTGAAAGAGAGCGGAAACACCGGAGGATAAACGCTTTCACTGTCACTGATTGTCTGACCAAAAACAAAAGGAGAGGACTAAATACGTAGCTCTACAAAACCGTCGGAGATCATCTACAACCGTGTCAGTCGTGAGTAGAAAGGTCTGATATATTGGTCAGCAACTTGTTAAAAACATCTCAGCAGAAAGAAGGTTGGATTGTTAGCTTCATGTTGTTTTTTTTACCCAGATCCACGTGGATAATAGCAGATCTACACGCTGCTGCTGAAGGAAGGACGGTACATTCACACGAAACCAAACTTCCACCTATGGACGTAATTTTCACTTTAGAAGTGGGGGGGGGGGGCGGGTATCTTTACAGTATGCTCTAATTGGAAACAGCCTTCAACACAAACAGTTGTTTTCCGCTTGGTCCTAGAGCTCAACCAGTGTCAATTTCATATAGCGTAATGTTGCTTTTGGATGGTAAAAAATGCAGGGGTCAAAACTTGACTTTGGAAAAAGTGGGGGGGACATGTCCCCCCTGTCCCCCCCCCCAAAATTACGTCCATGCTTCCACCGAGTGGACCGCCTCACCAGCTCCTCAGATGAAAACAACCTGTTCTGGATTTGTACAGAAAAGGAAAAAAAAATCCTCAGATATTCACAAAAACCAACAACCAAAGTCCTTATTTAGTCCGTATTAAAGGAGATATTGCTTTGAAAAGAGTGCATGAGCGCGCCTAGACAACATGGCACTTCTGCAGAGCATTCTGGGTAGATGGGTCTGAGCTTCCCTCTTCTTCCCTCCCTCCTCCCGACATTCTGATTGTCAGTGCTCTGGAGCAAGGAGTGAAGCGTTCTGAAAGGCAGCCTGGAGTAAACAAAACCACTCCTACCCCTCACACACACACACACACACACACACACACACACACACCTTTTTATTTCTTGGAAGCAATACTGAAAAAAGTTAACAATACACATTCCTATGGTGAATATAGTCTCCGTTTCCATAGCAGCCAGGACTCGGGCTCCTTTTTCTTGTCTTAAAAAATAACCTCTTTCTTAAACCTCATTAGAAATTCTCTTGCAGCGATGCCAAAACTCCTACCCCACCCCCCACCCCCGCCTATTCACCGGGACACGGCAGACGCCGTCTTGTTGAGGCGAAGCAAGCCCCCTAACACTGTTCTAACAGCTTTTAACTGGCTCACTTCTCCTTGTGCCGTTTCCCAAAGGTGCAATGTGACTTTGAAAGCTTAACGAGGAAAGGAGGGTTCGGTTTCGACCTACTTAGGGCCTAGGCTACATTTGCGTCCCCCTCCGGGCGGATCGTGAGCCCCTCGTCTCTTGGAAACGAGAGAGCTCCACCAACGTACGTCCACCTTAAATGAAATCTACGTCCTAACCGCTTTTGTTTAAGGTGCCAGAGTGAGAGCGATCAAAGCGTGTGTGTTTATAGTGTGTCCACTCTGCAGACAGACGTACATACAGACTTTATTTTTGCGTGCTTGTTCACTCAGCACTAGTGCAAATTCGTTTTCAGCTGGTCTTTGCTTCATCCAGGACAGCCGCTTTCATCTCTCGCCGCCTGGACAAAAGATGGGTTGCCATGGTTTTGTCCTTGCTGCGATGCCCTTCTGAGCACAAAGTTCAACACGCCTGTCTGTCCGTGCACGAGATGGCTTCGTTGCGTTGCTTCGATGCCACGTGTGCTCTCTGGGAAACTTCTGTCGAGGTCAGTGCTGTGGTTTCAGTTCTGTCCACCACTGGACCTGGCCCCCTTTCCAGAGTGATTCCACCTTAAATGTAGGCGAGAGGCTGTCAGTAAAACGTGGCGCGCTCTGCTGGATCCACAGTTTCAGATGCTCCACTTACCTCTCTCTCTGTAAAAGTAACTCATTTAGCCGTTTCCTCCTCTGTTCTCTGTTGCTGCAGACCTCTCGTTTTATTTCCTCCTCCTCCTCCTCCTCCTCCTCCTCCTCCTCCTCCTCCTCCTCGTGTCTGTTCTGGATTTTGCTGAGCTGGAAAAACAAGCACGTGCAGCTAATCTCAATAGCAGATTTTGCTGCTCACCTCATTAAAATATGGTATTTATGTTGGTCTGTAGGAGGCGCGAGGTTTGTTAACTCACACTGGGGCTTGCAGTGAGCACGCTGGAGGTGTCCTGACTTTGGTGGTGGGGGTCACTGCTGATTACCGTCACCTCCGCCCCCACTAAGTGATCTGAGGGTCAAACAGTGTGCAGTATTTCAGCAAAGGGCAGGGAGCTGCAGGAGGAACGTCGTGTCTTTCACAGTCGTGTCTAATTATCTGGTGTTTTTTTGGTTTTCTATGTAAAATCTCGCCTGCGGTCCGTCTTTGAGGGGAACGTGTGTGGTTTCACTGCTAATGGAGAAAGTTGATGCCTGCTGGGTTCTTGGACACCAGCGTTGGATGACAGAAATAGGGAAACATTTCTGCAGGTCGCATTCGGTGGTTGGAAAACCGCTTGGTTTGTGCCGCTGAGTATGATATGGAACGACAAGCCAAACACGAAGTCGCGCACACATACATGCACGCATAAACGAAGGAGACACAAGGCAGGACAACACAGGAGAAGGTGAGAAAGACAAAAACAGGGAAGCTCCACCACGTTTGCATACACGAACACCTACAGAAACAAAAACTAACACACACACTTGCTTCATGGACCTGACTTGATGTGGCTGTCGTCCCAACTGGCTCCATCTTCCCTTTCTTCTCCCTCTTCCTCTCTGTCCCTCTCCCTTTCCATCCTCATTCGGATCTGTCGGTCTCTCATGAGCTCCAGATTCCTGACGAGGAACACGTGATGTTTTACCACAAAGCCCCTGACCCGACACAGAGGAAAACATTAGAAACACGCTCCGACTTTCATTTAATCACAGTTTATCGTGAAACGGCTGCTCTTTCCATACCGCTCAGTGCTGGTCAGAGGCTCTATGTCAAGATGAGGGAACAAGCTGCCGATGTCACTGGAGCCCTCCTGTTCAACACACAGGCAGAAGTAGATGTTCATTCAATTAAATAATCAATTAGACAAAGTGAACCCATCTTATCAGGGTTAACTTGGAAAATCGTGGACGCAGGAGTCCCACAAGGCTATATTGTTGGAGCATTTATGTTGATGTAGCCTCCAGAAATGGTCAGTTTTCCACCTACAGTCTGACCTCTTCAGTGTCTGGCCATCTGGAGACATACGTGTTAACTGGTGCCTTTAATCTGCAAGAAAGATACTGTTGTTTGCCCAAGCTCCCTCTTATCTAAGACTGGTTTTATTCACAGAACAAGACGGATGAACTTTCATAATTAATCATAAAATGAAATGGACAGTATGGTTAAATGAAATGTTTGGATTGATTATGTGTTTAATCCAGATCAACTCGACTAGGTTTGAAGAAGGGAAATCGTGGATGCAGGAGTCCCACAAGGCTCTGTTGTTGGAGCATTTATGCTGATATATTTAATCTAACAGTTGAATGCACAAATATTGATATTATTATCTGGATGTATGCAGATGATACAGTACTGAGGAAAGAAATGTCCTTTTTTAGTTCCTTAAAAGATGTGGCTTGTGTCCTTAATGGTACCGAATTACCCGATAGGGGCGTCGTCAGCAACTATCTTCAATATTCAATAAATTAAAAGACAGTCTTTTATTATCCAATCTGAATTTTAAGCAACATCCAACTGTCTATGAATCAGTTTGATTAACTCCAAAGAGTGTCTCTCTCTTTAAAGGGATACTAAGCTTGCTTTTAACACCCCCTAGTGGCCGTTAGTGAAACCAAAAATAAAACGTATCTCCTCGCTGTGCGTTTGTCTTTTTAACGCCTTGATCTAACCGCTGACATGTCACCTCAGCCTTCCTTGGTGTCTACAGGAGCGATTCATCACTAAATTAAACAAATCAGTCATGTTTGTAATCTAAAACATGCAGGAAATGTGCTGGAAGCAGATTCTCACGCTGGGTAAATGATAAATGACCTGCATTTGCAAGGCGCCTCCACAGTGCTTTACACTACAGTGTATCATTCATCCATTCACACCCTGATGGTGATGAGCTACATTTTAGCCACAGCTGCCCTGAAGCAAACTGACAGAGGCGAGGCTGTCGAGCACAGGTGTCCCCAGTCCGGCCGACCACCACCTGCAGGCAAAGCGGGTTAAGTGTCTTGCCCAAGGACACAACAGCGGAATTTTCTGTCCAGAGCTGGGATCGAACCTGCAACTGATTACTGGACAACCCGTTCAACCTCCTGAGCTACTGCTGCCCTATGTACGTCAACTGGGACCGGACCAGCACTCTGAAGTTGCAAGTGCGATATTGTGGCCACAGTCGGCGGTGGGGTCTGAGTGACATTCCATTAATCCGTATAGGTGATTTTACCACACGCTTAGTCTGGACCAAATTCTTGCTTTGCACAGTTTGTTCTAGGAACGCTCCACTTGTAGCTTCCGCAGCCCCTAGCACTATCCTGGCTGGCCAATCACATCTCTCTAGAGGGGTTTCAAACACATAGGGAGCTGTGATTTGTCCATAATGGTGGGCCAATCATAGCTCTCTATGTGCTTTGTGAACAAATCACAGCGCTTTATCAGGGTAACTGCAGGTTTAACGAAGCCAAAACCTTTTTAAGGCCACTTTGACCAAATTTAAGCTATTTTTTAAATTAAATTTAAGCTATAATTTCCAGCTATTGCCTGGAACCGGTGCTAACCACGTCGCAAACATGGGATTAGCCATCCAGTTACCATTAAACTTGCACTTCCCCATGGCGCAAGCGCCAACTAGCTTAACCAGCTAATGTGCTCATCTAAAAATAGCCCCCTTTCACAACCAACTGAATGTGTACGGTTCCGCTTACGCCAACATCGTACATAAAAAATGCTGAAGAATAACTAGACATTCACGAAAATTTTATAGAAATAAAAGAATCTTGTTTATTGGGTCTTTCTTAATTTAAGACCTTTGGAAACTGTATTTAAGGATTATTTGTCATTTTTAAGGATTTTCAAGGCCTTAAATTTGGAAAAGAAAATTTAAGACTTTTTAAGGACCCGCGGATACCCTGTTTATCCGCTTTGTGGGCCAATCAGGGCCCCCTATTCGTCTGGTGGGAGGGATGATGCAACAGAGTGGAAAAAGATGGCGACAGCTCGTTCGAAACGGCTTTTACATCCATTTTGGACTATTTGGACTTGGGCTTTATTAGAATCAGGAGCAGATAGATGTATTTACGTTATTTTTTTTAGAAAAAAAGGATGCATTTTCACCTTCTTCAACAGCGGACCGCCTCGTTTACCGACATCCATTGTGGTGAGTACGTCACGTTGTTCATTGTCCAGTAGCGTGCGGAGATCGTTTGAAAGACAGCGGTAGAACCCGCCCCACTACCGAGAGCCGTCAATGGAGCGTTGCCTGGTTTGCCAGGCTACCGCATACTGGCTCCAGAAAGTGATTTAAATAAGGAAAAAATAGCACAGTATGGCTTTAGTAGAAAAGGATGGTTCAAGTATTTTCTATATGGAAGCCCATTCGGAAAAGGGTGGCTTGCCAACTCCGGGTCGGGGGAGAGGTCCTACCTCAAGTGGAGGAGTTTAAGTATCTCGGGGTGTTGTTCACGAGTGAGGGTAGGAGGGATCGGGAGATCGACAGGCGGATTGGTTCGGCGTCTGCAGTGATGCGGACGCTGAGCCGATCTGTCGTGGTGAAGAGGGAGCTGAGCCAGAAAGCCAGGCTCTCGATTTACCGGTCGATCTACGTCCCAATCCTCACCTATGGTCATGAGCTTTGGGTAATGACCGAAAGAACGAGATCGCGGATACAAGCGGCCGAAATGAGTTTCCTCCGTAGGGTGGCCGGGCTCAGCCTTAGAGATAGGGTGAGGAGCTCGGACATTCGGGAGGGACTTGGAGTAGAACCGCTGCTCCTCCAGATCGAAAGGAGTCAGTTGAGGTGGTTTGGGCATCTGGTCAGGATGCCTCCTGGACGCCTCCCTGGGGAGGTGTTTCGGGCATGTCCTGCCGGCAGGAGGCCTCCGGGTCGATCCAGGACACGTTGGAGAGGTTACATCTCCAATCTGGTCCGGGAACGCCTTGGGGTCCTGCCGGAGGAGCTGGTGGAGGTGGCCGGGGAGAGGACGGTCTGGAGCTCCCTAGTTGGGATGCTGCCCCCGCGACCCGGACCCGGATAAGTGGAGGAAGACGACGACGACGGAAGCCCATTCCCGCCGCTGAATTAAAAAAAAAATTGTTGGCATTAGATGACATAATTGCTTGCCATAATAACACTTCTCATCACACTGCTGCAGTAGATTGAGCAAGACTTCATGAGACTTCTGGCCAGAAATGTGCACATTTGGCTCAAAGCCACACATTTAAAGGCTCGCCTTAAGCAGTAAACTATAAAATACAACAAAACTCACCACCGTCTGTTGGAAGGAAGCGCTCCTCTGTTTCAGACGACCTGCGTGAACAAGATCCACAGTTAGATCCTCATCCCGGATCAGCTCAACGTGACGACAACGCCTCTCGCAAGGAAAACACTCACGGTAACGCCGCGTCCTCTTCAGGGGGACCGCCGGCTGCCGGCAGAGCTGTAACCAGATGAGAATCTGTGTCATTTTGAATTCTTCTAAAATAAAGATCAAGCGAACCGCCTCAAAGTCCCGCTGTACCTGGTTGTTCTGCCACAGCCACATCACATCGTACGGCAACTGGAAATTAATTCGCTTCAGTCTCAAGTACTTTCCTGCAGAAGAGTTCGGTCATTCAGGTAAGTGTGACGACAAACGCCTGTTAGTTAAGCGTTCTGTGCTCACCAACGTGAATGGGGGCAGGCAAAAGGCTGTACTCGTGCTCCCCTGGCGCGTACTCCGGATTCTCGCTGCTGGCTTGTGAGGGAGGACTGCAACAAACGCAAATAATTCATTCAAATTTGAAATCATAAAAGATGTCAGTGTTTAGTTTGGGGGTTCGTTGAACCCACTCTGTGGTTTTGTAGTCATCAGAGTAGAGGCCTGCTCTCAGAAACACCTTCCTGGGAGGACCGTCTGACGCCTCCTCGGTCTGGGCGGGCGCCGTTTGGGCCGGAGCCGGATCGGCATCCGACGGGCCGAGAAACTCGGGCAGGGCGTCGCACTCGAGGTGATCGGAGTCAAAACTAAAAGGGAAAGCACAAAGAGAGAGGTAGAATGACAGAGAGGAAAAAGAGAAAGACGGAGAGGGCACTGGTTTAGCACACAGTGCTGAAAGCGGTGGGTTAATAAAGCAGAAGTGAGTGGTTGTATTGAACGTTCAAGTCAACCAGCTCCGATGTTTACCTCTGATGATGGGGAGAGTCATCGTGTTTTCTTTTCCGTCCTCTCCTCCTTCTGGATTCCAGCTCTGCAACCTGCTGTGTTATGCTGCTTCCCCCTCCTCCCCCCCTCTCTGGCACCGTTCCCTCCGTCCTTCCTCCCACCTCCCTCCCATCTCGGCCGTGGCTGCTTGCTGGCAACAGGTCAGGTGGAGACACGGTCGAAGTTGTGGAGGAGCGCACGGGGGAGGATGCAGCGGAGGGCAGCGGGTGCTTCCGGGGCCGTCCTGGCCCTCTTTTGTTTTTCACTGCCGCACCGCGCAGAGCTGGCACGCCGTTCTGCTGCCCTCGGCTTCTGGAGTCACCTTGTAACGCTGCAGTCACTGAAGGAGAGAAGCAGGAGGGGTGGGGGGTGAGTGGCAGAGAGGAAATAAGACAGATGTGGATCAGTGATTGAGCCGGCGGGAGGTGTGAGGTGAGGCCAGCCTGGGCTGAGTCATGTGGATGGGCCGCAGATTAGGTGAGTCACGTTTCCTCTGACCGGATCACTTCTGGGGAATGCATTAAAAGTGATTTATGAGCAGCATACACACACACACACACACACACACACACACCTGCACACACACACACACACACACACACACACACACACACACACACACACACACACACACACCTGCACACACACACACACACACACACCACGCACACACACCACACACACACACACACACACACACACACACACACACACACACACACACACACCTGCACACACACACACACACACACACCACGCACACACACCACACACACACACACACACACACACACACACACACACACACACACACACACACACACACCTGCACACACACACACACACACACACACACACACACCACACACACACACACACACACACACACACACACACACACACACACACACACACACCTGCACACACACACACACACACACACACACACCTGCACACACACACCACGCACACACACACACACACACACACACACACACCTGCACACACACACACACACACACACACACACACACCACGCACACACACCACACACACGCACGCACCACACCCCTGCACACGCACCACACACACACACACACACACACGCACACCTGCACACACACACACACACACACACACACACACATGTGCACACACACACACACCTGCACACACACACGTGCACACACACACACACACACGCGCACACCACACACACACGCACACACCACACACACACACACACACACACACACACCTGCACACACCTGCACACACACACACACCACACACCTGCACACACACCACACGCACACACCACACGCACACACCTGCACACACACACACGCACACACATACACACATGTGCACACACACACACACGCGCACACACACACACACACACACACCTGCACACACACACACCCTTGCACATAAACACGCACACACACACACACACCCATGCACACACACACATGCACGCACACACGTACACACACACACAAACATATGCACGCACACAGGCACACACACACACAAACATATGCACGCACACAGGCACACACACACACAAACATATGCACGCACACAGGCACACACACACACGCACGCACACACACACATATGCATGCACACACACGCACAAACACAGGGAAGCACCTGAAACACCTACAGACGGCAGGTTTTTGCACATCCAGTTCGACGGGACTACTGTATAGAAAGCAGAGGAAACCGTGTGAGCCTGTGTTCTTCACTCTTTTACATCCTGGAAAAAAATCTTTCACCTCTTCAAAAACAATCCTTTCCCCTCACAAGCTCTTCTGTGCCCTGCTCTGACCTCCACGCTGTTCCTGTTTCATCAGTCTCTCCAGAGGTCATCCATCTTTTTGTTCCACTTTCCACCGCCCCTGACAAGACCGACCACTCTTTCCTTACTGGATTTTTCTAAGTCAAACAGCAGTCCAGCAGAGAGGAATAGGCCACGCTTTAAATAGCCAATCTGACAGCTACCTAATGACTTTGCTCTCTGGACAGCCACGGGATGCGACAGCACGCCGTTCGCTGAAAACCAGGACGATTTCAAAGAATTTTTGGCAGATTTCCCAACAAGACACTACTTCCAGATGTGTGGTTTACTCATGTCATCAATACATTTGCAGTGGTCTCTAGCAGGAATGAATCCCTTGTAAGTCGTTCTCTGGGGGGAGTAAACACTGGTGCACCATCACAGCTGAGCTTCAGACAGAAGGTTTTGGGGTCTTACTTCCTGATATGTGGACATCTCTCCTCTGATTGGCTAACAGCAACCTGACTCCACCTCTGACTCTGCTCTGCAACGTTGATGCTTTCTCTCCACAAATAACCACAAGCCTGGAGGAGTTCTGCTGTGTGGTGGAGTAGCTAATGCTAACGGTTAGCTTCTACTAGCAGAGATGTTCTCTGCTGTTTCCTGGACGCTAAACCAACAACAGCCTTCCCTGTCGTGAGTCCAGATGGGTGAGTCCATGAATGTTAGTGGCAGTGTGACGTAGATCTGTCAGGATTTTCTAATCCTAGAGTTTCACCGTCTGTTTTCTATCAGAAGCTAATGCTAATGCTAGGTGTAGGAGACTATTTTCATGTTCAGCCTGCATGAAACACTCAGTGTGACCCGTTAGAATCAGAAATAATCATTAAATAATGTTGTTTCAGTGACCCACACCTTTAAAAAGTGTCTGCAGAGCGGCCGTGCAGGTGTCAGGTGCTACCCTTGCTAAGAAAAGTGAATCTGAAGCTGTCTATAAAAAGAATGGAGTCTGATTTCTACTCTTGCGCCCCTCCAGGCTTTGATGTGACTCTCAACAGCTAACCTGAGAAAAGCAGCGTCGTCACTATATTAGGCAAGTTTCATCACCACACTGCAAAAATAAAAATCTGTCACACTGTGCCAGTGAAGAGACTCGGCGTAAACCTTTTTTCTCTGCTAGCTGCCTTCGTTCGGTGCTGTTGACATTTTTCCATTATGTTAGATCCCTCGTTTCACTGAGATTCCTGTTAGGATCCAAAAAACATCCAGTTTGTGGCGGAGAAGCAGGAACCAAAGACAGCTGAGGATTCACACGACCCAAGCAGATTTTTGTTTTGTTCATCAGCACACACACACACACACACACACACACACACACACACACACACACACACACACACACGCACACACACACACGCACGCACACACACACACACACACACACACACACGCACGCACATACACACACAGACACACGCGCACACACACGCGCGCACACACACACACACACATGCACACACACACGCACAGACACACACACACGCACGCACACACACACACAGACACACACACGCACACACACACACGCACAGACACACACAAGCACGCACACACGCACAGGCACACACACTCACACACACACACACACACACACACACACACACGCACACACACGCACACACATAGACACACACACACGCACACACAGACACACACACGCACACACACACACAAACACACACATGCGCTCACACACACACGCATGTGCACGCACACACACAGACACACACACGCGCACACACAGACACACACACGTACACACACACACAGACACACACACGCACACACACACACAGACACACACACACGCGCTCACACACACACGCATGCATGTGCACGCACACACACAGACACACACACGCGCACACACAGACACACACACGCACACAAACACACAGACACACACACGCACACACAGACACACACACGCACACACACACACAGACACACACACGCGCTCACACACACACACGCGCTCACACACACACGCATGCATGTGCACGCACACACACAGACACAGATACACACACGTTTGTTTTTCTATACCTGTGAGGTCTTTGTTCCCTTCCCATCGTTTCAGGGACTCCATCATGTCTAACCCTAACAGGTCCATTCCCAACCCTAACCTAAACTAAGGCTTTAGCCACACCATATCTCTAAAATCAGATAGAGAATTTCGTCAAGGCAAAAGATTTTCCCTTTAGAGGTGAAAACTCAGATTTGGTCCTCATGATTATAAATACAGGCCCACACACAACATCAACAATCCTCACCTGCTTCCCGCCTCTCTGTCCACGCTGGCTCGTCCCTCCTCCATGACCCCTCTCTACTTCCTAGATTCCTACTGAGCAACCCGCTCCTCAGACCCCTACCCCCTGTTGCCATGGCAGCCGAGGTGAACAGATTGGTGTGCGTCGGGGAAAGCGAGGTCCCATACAGGTGTGACTCGTCGTCATCTTCTCCGTCTTCGTCCTCGCCGTCCGATGCGATCAGTCTGCTGGCGTGCTGGTTCCCGGAGAAGCCCGTCCAGCTGGGTTTCCCAAATCCCGAGCTTCCCAAACTCCCAAATTTGGCCCAGCTTTGTCCCAGGCCACCCCAGCCTCCTCCGAACAAAGACAGGTGAGAGGAGCCGAGCCCCAGGGAGGTGAGAGAAGTGTTTTTGTATCTCTCTGCTGAAGAAGTTGTTGAAGAGGAAGCTGGAGAGGAGAAAGGATCGTTGCCGTTCTGGCGTAACCACGGTGATTCCTTGGACAGCATGCTTCCTCTCACACCCTTCCTTCGTTCTTCTACTCGACCCAAAAGGAACCCCGATCTTGGCTTAGAACCCCCCAGCACCTCTCCTTCCATCCCACCTTCCTCCTCGTCATCGTCCATGCTTCGCTCGCAGTGCCTGTGACGGTGTTTATGCTTGTGTTCGCTCCTCCCCCACCCGCAGGAGAGGCTGGAAGTGAACCCTGAGCTTCCTCCTCCTCCTGCCCCTAAATCTCCCTCCACCTCTCCCCCTAAAGCTCCCTCACGCAGCAGCCTGCTTCTCCGCCTTGTGAATCTGGCCGGGTTGAGGAGGAAGTGGGCGTGATGAGGCTGGTGGGGGGTGTACTGGTGAGGGGGCGGGAGCGGGTAGGAGCTGGGGAAGTGGTGGTAGAGTGTTGGTGGTGCTGGAGGATAGCTGCCGTAAAAGCCCATGTTGTCGATGGTTTCCTGGAACTTCGACGGGCAGCCGCACTGCCTGCGGCTGTCCAGCTTCCTGTTGCAGTGGCACGGATAGAAAGGCTGAGGGGTGAAGGACGTGGCGGGAGAGAAGGGTGAGGGGTGAGGCGAGTAGAAGCCGTTCAGATTGATCCTGAAGATGTTGGAGCGGAGGGAATGAGAGGAGGAGTGATGTCGCCTTCCTCCTGCAGCGCTCCCGTCAAGGCCCGGCCCCACACTCACCCTCGCCCAGCTCCGCCGGCCGATGTGCACGCTGCTGAACTGAGCGATCAGATCCTCCAGTTCGGCCAGAAACTCTGGATCCTGCATGAGCAGCTGCTGGTGCTTCTTCTTATGCTTATTCTTCTGTCTCTTCAGTGCGCCGTGCCCGAGGCAGGGGACATAGTCAGGCTTGCTGTGTCCTGGACAGGGACAAGGGCATGTGCAGGTGCAGGACGAGGAGCAGTCGTAATCCCTACGCCTGTGCCTGTGTCTGTCTCTGTGCCTGTCCATTGAATTTGAGCTGCTCAACGCATTTGAGTGTCTGGACATGTGAGAAACGGGGGAGGAGATGGGAGAAGGAGGGAGTCTTTGACCACCGAGAGTCATCCCCGAGCCTTGACCGAACCTAAGTATTCCTCGAGCTCCCCTCATCTCCCCTCGCTCACAAACACTATTGTTGTCCGTTCCGATCCCGCTGTCACTTGGCAGTGTCTCGTCGCTGTGCGACTCACTCCTGGGGGAGGGCGTGGCCTCTTTCAGGTGGCTGGGAGAGCCGGGCGTGGCGTGCAGAGGAGGGGTAGCGCAGGCCAGCTTACATGTGGACTGGTGGAAGGGGAACTGATGTCTTCCCTGACACGGACAACTCTTCCTCACAAAGGTGGAGAGGGACGAGGAGGAAGGAGGACGGGGGGACGTGCAGGAGGACGTTGGAGAAGGAAGAGAGAAGTGATGAGAAAACAGGAGGGAGGGTGACGGCTCTGTGAGGCTTCCCTCGCTGTACGGGCTATGGGCTCCACTGGAGTGGGTGAGAGAAGGAGAGGGAAAGGGGTGAGAGGGTGGAGGCTGGCTGGTGGAGAAGAGCGATGCTTCGGGGGGACTGGAAAATAAAGATGACTGAGTGGAGAACTGGGAGACGGAATTTTGGTTGGCCACTTGGGATTTGGGCTTGCGTCCTCGCCTCTTGCCCATGTAAATGGTTCCTCGTTTGCTCACGTTGATCTGAGGTCCCAGCTTGCTCCCGAACGAGGAGGACAGGTCTGCGAGAGTGTGAACTGTTGTAGCCTCCATCGATTTGCACATTCTCAGTGAGGCTTTACCGTCTGCTGCCTCGCTTCCCATTCCCACTTTCCTCACGTAACCAGACATCATCACTTTGTGAAGTCTCCTCTTCTTTCTCTTCTTCATCTCATTGATCAGTCTCCTGATCTTGAGTTGCCGGTCCCCCCTTTCAGGAGGAGGAAAGTCTTTGCTCCTCTCTGTGTGCTCCATGTGATCCGGTCCACCTTCACCGTCGTCCTCGGGAAGGGCTCTTTTAGGAGGACGGCCTCGCTTCCTGGGGCTGGAGCTCACCTGAGAGGCGCACTGCAGCACTGGCTCCAGCACAGGGGCTTTCTGAACGCTGTCACACCCCGACGGAGGCTCCTCTGCCGGTCTGTCGTTTGGTGAAAGTCGAGGAGGAGGCTCGTCTAAACTAAAGCTGTGGGATTTCGGACGACCCCTTTTCCGTACGGCGCTCATAGAGATCGTGGATGCAGAGGGGGCTGGATCGGATGTGGGGTGAGTTTGTTTTGGAGTCGGAGGTTTGACAGCGGAAGACAGAGGGGAGGAGCCGTTAGACCGGGAGCTAGAGGGTGGTGACTGTGACTCATCGCTCTGCTGAACAGCACTTTTGGCAGGAAACGACGTCTTGGCGACCTGCGGGAAACTTAGCGAGGGATTGTGAGGGGAATCTGAGGAGGTTTCCTGATTTTCCATCCTGTGGGCCCGGTGCACCAGCTTCGTCCAGCTTGGTCTTCTGGCTTTCCGCTTCTTGAGCGGTCGGCTGTCCTGCTCCTGGGGTGAAGAGGGGGGCAGGACGGGAACATGGGCAGAAGGCGGGAGCAGAGGGGGAGGAGGCACGGCCGAATATCTTGCGTTGTCTTGTTCTTTTGATTTATTGGAATCACCTGTTGTTGCTGCTGAGGGCTCGGCTTGTTTAGCCGGCCTGCAACTGTCAGCCGTCTTTTCCTTCTCGTCTATTCTACTGAGAGTCGCAGTTTTACAGCTTTTATCTGGTTTCGCAGCTGTTTCACCACATTTTGCATTCTTATCCTCCGTCCTCTGTCCATCTGGACCGACCTTGTCACTCCTTTCCACCTTTCCTCTCTCCGTTTTTAAATCATCCTCCCATGAATCATCAGTTCTGTGTTTTTGATCCTTTTCTCTCTCGTGTCTAGATTTCCCATCTCTCCCCTTCTCCTTTTTCTTTTTCTTTACGTCGTCCTTTCCTCTCTCTGGCACCTCTCGCTCAGCCTCCTGTCTATCTCGCTTTGATTTCTTTTCTCTCCGCTTGTCTTTCTTAGCTTTCTTCTCCCTTTCTCTCTTTTTCTCCGGTGGGGGCTCCAGAGGTGCGCCCTGATCTTTGGGTTGACCGGGGGAGAGTCCCCCAATGGGGGAAGGCTGGGATTTGGGGGAGACTGGGTGATGGGGAGGCGAGTCTGGCCTACTCTTGCTGGAAAGCTCTTTCTGTGAGCTCGAGGAGACTGGAGGCTTTGCTGAGGGGTCTGAGGAAGAAACCGAAGAGGAGTCGCTGTGTTTTCCAGCTTTGTTTTTCCATGAGGTTGGATTGACAAGGATATTTGCAGAGCTTCTCCCATCAGATGGTCCCTTCTGTTTTGCAGCCTGACCCAAACCATTATGTTTCTTGGAGCTGCTCCCTTCATTCTTGGTTTCCAACGTGGAGACTGTCTGGTTGCTTGTGGCGGCCCGAGCGGTTGAAGCTGTCTGGTCTGCTGCGGGCGAGCAGGCTTTAGGTCCTGCAGGGACGGGCTGACCATTGAGACTTGGAAGCTTGTCCTTCTTCGCTCTCTCAGATGAGCTGTGTGATTTCTCCTCCATCCTATCGGCCAGCTTGAGGGGCACCTGGGGAATGTTAACACACAGTATGACTTTGACATCCATCAATTTGCTGATGACAACAGTGAAGGACTGCGACTGAAAATATTTTGTTACGATCCATCCATTAAAGAAGAAGCGGGAGGACAAAACAGCACGGAAACAAGGGCATGGGGAGGAAAAGCAGAGCGGTAGGGGAGGAAAACAGGAATGGGGACAAAGAAGGGAGAAATGCAAAGGCAGAGAAACAGAGAGGGACGGAGTGGGACAGAAGGGGGAGTGAAAGATAAATGAGAGCAACTAGAGAAAAGAGTAAAAATAGAATAGAGGAATAGATACAGAGCCAAGCCGAGACTCCGAAAGAGAGACAGAAAACGTTGCTATTGGTAGCTATAAATTGCCACTAATACCGATGAGAAGGCTTGACATTTCATACTTGTTCTGTAATTTGGGTACGCGGCTGCTTGAGAGGCGTTTGAAGCATCTATAAGCTCCCCCTCGGGTGATTAGCATAAGAAGCGATGGTCCAACATTTGTAATAACTCCAAGTGGTCTCCGTGCTGTTGTCCTATTTTTAGGCCAGTTAATTCTAATGCGCTGCTTGGGTTTCAGAACTGAGACAATAGCTCGTTTCACAACAAAGCTGGGTGATTTTGCACCACTCCGGCGCGTCGGTGAGGGTGGTGGGAAAGCGCAAAAACCAAAAAAAAAAGAACAACAGCCAAGGCCGGATTATAATACGGGCAAACCGGGCACAAGCCCAGGGGCCCACAGCCACAAGGGGGCCCACGCGAGCAGCAGTCTTTTTTTGTGTGTGTGCAGCAGTCTTAACGTTGGAGAAAAAAGTTGACAAGTAATTAAAATTGCGCCCACATTTTCAAACACATTTCTTTTAACAACGGTAGTTTCTGACTCCTGCTTCAGCCCTCTCCCCCCTCCCCCTGCGCAGCGGTCGCAAACTCACTGAGTACGTTTACATGCAGCCAATATCTGGGTTATGATCGGGTTAAGGTCGGGATTCGGGTTTCTGAGTTGATCAGAATAACCCGTTTACAAGCATAAATAGAAAGAGTTACCTCTAACTTGCATAACCCGATTTAAATGCGGACGTTGGGGTAGCGTCAGGACGTGTGGACTACGTCCAGACGCAATATGCGTCATTTCCGGTTCTTCTTGTTCCGGTATCCGTGAAAACAACAAAATTTTTCCCAGTTCGGAAGAGATAGCGACCGCGTTTGTTTGCGCTTTAGTTTCCCCGTCACTCAAAGTGTGGTGCTGTGCCGCGACTCGCCATTTTGCCCCCAACTTGTTGTTTACTTCCGGTGTTCTGGCGCATACAAGACGTCTCGCTACTCAAAAGACCAAAATTCCTTGCGAACAGAGCATGCGCAGAACACACGCTCTGATGGGGACATCCCGATATGCGTTTACACGACCAAACATTCGGGTTAGAAAAGGGTTACCCCAGGTGTAGTAACCGGGGTTTTAAAAACCCGGTTATGAGCATATCCGGGTTTTTGGCGGTGTTTACATGGACCTGCGGAACCGGGTTATTGTGAAAATTCAGGTTTTAAAAGGGTTACTGGCTGCATGTAAACGCACTGACTGATGCGCCTGCAGCCTCTCAGAGTTCCTGCTGATCTAAACAGCGGGGGGGGGGGGGGGGGGGGGGGGGGGGGCTAAGCATATTGTGCCCAGGGGCCCCTGCAATGATAGTCCGGCCCTGACAACAGCAAATATGTGGCATTAATAATAGATGTAAGCCTTCCGTTTTCTATTTCAGGCTAACGGGGAGGACGGGCGTGTTAGCATACCTGTTTGGCGGCCTTGGTCCCTTGGCTGGTTATAACAGGGACTGAAGTTGGGTTAGACTCGGGAGTAACTGTTGAAGACAACACCGAAGGTTGTGTTAACGACAACGATGATGATGATGTAAGTGGTGGTGAAGAAGCAGATGCTGATTTTTTGCATGTGGCCTGGACGGCGTCCAAGCCCACGCGCTGTTCTCTGTTTTCGTCTGTGGTCGAGCTGCTTTTACTCGACTGGATGGCTCTTCCTTCTCCTTCTGCCCGCAGCACTCCCCCCCTGCTTTGCCTCTGGTAGGTCCTGATGGTGGGTTTGCACACGTAGCTCTCTAAAATCTTGGGTGGCTTTTTGGTGCGCTTGGCCTGGACTCCGATACGCACTCGTAGGTTTCCTTCGGGGCAGCTCGTATCCCTGCCAGAGATCTGGAGCTCCTGCTGCCCTACGCCTCCGCAGCGCCCCTCGATGAGCAACTCCAGCACCGCTCCCTTATCTCCTTCCTTCTTTCCTCCTCTTTTTTCCTCCTCTTTCTTCCCCACATCATCACCTCTCCTCTTTTTCTCTGCCACCTGGTCCTGCTTGGAGTCTTCGGGTGCGGAAGTGGCGTCCAGAGCGGAGGCGGCGGACGGCGGGGTTCCCCCCTTCACTCTCTGGTCCATCAGAGAAGTCGGGGGGAGGAACAGGGTGGTCTGGAGTTCCCAGTATAACAAATAAGTCCAGTTTTGTATTTGGGGTGAAAGGTCAACCACAGAATGCAGGTGTAGATCTGAAAAATGTCCCCTTTATCAGTCCAACAACAGCTGAATTCCTTCATCTAGCGAGGGAACGTCTCTCTTTCCTTTAAGGCTTGGGCTGAGTAAATCTGAATCAGAGAGGAAAAGGGGGAGGAAAAAACAGAAAGATAGAGAGGCCAGGAATTAGTCATTTGGGTGAGCTCAGATGCTGAACAGCAGCCGTACAGGAATGAAGGGGAAAGTCCCCTTCCTGCAGGCGGCTGTAGGGAGAGGTGCTGAAGTCTGTGTCCACAGAGATGATCTCATCATACAGAAAGCTCAGGAGACCAATCAGCAGCGCAAATCCCCAGAATGTCGACACTAACTGGAAGACTTGCTTAACCCCCCTTAGAAAACTGCCTAAGTTTCCTGTAACAATCTGTAACCAGCATAGATGTGAAGGACGACCAACGCTCCCTAAAGCTGTACGCCGATGCTGTAAACCTCGCCCCGCCTCCCCCTAAATCCATACGTCAATCAATCAGCTCTTGGCTAATTCAAACGCTGGATCCAGCCTCCTCCCCTCCTCTCTCCAGTGTCTCTGCGCCTTCTGTTCTCAGCTACTCCCACAAGCGCGCCTCCTCCCGCCCTTCCCTCTGCTGTAGTGTCTTTTCTTTCCGAAACTCCCCCTTTTCGTGTTTGGCTGTAAGCTATTTTTCTCCGTTCTGAGTCCCATCCACTCTCCTCTCCGCCCTTCTCCACGGACCACACAGTGAAACAGTCAAGTCAAACGCTGTACCAGCGTTAATCAGAACCACATTTCTTCTTCCGAAGTCGCTCTTTTCGTCCGACCTAAATCCTTCCATTCACGGTGCAACCGTCCCCCTCCTCCCCCTTTCAGTAACACAAATCCGTAGGAAAGGGTAAAACTTATTTTTGGAAAGGAGAGCAAATTCCTCCTCCTCCCATTGCTTCCTCCAAGTCAAGAAAGCTTTTCATTGACCCCCAATTTTCAATGTGACCCCATGGCAGAGGATCACAGCCTAAAACAACATTCAGCAGGAAAAACCTTCACTCTCGCTGCGTCCAGACTAGTTTCAGACCACGGACAGGGAAGCATCCTCCTCCTCCTTCACCATGCTTCCTTCATCATTCTCTATCTCTCATCAGGGGACACACTCGTCCATTTTCTAATAAAACACACCCTGCCAAGCATTCTTGCGGCTCCCTCACGAGAGACACTTATGAAATAGTTCATCTGTCTCTCGACACGCTGAACCACCCCCCCTTAAAACTTATAAGAGCATCTCAGATAATGTTTTCGTTTAGGAGCTCAGCGGGCCAGCTTTTCCTGCCTCTGGGTCCCTCCGCGCACAAACACCCCCCACTCTGTCTCCTCAAATCACACGAATCAAACATCTGTTCCAGTGACGGCTCTTACGTAGCAGTGTCGGAAAGCATTTTCAAGGCCAATACTGACAAATAAAAACAGAGGTGGACGGAGGCTTAAATTACCGCTCCAGACAGCGTGATCGTGCGATCGTCAAAGCTGCGTGTTTTTTGCAGGATCTTTACAGTATGCTCTAATGGGAAACAGGCTTCAACACAAACGGTTGTTTTCCGCTTGGTCCCAGAGCTCAACCAGTGTCAATTTAATATAACGTAATATTGTTGTTGGATGGTAAAAAGTGCAGGGGTCAAAACTTGACTTTGGAAAAAGTAGGAGGGACATGTCCCCCACCCCCACCCCCAAATTACGTCCATGATATGACCCACTTTCACTCATCAGACTGATATCTACGTGTTAAAAAATGGCTAACATTGGTTGATACCAATGTTGATGACGATATATCGTGAACCCCAAACAAAACACCAAAGAGGTGAAACTCCTTCAGAGCCGTTTGGGGGGTGTCCAAATGGGTTTTTATCCCGCAACTCCGAATTATTCCGACGTCAGACCCAGGGGCGGCGTTAGGCCCGGCTACTTGGGCTGAAGCCCCGGATCTTTCATGATAAGCCCCGGATCTAAATCGCGGAAGTAACATGCAGTACCAAAGTCCAACAGAGAGGGCGCAGCTGGCAGTAGTTTGTATACAGCCTGCCTGAGCCTCCACCACTGAAGAAGAAGCCCTTCAGCAGCCGGCTTCTTCTACACTCTCTGCCTGAAACGCATGAGTGAAGATGGACATAAGGACGTTTTTTAGACCAAAAGTACGGCGACAGAACCCCAGCTTTGATGAGACTGGTGTTGACTCAGGTTTGTGAGTCTTATCTGAAAATATTTGTCGTGCTGCTGGTTTGCCTAAAGTTAGCTTACTATCAGGTAAAGTTGTTGGAGAAAGAAAGGGAATATTTACTATCATCTCACACTAAACACTAACAGGAACAATACTCTGCCCTGAATATGCTTAATATGTAGCTTCAGATGAAAAATAATGTGGTACAAGACACATATATATGATGTTGACTAGTGCGTGTCACGTGTGTGTGCGCGTGCGCGCGTGTGTTAAGCCCCGGATCTTCTTCAGTCCTAAATCCGCCCCTGGTCAGACCAGAAGCTGCTTCCAGGATGGTGGGTGGACTTGACACTAGTGGTGTGGTTCCTCTGGAGAGCTGAGGGAGATTAAATCATGATAATGGCCCCCCATGTCTGCAGCGTCATCACCATCCTGTGACGGAGTCATCATCTGTAACTACAACAGATTACTCTCTCTCTCTCTGCCTGACAACAGCTGGAAGCAAACCGGGCTTCTCAACCTCCACTTTCTCACAGAAGGAAGTTTCTCACGAGTGTCCCTCCTCCACACACGCACACACTTCTTCCCTCCAGTTTCAGGAGCGTGTTGACTGAACATCGCGTACCCAGGTCTCAGTTGTAGATACAGCACGGCACCGGGGGTGTTTTAGCGCACTGCCGGAGGACGTCAACAGGAGCTTCCTTCTCCATAATGACTTTGCGCACCTCCCGAGAGCACCATCCGCTTGATGCTGGCGCACTAACGAATGAAACACACACGTGTTCTTGTTGTCGTCGCTCCTCTCCTCGTTATTACATCAGCTCTGTGCGTTTAAAGCGTCCTAATAAACACAAATAAACACAAACATGATGGGAGTGGGTAATCTGAGCCGCTGCTGGGGACTGTTGGTGATGCGAATCCGTCCCCGGAGACCTTTTTCCTTCTCTGTCCTCTGCCTGCCAGTCCCCCTGCTGGTGTCAGCAGCAACGTTGGAAATGAGAAACATCGCCGAGCAAGACGGAGAGCCTAACGCGCTCAGCAACAAGGGGATAAAATTAGCGCTAAGCGGATGCGTAACCTGCCCGCGCTTTGAGCTCGGTCATGATGACGGGCCTGCACGCGTTAACACAGACTGCCATGACAATCTCTAATAAGGCTACGTAGGCTACTTACCCGAGAGGGAGCGCGTCCCGGAGCCAACTGCGTTCTTCTGAAGCAAGGGAGGGTGGAGGTGTCGCTGTCCTGCTCTCCCCTTCGCTCCAAACAGCAGCAACGATCATTCTGGCGCATCCAAACGTTGCTTTGATTACACAACTACGGCCGGCGGACGTTAAAACACCATCTGGAAGCCAGTTTTATTCCCATCGGAGCGCAGAGCTCCGCTGTGCAACAACATTGGCGCGGCTGTTTTTTTCAGAGATCACCGTCGGCGCGGCTCCGCAGCTAGGTGGCGGACTGGTGACGCTCACCGGAGCTTATTTTGCCCACTTCTGTCGGGGAAAGTTACGCCGCTCCCGCCAGTTCTCTCTCTCTCTTTCTCTCTCTCTCGTCTCTCTGTGTGTGTGTGTGTGTGTGTGTGTGTGTGTGTGTGTGTGTGTGTGTGTGCGCGCGCGCGCGTGTGTGTGTCAGAGAGAGGGAGAGAAAAGGGGGAGCGAGAAGGGGCTGGTTGGTTGGGTGGATGTGCGGGAATGCAGCTGCGTGGCCATTTTCATGTGGCCGGAGGAGGAGATAAAACGGAGAACACAGCTCGGGATCTCACTGCGGTTCGTTCATAACAGGCGGTCGGGTCGGGAGGGTGGAGGAGGTGGGGGTGTGAGGGATTAGACTCCTAATAAAATGGCGACGACTTGGCTGAAGTGTCAGGATTTGGGGAGCAGCTCAGAAGTTGCAGTGCGTCATCGTGAGGGAGGCGACGGGCAGGGAGAAACAAACAGGGTGACGTTCATCGGAGCAAACAAAACTCAGATTTAGAGTAAACATGGAGGTTTCACTTGATACAACGCGCTTCAGTAAAAATGATCTCATTCTGTCATCAGGGGCGTTTCCTGTACCTGGAAACATTGGGGGCTGAGCCCACGTCAGGAGGAAGCTGTGGGAACCTACAGTAAAAAAAAAGTTACAAGCCTTTTGTTAAAGCTTCCTTGGTGACATCATTAAAGCTGCTTTCCGGAGTTTTCCTCTTTCAGAAATTATGTATGATTTCCCAGAAATCCGTAAAAGTGATTATGTTATCATGCACTCTGATATACTGTAAGCAATAAGAGCTCCGTGCAATAGGAAACTGAGCGCTGACCAGAACTAATCAATAGCGTTAGACTACTGCTTACTTGCTTCAAATTTAAGGAATACCTCGGCTGATGCAGAGTTGATGAACTTTTCACGAACAAGTAAGTCTCTAAAATATAAATATATGAGACCACAGCATGACAAAAGAATACTCATAAAACAACGTGTTTTAGCTGGTTGTCGGCTACAGAAGCACATTTATGATCAGAAACGTGAAGTTGCTGTCTAAAAAAAAACAGAAGGAGTGTGATATGCTTGTCAGCCACTAGATGGCGCCATCGGATAAGAGAACTACTCCGGTGTCAGGATCTGCTGCCCCTCTGACTCAACCCAATTAGTTGTTTATTGGACTCACCTGCCCCTTGTTATCCTGCCCACCTGTTTCTGATTATCCTTGTGTATTTATACCCCCTGTTTTGCACTTGTCCTTCGTCGGATCATTGTTTTCACCCTGTTACGTTGCTCCTGCTGTTTCACCCTACCTGCCATGATTCATTAAATCCGTTTAATTTTACCTGAGCTGCATTTCTGCCTCCTGGTCAAGCTCCACCACACATGGGTCCACCACCACCGACACTGCATCGTGACATCTGGAAAGAAGCTTTAATCTGAATCAAACTGCAGGAGAACATGATACACACACAAAAAATAAGATTTATTTTTTTTTTGTCTTCGCGTGAACATAAAGGTTTGGAAAAAGAAACACGTGAGATAAAATAAATCAGTCGGGGCAGGCTGTAGCATACTGAAGAGTTTGAAGCAGTTGGTAACCCTGCAATGTTTGTGACATCAGATAAACTGTAAAAAACAGGGAGTGCGACTGAATTGTGGTTCTGTTGTCAACATGAGTTGTTTTTAATGTGGATATGCTGATTTAATTTCATAATATGTAATTATTCAGGTCCTGCAGCTTTTGAAACATCAGATGTTACACATTTTTCAGGTAAAGACCCCCCCCCCACCACCACCACCTGGTAAAAAGAGCACATTATTAATTAGTTATTACTAATCAATCAATCAGTAGGAGTGTAACAGCACATTTATCTACATTTACTATTTATCAATCCAAAATGCAAAAATCAATAGAATAACTAGCCTATTTATCAAATGCTCTTTTATTTTGAAAATTGCTTTATTTTGAAGTTCTGTTGGTATGCTGTTGACCACCTATTCTTGCACATCCAACCAAAGGTGTTAAATAAAGCAGCTTGTGGCCTCATGGCGAGCAGTGTGAAAACAGTAAATGCATCATTTCTCACCTGGGAAATTTTCGTATTCGGTCTCTCGTAACGTTGACTCGTGTGCAGTGGATCTTAAATCGAATCAGATCGAAACAGCATTGTGACTGAATCTGAGATACCAGCGAACACCAAATCACAAACAACCACATCGAGCTTCACAGTCCCTGAACCCCCAGCAGGTCCCTGAGGTCCAGTGACCAAAGCCTCGTGGTTGTGTAGCACCAGGCTAAAGGTGGCAGCTCATCTGTTGCTTTCCTTGACGTTGGATGTGCTACTACTAGTTTACCCGTTTAACAATAGATTCACTAGGATAAATACAATAAAGTTAACTCTCGCCAAATAGAATATTTACTAAGAAATCACAATGTAACCATAGACACATTGCTTGGTGTGTGCGTGCGTGCGTGTGTGTGTGTGTGTGTGTGTGTGTGTGTGTGTGTGTGTGGCTGCTTATACTGAGCCAGGATTCTCTGGAGGTTTCTTCCTGTTAAAAGGGAGTTTTCCTCTCCTCAGTCGCTACATGCTTGCTTAGTATGAGGATTGCTGTATAGTCACTGACACTAGTCAGTGACTCGATGCAGTTTGCTGGGTTCCTTATATAGGAAACATTATTTCTGATTGGCTTAATGAACTGACCTGAATTGGAATGTTTATTATGTGAAGTGCCTTGAGACGACTCTTGTCGTGATTTGGCGCTTTGTAAATAAACTTGAATTGAATTGAATCTGCTGCTGTGGCCCCCAGACTCTGGAGCTCTCTCCCCCTGAGCCCAACAGTACATCGCTGCAGACCCGGAGAACGCAGATTCAGGCCGACTGCTGATTCAAGCTTCTACTGTTTAATAGTTACAAATAAAATGTGTAACTGTGGGGGAAGCTTATTAAAAATAGTTTAGTCGTTGTTAAAGCTTCAGTGATGTAGCTCTCAAAATACAAATGTGAAAACTCCTGAGTCACTTTTAATAAGAAAAGCTTTTATCATATTTATTTAATTGACGTTGCTTGTAGAAACAAAACAAAAATAAAAAAAACCCTTTTTCCTATTTTCCTGGTTCTTGACATCCTTAGATCAACCACCTCGTAACACCTTGATGGACCAAAACACACATGGCTCATTAATTTAATGCAGAACGCTGTGGGACTTTGCAGTGATGAACTGAATACATTTTATTCAAGTAAAACTTTATTTAAAATCCAGCTGCATTATTATTGGTCCTATTGACGGTCCATTATGTTTTTGGTTTTCTTCCTTCTCACGGATTAAACAAATACTGTTCTCCACGTTCTGCCGACTCTGATCACACTCCATCTTGGAGTGCTAGCAAACAGTGGGCGGCGCTGTCTCATAAACAGTACAAGCCTGAATCTGCAGGTCTGCAGCGATACCCTCCTCCCTGAGCCTGAGATCAGTGGACTCAGTGGTCTCCTTTAAAAAGCAGCTGAAGACTCACCTGTTCAGGCTTTTGAGTGACCTTCATCACCACCCTCTCCTTATTCTGCTCTTTCTACTTATTCCGCCTTTCCCTGCGATCCACTGATTTCCCTCTTTCCCATTCCTTTTCTCTCTCCCTTTCCTTACATTATATTTTTATCACAATTTAATATTGTTCTCATTTTAAACATATAATATGTTCTTTTTTATTCATCTTTTTTACACTTTAATTGTTTTTTTGTGAAGCGCCTCATGATTTGTATCTTGAGAGGCGCTAAATAAAAGATTCTTTCTTTCTTTCTTTCTTTCTTTCTTTCTTTCTTTCTTTCCTTCTTTCTTTCTTTCTTTCTTTCTTTCTTTCTTTCTTTCTTTTGTGATCTAACTAGTGATAAACAATCCTACACTTTAGGGTCACTGCCTTTTTAACAGGATTTGTACGTTCCTCTAGCCTAGCAAGCCGTAGTCTGGCCACCACCCAACGCAGTCATTGGGCGAACTCCATGGCTGCCTTTCAAACTGTCTCCACATGCAATTGGACAATTCTAGAACCAATCAGAGCAAAGCACAACTTCATTATCATTGAGCTGGGCAGTTTGTCAATAATGTAGCAGATGTCATGTTTCATGTCTCAAAAAAAAAGCTCAAGTCTAAAAAGTCCAAAGCTGATGCCAAAAACATTTCAAATGAATGCAGTTTCTGATCCAACGCCATCTTTGGACAGAGATGGACTTGCTGAGGCTACAGTGGAGTGTGGCTAGACTGACCCGCCGAGCTAAATCTTTTGCTATGGTGGAGAACCTCATTACTGCAGGTGGTGAGTTCTAACTTTATAATAATTTATCAATAAATTATAACAGCAAATAATACAATTGTGTGGTTAATATTAGCCTACAAATATTTTTTGAATCTGGGTTTTCAGTTTATTCGTTCATGCATTGATTCTTCTTCCGGCCTTTGGAGAGTACAGATGCTTTTTTCTCCTCTCCCTCTCTCCTTATCCCAAGGCTCTTTGTCCTGTCTGTGCACGGCGCTTTCTGCATTTTTCTGGAAACTGGAACTTATTAAAAATGGACCTGGTCAGTTGGTCTCTCAACGCGATTGACAACATTTTTTCAACAATGAGAACGGGAGAAGGGGCTCCCGGATGCCCCTCTGGGACAGAGCCAGCTGGGTATATCATGGACTCCTGGAAACAGTGGAACCTGATCTTTCTCTCTCAACTGTCTGTAGAGGATTCTGAAGATGTTTGGATATTCGTTGTTTTGGTGTCGGGATTCCTGCTGTTTGGCCTGAGCGGTTACCCGGCTTACCGGAAAATTTACGAGCTTTTGAGGAATATTGGCTCAATCCCGGAGCTCAGGGATGGATTGCATCGCGCTGTGAACACACAAACTCATATAATTGTCGAGATGAGTTGTAAGCTTGGAACTTTGGCTGAGATTCAGGCTCTGACCCAGAAGGTGGATTCCATCAAGGAGCGAGTGGATGGATCAGCAGGGATTGGGATAGATTGATTAAGCCATTATTGGATCTAGAGGGGTTGATGACCAACAGAACACTATGGCAGAGAGGAAATTATCTGTCTGTCCCCAAAACAATTATTATCTGAATCTGGTGCCCTGGAGCGAAGAAATGTGGAATGTTGTCGTAGCTATGGAAACTCTTTCTCCCTATCCCAGCCTGGGCGCGACTGTGACCGGTGAAGGCCGTGGAACCGTGCTCTCTAACCCATTATCTCCCTCCCCTGTCCAAACGGAGGTGATGAGCGCTGCCCCATGCGGCTGCACGCACTGAAGTGAGGAGAGTCCCAACCCTACCTCCCCACCTAGTGGACACTTATGTTGTGTTATGTCTGAAGTGTGTGTGCATTTCTGTCTGAGGTGTTCTTTTGCAGAGCAAAGCTGCCCTCTCTGTGGAGGGTAACTCTGAAGTGCCTTTTTCCCTCCCCCTGACTCTATCCTCATATAAACCCTCTTGATCTATTACGGTAGCGCGACTCGTGTTGCGAATGACCACAGTCACCAGTTCTTGTCATGTGTCTATGTATGTATGTCTAATCTCAGAATTGTGAGCACTGAAACTCTAATTTCCCTCTGGGATTAATAAAGTATCTTTGAATTTAATATGAATTTAATTAAGCATTGAGCCAGAAAGAAACATAGCAGAGATTGAAATTTGTTCCACTAATTAGGGAACAGCTCCAAAAACCCTTTCCACTCCTGGTTCTGAGTCATCGTGAGTGTGAGAGTGTGCACTCTCCTTTTTTTCTTTCCTGTCTAAAGGCAAGCTGCTGTCTTTTGAATGACTTGGCTTGTCTTTTGAGGGCTGATGTTGATTTTCAGATGTACAGCTCGGCCAGTAAATGCTGATTTTGGTATGAAAAACTCCATTTGGTGGGTCTGTTAGTGCTTAATGGCGATGCTTTCAAGGATCCCCCCAAACAACAAATAATGAGTAAAAATACAATTTTGACTTCCTGATTGGCCAATCACAGCTTCACACTAGAACTCCCAGAAAACCGACAATTTGACGGCTGTCATTTTGCCCATTAAATGCAGGCTGACAATGACTTTGTGAAGCAAAATGGTTCAAGTGCGTTATTGAGACACTCACCTAAAGGATTATTAGGAACACCACACTAATACGGTGTTCTGCCTTTGTAACTGCCTTAATTCTATGCGGCATTGATCCAACAAGGTGCTGAAAGCGTTCTTTAGAAATGTTAGGCCAGTCTGAGTATTTCACAATCTGCTCAGTTACTGGGATTTTCACCCACAACCATTTCTAGGGTTTACAAAGAATGGTGTGAAAAGGGAAAAACATCCAGTCCTGTGGGAGAAAATGTCTTGTTGATGCTAGAGGTCAGAGGAGAATGGGCCGACTGAATCAAGCTGATAGAAGAGCAGCTTTGACTGAAATAACCACTCGTTACAACCGAGGAAAGCAGCAAAGCATTTGTGAAGCCACAACACGCACAACCTTGAGGTGGATGGGCTACAGCAGCAGAAGACCCCACCGGGTACCACTCGTCTCCACTACAAACAGGAAAAAGAGGCTACAGTTTGCACCAGCTCACCAAAACTGGACGGTTGAAGACTGGAAAAATGTTGCCTGGTCTGATGAGTCTCCATTTCTGTTGAGACATTCAGATGGTCGAGTCAGAATTTGGCGTAAACAGAATGAGAACATGGATCCATCATGCCTCGTTACCACTGTACAGGCGGTGTGGTGGTGTCATGGTGTGGGGGATGCTTTCTTGGCACACTTTAGGCCCCTTAGTGCCAACTGGGCATGGTTTAAATGGCACGGGCTACCTGAGCATTGTTTCTGACCATGTCCATCCCTTCATGACCACCATGTACCCATCCTCTGATGGCTACTTCCAGCAGGATAATGCACCAGGTCATAAAGCTCCACTCATTTCTAACTGGTTTCTTGAACATGACGATGAGTTCACCGTACTACAACGACCCCAACAGTCACCAGATCTCACCCCGGTAGAGCATCTATGGGATGTGGTGGAACGGGAGCTTCGTGCCCTGGATGTGCATCCCACACATCTCCATCAACTCCAAGATGCTATCCTCTCAATGTGGACCAATATTTCTAAAGAATGCTTTCAGCAGCGTGTTGAATCAACACCACGTAGAATTAATACAGTTCTGAAGGAGAAAGGGGGTCAAACACCGCATTAGTGTGGTGTTCCTGAAAATCCTTTATAGTGTTTTGATTATATGCTGCAACGGCTTTCCAAATGACACAATTCTCTCATGGGCTGTCATTGCGCTTGTGTGAGCCAATTGGCTAGTTTAGACGACGCGTCACTTCCGGTAAAGAATAATGGCGATGTCCATGAGCGTTCTGGCACATTGACCACCAGCAGAAATCAGAGGTTAGTTTTTATCCACATTCAGCGTGGAGCCGGTTTTATGTGTTTGAATGAAAACAACCACCACCGCTTCCTGCTGATTTCCGAGGAGCTTTCAGAGACGTCAGCGGTCGGGTTAGCTTGTGTGGCTACAGCTAGCCGTTAGCTACGTGTTTACGCAAGGTGATGTGACACTGCTGTGGAGACAAACGAGACTTTTTACATCTGCCTTCGACTTTACACCCTTTTAAATGTAACCGTTGTGTTTCAGATCATGGCCCTCCACAGACTGACTTTCAGGCTAAGGCCAAAGGTCAGGTCTCTTTACACCAGCGGATGTTGGCAGCAGGAGGCTGCTGCTCCGCAGTCCGAACCTGAACCCCTCTCGGTCTGCAGAACACAGGAGACAGACCCGGTGAGCCACGACACAGATGTTTTAGTAGAAACACAGACAACAGATGTGTTTAGACGGGTCAAAGGCAGAAGTCCTGCTAAACACGTTCACCTGACCGCAGGGGCGCAGATAGGATTTTCAAACTGGGGGGGACAAAGTTCCAATGTACCCTCCCTCAAACACACACACACACACACAGCTCAGTCAGTTTGTGGAATTTCATCCAACGGTTTACGTAAAAACTAACTTATATATACGTGTTTGAAGCCGTTATGCAGTGGAACGCTGGCAGCAAAGCTCTGCCTGATCAACACTATAAATGATAAATGATCCGCACTTGTATAGCACCTCTCAGAGTAAGGACTCCAAAGTAGGGCTGTCGCGGTTGAGGAATCCCCCCTACGGTGATTCAGGGTGGCTTAATATTGCGGTGTGCGATATTATTGCAGCCCTTTTTTTATTGCAGTACTATCGAAACATAATGTTTACACATTTAAAAAAGGTTAAAAATTGCCGTGCCTTCTTTAATAACACTTTACTGAATGCAGATCAAAGGGCAGTAACAACACAGATCGCAGTAACGTTTGTTTCTCTGACAGTCGGAGTCCGACTGAACTTGAAAACAACAAAATTCAGGAGGTTAAACTTTTAAATGCTAATTTGGCTGCAGCATCTAACAAATAAGAAGCAAGTCCCCATTTTGTGTAGTTGTTTAAAATCAAGCATAAAAAATTACATGTACCGGGCGCGGGCGCACTATCATTTCACTTTCACACACACGAATGACGGTGATTTATAGCTCGGTCACGTCCTTGTTGCCCACAAGGAAAACCAGCATGTTAACCATATACGGTTTGAGAGAGGATCTGAGAGGGGAGGCAACATTTCCAGCAACGCTGAAAACCCTCTCGGATGGTGCGCTCGTTGCACTAACGCACACGTACTTGCGTGCGACTCTGGCGAGCAAAGGGAATCTCTCCCGGTTGTTACTCCACCATGTCAGGGGGGTTTCTTTAGGGTGGATGCATTCCTCCTGCAGGTAGCGAGTGAGCTCCAGCTCGGCTCAAACTCTTCGGGACGGCTGCAGAAGCAGTGCTTGTCCGGGACTTCAGCAGGTCTCCGAGTGTTTATTTATTTATTTTTTGCCGCTGGTGGCAGCTCTGTCTCGGCCAAGGACTCTGGCTGCGCAGCAGCTGACGTACTGAAAACCAAAGTGCTCCCAAAAGAGCGAAGTAACGTTTCGTTTTGATACCAGTGCAGCCATCCGTCTCAACATGCATCATTGAGTTGAATCAAGTTCAGTAATCGCGGTGGCCCATGATGCAGCGCGGTGGGCTTCTTCATATTGCGATATTTCATTTTTGCGGTTACCGTGACAGCCCTACTCCAAAGTGCTTTACACTACAGTGTATCATTCATCCATTCACACACATTCACACACTGATAGTGATGATCTACGATGTAGCCACAGCTGCCCTGGGGCACACTGACAGAGGCGCTCCACTATTTAATTCAGTCATTTGTTATTCTCCCAATCAATTAGTAACCAAAACCTCGTGCTGTATGCAAAACATTAAATGATTTTCAGCATACCGATCTTTACAGAAAACATAAAAACCCTAAAACACTGCACATAAAATATGTTTACAAAACGATATTCACTTATCACTTAGAGCAGTGGTTCCCAAACTTTTCAGCCTGACCAACAGATGTTCCTTCTTATTTTTACGTTATTTATACATGTTCATTATATTTGGAAAGTTTTAATTTATATATAAATGTATAAATCTCTTTTTAAATTTTATATTTTACTTTTTTTATGATTATGTGGCACACTTGACTTCCATAAAGAATGCATCGGCATCTGCCTCTTTTTTACGGCTTTTTTTTTTTTTTTTTTTACATTGTCGCTACGTCTGTCATGTTAGCGGTGTTTTACCATCATTTCTACATCCACCACGTCCCAGAGAAGGTTAAACCAACATCAAACCCAACGTTTGGAGCTTCTCGTGCTGCAGCAGCGCCAATCTTCCCGGCTGGATGAGTGAATTTCTTCATCAGAGTCAATATTCTGCTTCATAATCAGAGTCAGTCATGACCAGACAAAGTGATCAGTCAACAAAGACCAGACCTGCCGGCAATTATACGTTTTATCTAATATTTACGCTCTTCATGCTGCACGCATCTCCTCCTCTCCCCGACTGGGAGCCTCTCGGCGGCGGGAGGCGATTTTCAAACTCTAAAAACTCCAAAACTTTGCTCAGCCTGAAGGTTCCACATCTCCATTATCTTCTGATGTAAAGTAGTAACTTCATGAGGATCATATTTGTAGACGAGACTTGTTAAAGTCAGCAATGAGGCTTTGGGGTTTATAACGAGTAAGTCCCAACACCGACAACAGATCGGTCCCGCCTACTTACACTGTTGTTTTTTTTTAAATATGCAGTAATCGTTGCTTGCCTTTTTCGCTTCATCCCGCATCCTAGCAGCAACCACTTTGGTGCCTCTGGAGTCGGTGTTTGTTTACGTCATGCTGCATTCAATGTTATTGGAAAAAGGAGCTTCAAGCGCTTAACCTCCGATTTTGTTTTCTTTCTGGCCTTAGTTTGGGGGGAGGGGGGGGGGGGGGGGGATGGATCGGGGTCGATCTGAATCTGGGGGGGACAGATCCCCCCCATCCCCCACCCTATCTAGGTGCCTGCCTGACCGTTGTGATACGCTTGTGTGTTCAGGGGCAGATTTAGCTATTTGGGGGCCCAAGGCGAACACAGTCATGGGGCCCCTTACACTAAAATTTCGACAATCTCATCTTTAACTGGATTTGCGAAACTCTCTCCTCTTCTGCCACGAGTTATTTTCACGTTTTATTAGTCCTCCTCATTTTTCCTGTCTTTCTCTCCCTTTGAGCGCTTTCAATATTTGCTCTGCTTTCGTCTTCCTGTCAGTGCTCCTGTGCTTTTTACCTTTATTTTTTCTTCTTCTATTTTCCATTTTGGTCTGTGTTTTCTTCCCTTTAAACATTTTCCATCGTCTTTCCTTTTCTGCTTCCTTTTGATGTTTACATAGAAAAACGACGTCACTTTTGGGAGTGAAGCCAATAGCTTTTTTAAAGCGAGCTGCTTCTTTCTCTTATTGGAGCCACTAGGATAACTCCATTTCATGCTTCATGTTTTGACTATCGCTTTGAGTTTGTTACGAACGCTCCCGCCTCTCTTCTTCTTCTTATTTGTGGTCTTATGGCACTTGGCAAACAACAATTTGGTGCATTACTGCCACCAACTGGATTGGAGTGGAATGACTACCAATCACTTCCTGTTTGTGCATCGAGTTTTAAAGGAATGGTCCACTGTGGCATTAACAGAGGGGTGCTGGCCTGGCGGTCAGAGCTAGGGGACCCCCCCAACATAAGGGGGCCCCAGGCGGCCGCCGACCTATGCCTAATGGTAAAACCGCCACTGTGTGTGCTTTTGATGATCATCACTGGAACCGCACCATGCTATGGAGGATAAAGGCGTGAACATGTTGAATTATTTGGAGTACGCTTTGTTTGCATTTAGCTAAACAAACTATGTACAGGGTGATTTAATTATTTTCTGCATTTGTAGTTAGTTTCACTTTAATGCTTTAATCTGGCTTTTATTATACAGTATTAGAATCACATAAACTTTGTTTTGAAGGATGCCAGTTAAACATGATTTTTTATTACTTTTGCTCTTGTTTGTGTGTCTTCTTAGGCCGGTCACACAGAGAAACACATCGGACAGTTCTACACGCTGCCGCCCTCTCACGTCCGCCCTCTGTTCCCTCATGGCCTCCCCTACCGCTTTCAGCAACAGGCATGTGAAAGCGCAGAACGATGACACTCACGTGTGCATTTTAGTATTTGCTGCATCAAATGTAAACATTCCTGATTTGGTTTAGGCAAAAACGTTCAACGAAGCCTGCGTCATGGTAAGGCAGCCGGCCCTGGAGGTCATCTCGTACCTGAAAAGCACGGACTTCAGCAAACCTGCTCAGAGATATTTATTCTGTATCCTTTAAAACACACACACTGGGGTTTTCTCTTTGCTCTGAATGAGTCAGTTTGTGTCCTGATGGAGTTGGTCAGACGGGTTAAAGGGTAGCGGCAAAACCATGTCCCTCTGTCACACCGTCCACTTCTGCTACACACAGGGATGGCTGGTGCTGCACGTTCCCGATGGTGAGACACGAACACAAATGTAGCACAGAGAGCTGAAAGCCGGGGCCGGGACTGACCCTTGTGCCTCTGCCTCACGCAGCGCATCTGTGGGTGAAGAACTGTAAGGAGCTGCTGCCGTCGTCTTATAAAGACACTCGCTTTGATCAGCCGCTACAGGCGGTGACGTGGCTACGCAACTTCAAAATTACCAACGAGCCCTTTCTTTCCAAGGTAACTCTTCTTATGTTGCTTTAACCTGATGAATCCTAGTGGAAATGAAAGTAATGGATAGCATCACTAACAGCCTCAGTTTGGAGAAACTGATTAATTGTGACAAGATTGACAAGCTAACAGCAAGGCTAAGGCTGTGGATTAGTGCCAGCATGAAACAGAAATAATCTGCTGTTTACAGCAGGTAATAATCCATGTTATCACCATCTTTCCACAGAAACCAGCTTTAAATTAATTAGCCATATTTGTGCTAGCATACCGTGTCCTCGTTAAAACACGCAGTGTGACACCACCCCATAAAAATAAATGTCATTTAACGTAAACGTTAACCAAAAATTCTCCTCAAGTACCATAAAAATGACGACAAATAGATTTACCGTAAATCCTCTAATACAGGCCCTGGCCTGTATTTTACTCAAGCTCACCAAGCTCCAGGCCTTTATTGGGAGGAGGGCCAGAATTAGAGGCAAGCCTCAATTTCAATTTGAGCAAAATGAACTACGAGTAGAATGAATAAAAACGGGGTGTGTCTATTTGAATCTATAAAATCCTAGGTTCATTTATTGAAATTGTACAGTTACCATAACGTGGTACGGTTTGCATATAAAACATTAACAACAAGGCTAAATTACAGTAGGGAAAAACTGTATTGTAACAAAACAATAGCAAACTAGCGATGGGTACCGAATTCGGTACTTTTTAAGGTAGCGACTGAATTCCATAGTACCAACTGAGCACCTATTCACGTCATTTGAAACGGTGCCTCGTTTTGATTCCCGTCCTTCATAACGAGAACTTGCCAAGACAGCTGCGCATGCGCAAGAGTGTTAGTCGTCGGTCGCTGCGAGCGAGTTGTAAACAGAGCAGCATGGTAGAAAGAACGCACGCTAAAGCTTGGGTCCACTTCACTAAATGTGATGGGTAACTGGGTGATGATGAAACCAGCCACAACGATCTAAGTGAGACATCCTCATCTTAATCTGCTCCGGTAGGTTAATAAAATGTTAAGATAACGTTAGCTTGATATGTTAGCTTCCGTTCCGCTAATGTTGCGTTCGCTTTCTCCTCGGAACTCCGAATTTCCGACTAGAAGAACACGAACGCGCTCTAAAGTTTGGCTTCACTTTACTAAATGCGACGGGTGATTGGGTGAAGATGAAACCAGCGACAACGATCTAGGTGTGAGGCATCATCGTTTTAATCTGCTCCAGCAGTTAAATAAACTGTTTGAGATAACGTTAGCTTGACATGTTAGCTTCCATTGCTACCATTGTTATCAGCTAATGGTGCGTTCGCTTTCTCCTCGGAAATTCTAACTTCCCAGTAGGAAAAATCAAATGAGAAAGGACGGCAAAAGGAATGAAGATACACAGTAAATTTAGTTCACAGTAAAGATGTTTGCTTCAATTTAATTATCAGCTTATAAAACTACAAGGACGATGTTAAAATACAAACAGTTGTATGTTATTTATCGTGATATTTATCAAATATGGTTATGAATTGAGAAAAATATATATTTAATTATAAAAGAGAATTAAAATAATAAACACTCAAAAGTATCTAAAATTGGTACCGTTAAGTATCGGTATCGATTCCTAGGTACCGGGAATTAGTACCGAATCGATTCAAATGTCAAAGGTACCCATCCCTATAGTAAACATACCTGTTCTGCATTTTAAACGTTATTAAATACCGTTATTAGAAAAGGCTACAGCCACCTTTCCGCTTCAAAGTTGAATCGTTTCGTCTCGTTTGGGTTGTAGTAAGAAGTAAAATAAAAATCCTCAATCTTTGTCCAGTTTAAAGTAAAAAAATAAAAATAAAAAAATACCGGTAATCCAATTCGGTTTAATCCTCATCCAGTTTGATGGGTCGATGTTAAAACGTTTAGCAGCTTGCTCCCCAGAGTGTTCTTCAGCATATATCAGCACGTTCTCTTTGAACTTGATATCAAATTTTCGCCTCCTCTTCGGCTCCGCACCTGCCACGGTTAAAGACGGTTAAAGTCCCCCTGTGGTACTTGTCTGTTACCATATTCCACCCGGCCACAATAAAAAAAAAACGGCCATTATTCACCTCCGCCGACTCCGACACCGGCCAGAATCTGATACCCGGCCTTTAATTGAGTACAGGCCAATATTAGAGGATTTACGGTATACGGGTCATGTAGAATGTAAATTAACTCGAGTGGCGGACGGAGAAACGTGAAAGGTTAATAAGTCTGAGCCTAATTTGTTTAGCCTGATATGAAATACAGGCTTTAGTTTAAACTAAGGACGGACAATATATCAGCATCAGTATCGGTATCGGCCGATGTTAGTCATTTTTAACGTATCGGGTCGATAAATAAAACCGGGCCGATATTAACAACCGATATTTTTTTCATCTTGTCTCCATTTGTTTGCCTGTTTCAGAAGAAGAGGGGGTGATGTGTGTTTTAGCCGTGTGAGCAGTGATTGTAATCATCTCAGAAGTGTAAATGGGTGTGGTGTGTGTACATAATAATGTAAATTCAGCTTTAATAATTTTCATTTTGCTGATTTTAGAAGCATTAATGTCAGCATATCGGTATCTGCAAATATCTGTTATCGGCCATAACAGTGATTTGGATATCGGTATCGGCCCAAAATTTTCATATCGTTGCATCACTAGTTTAAACTATTTCTTTGGAGTGAAACAACAACTTGGTTATTTGAAAATGAAAAAACACGAGGTGTGTTGTTTTGTGTCTTAGATAAAAACGAAGCATCGCTACGTGTGGACGAAGCGGGAGTTCACCGAGGAGGGGAGTCTGCTCGGAGCGCTGGTGGATCAGGTGAGACGACGGGTCGCTGAGGAGAGACGCGGAGCCTCTGGAAATTAATATCTGACGGATTTAGGCGTGTTAGTCTATTTTTGTGCATTTTGTACAATGTGAAAAGTTTAAACACGGCAAAAACTGATTTGTAAGAAAGTATAAAAGCTTAATTTTTAGACATTTTTATTTTATTTGGTTTTAGTCTTAAAAAATTAATTCTCTAGAAAATTAGAATACTTACAAAAAGGTAATCTTTCTTGAATATGACAAAATAATTTCTTGTTTTGAGTAAAAAAATCTGATAATGGGGCAAGTTTTTTATTTATTTGCTATTTTTAAGTTTTTGCTTACTCCATTGGCAGAATTTTTACTCAAAACAAGGAAATTTGGATCAAGCATAAACCAAGTTGATCAGCGCTGAGCAGCGTACGTTACACACTACAACGCTCAGTTTCTCATAAACAACGGACACGGCGTCTGAAGCGGAGGTCGCTGCGGCCCTTTCCTGGTCTAAATGACTTAAACGCGTCTTTAAAACCACAACAAGAAGAAGCTAAAAGCCTTTCTTCTGGAGATGTTTTCGTCGTCAGACGCCATTTTTAACTACAGCTTAAAAACTACAGCGTCGTGCGATACAGTCGTCCTTTCCGCTTTTATTCTGATTGGTTATTTTTGAGCTGGCTAGTCCCGCCCCTCGTGGTGCTCTCTGAGAATCCAGACCCGTCCTCTGTGTGGAAAATACACACCAGGGAGGCCGGGCTAGAGAAAAAGATCTTCTTCTCTGACGTAAAACGCTGCCCGCTCAGACCACGCTCCACACCGCTGCACTTCTCGAAAGAAACCGGTGGTAAACAAAGCCGTTCGATCGCTCGTGCCGACGTAAGTTATACATAACATCGCAGTGTTGCATTTTATTTTGAAAAGAACCGGGGATTTTACACTGAAATCGTGTGTGGCTTGCTGTCTCGCACTATGTGAACTGCGGAAGTTGACGTTTCCCAGAAGCGGCTCGTGGAGATGATAGAACTCGATCCTGTCTTTACCCCGGTTTCACACTGCAAGCATCAGCGGAACGGAACGGCAGCGAAGCGGCACCGCTTCAAATAGAATCCAATTATAGTCCATGGAGTGTTTCAAACCAGCCGCGACGCGGCGATTTCCAGGCGCGTCCCGGAAGCGGCATGCCACGCCGCTAAAGGTAGGATCGAGTTCTATAGACCATTTGAAGCAGTGCCGCTTTGCTGCCGTTCCGTTCCGCTGATGCTTGTAGTGTGAAACCGGGGTTAGGAAAAACCTCTCTTACACACACACACACACACACACACACACACACACACACACACCACACACACACACACACACACACACACACACACAGACACCACACACACACACACACACACACACACACCACACACACACACACACACACACACACCACACACACACACACAAACACACACACCACACACACACACACACACACACACACACACACACACCACACACACACACACACACACACACACACACACCACACACACACACACACACCACACACACACACACAAACACACACACCACACACACACACACACACACACACCACACACACACACACACACACACACACAGAGCCTAAGCATTTTTGTTGCTGCCGATTCGCGTTAGAAGAAATGCTGATGAGCAGCCGTCCGACTGTGATTCTGTCATGGACTTCCTGTTATGTCATCATCAGGCTGTGCAGGAAGTGCCTTTCATCCCATCGTTGCCGTCGTTTTTAAAGCTCTGGTTTGCATGTTGATCAAAGCTCTGACGGCGTCTGCCTCGCTGCAGGGCATTTCTCGAGTGAAGAGCAGCAGCGACGTGGCGGGGGCGCTGATGAAGGAACTCAGGCTGCAAAGCGGGCAGCCAGACGCAGTCTTCCGATTGGCCGTGGCTGTGGACGGCGTCAACGCTTTGTGGGGGAGGTCCACGATCAAAAAGGAGGACAAGAGCGCTGTGAGAGAAGAAATAAAATGTATTGTTTCACCTTCCGGAGGGAAAGCCTCACGTCTGGTTCTGTTCTCAGGTGGATCCAGAGGAGCTGACTTTGGTTCATAACCTGAAGAAGCTGATGAAGAACGACTGGGTGAGGAGAATGACGACTTTGACCTCGTCGTTTGTTTTAGGAATATTCTGTTAACACTTTGTCTGTCGTCCTAGAGCGGAGGTGCCATCGTCACCACCTTGTCTCAGACCGGCTCTCTCTACACACCAAAATCTTTCTACTTGCCTCGGGAGCTGCTCGGAGAGGTTAGAGGACGTCTGCACACCCGTAGCCCTCTCTGGGGATTTATCCATGCTTTTATTCAGATGTGGACGATTAAGTCAGATAATCTCAGATCAAACAGGTTGTTGCCCTCTTAGAGAAACAAAAACTCTCCTCGGGCTGCATCAAGTTACAAAAACATGTTTCATTTACTAATGATATAATTTAATATGATGTTATTGGACCTCAGGAGTTAGCTGCAGCATGTAAATGAATACCAGGCAGTTTTGCTTGCTTTTAGCACCCCCTAGTGTCCGTTATACTGTGGTTATACCGAAAATGAAACCGGTCTCCTCGCTTTGCCTTCATCTTTTTAACTAATTCACTGCCAGCCGTTTCCTGATCGCTAAAGTCCTTCGCTGCCAGCGTTTCTCGACGTTTTTACTGTTTTTTTTAAGAGCGACAGAACGTTGCGCGCTAGCATGATGTCGACGCCAAAACAACCAAAACAAAGCGGAGACTCACCTCCTACATCAGGAAGAATCTGCGCGTTTCGAGCGTTATCCGTTCTTTCATAATCCGTTGTTGAATTGTGATCGGCAGAAGCTTTTCCGGTTTGCGCCTCACTTTTTTTACAGCAGCGACCCAAAACGAATCTCCTAACACATGGATGTTCTGCTTCCTGATCACGTGACGTGTGACGTATGCGGATGAAGATCGGCTTCAGAGCTGAGATGTTTGTTCTCGCGGTGCGGGGGCTCGTCCGACGCCCACGCAGTAAAAGCATGCAAATGACGACAAAAGTCGTCATTGGCAGTGAATGAGTTAACATCTGAATCTAACAGCTGAAATGTCTCCTCAGCCTTCGTTAGTGTCTACAGGAGTGATTCATCACTAAATCCAACAAATCAGCTGTGTTCACGATCTAAGAGCCAGACTGTAGCGCTGGCATGTCGGCTCCACTTATACTGACAGGAACCAGACTGGCACTCTGATGTTGCAAGTGCGGTATTGCAGCTACAAAAGGGCAGTGGGGTCTGAGTGACATTTCATTAACCCCTATTATCCAGTATTCTGGGTCGATCTTGTTTAGTATTTTTATTAATGATATTCCCGAAGTATGTTCAAAAGTAAACATTCAAATGTATGCAGATGATGCTGTTATTTTTACTGATGCTAAAAGTCCTCAGGAAGCCTCCCAATTGTTAACTGCAACCCTGGCCCATGTACAAAAATGGGTCACGAGTTCCCACTTAAAGCTGAACATAAAAAAAACAGTCTGCATGTTTTTCACTAAAAAAATAAACTATTGAAATAAAATAAAAAATCAAACATCTTTCTTGAAGGGGTAGAACTTGACATTGTCGAAGAATTCAAATATTTTGGGTTAACTTTGGACCCAACCGTAACTGTTAAGAATCACATTAAACAACTAAAATGTACAAAATTTTAAACTAGTTAGACCTTTTTTGTCGCTCCATGCTGCCAATTTATTTTTACATTCTATGATTTTGTCTCTCGTCTCGTCTTCCTCCGCTTATCCGGGTCCGGGTCGCGGGGGCAGCATCCCAACTAGGGAGCTCCAGACCGTCCTCTTCCCGACCACCTCCACCAGCTCCTCCGGCAGGACCCCAAGGCGTTCCCGGACCAGATTGGAGATGTAACCTCTCCAACGTGTCCTGGGTCGACCCGGGGGCCTCCTGCCGGCAGGACATGCCCGAAACACCTCCCCGGGGAGGCGTCCAGGAGGCATCCTGACCAGATGCCCAAATCACCTCAACTGACTCCTTTCGATCCGGAGGAGCAGCGGTTCTACTCCGAGTCCCTCCCGAATGTCCGAGCTCCTCACCCTATCTCTAAGGCTGAGCCCGGCCACCCTACGGAGGAAACTCATTTCGGCCGCTTGTATCCGCGATCTCGTTCTTTCGGTCATTACCCAAAGCTCATGACCATAGGTGAGGATTGGGACGTAGATCGACCGGTAAATCGAGAGCCTGGCTTTCTGGCTCAGCTCCCTCTTCACCACGACAGATCGGCTCAGCGTCCGCATCACTGCAGACGCCGAACCAATCCGCCTGTCGATCTCCCGATCCCTCCTACCCTCACTCGTGAACAACACCCCGAGATACTTAGAGATCTATGATTTTGTGTCACATGGAATACTGTATAACATCCTGGTCACTTGCTGTTGGTGCAACACTCAAACCCATAGAATCCCTTATTAAAAAAGCCATAAAATCCTTGATAAAAAAAAACATTTTTGCTGTGTTTTAGATAAATACAGTCTTCTTAATCTTAGTAACTTTGTTACCTTCAAGAATGCTTGCCTGATTTTTAAGGTTTTACATGGACTAGCCCCTTTCCCCCTGACAGATTTTACTAAATCACGGTCTATCAGTGGAATGTCGACCAGGGCCACAGATAGAGGAGACTGTGAGGTGCCTTACAGACGCACTGCTTTTGGCAAGACCACACTATCCGTTAAGGCGGCTAAATATTGGAACAGTCTACCACTCAGCATAAGAGACTCACAATCATACAGTCCCTTCAAATTCAAACTTAAACAATGGCTGAAGGAAAACCAAACCTGCATCCATCAGTAATTTGTCCTCACAGAGGTGGTTTGTGTGTTTTCTTTCTGTTTTTCCTAGTTTTAAATATAATACTTTACTTTCCTTTATTGCTTTTAATACCTGCCGTGGGGCTGCAGATGTAAATTAGCACTGGTGCTACAATCTGGCTTATTTACTGATGCAGTTTATGCAGGGTATCCGGGGGTCCTTAAAAAGTCTCAAATTTGCTTTTCCAAATTTAAGGCCTTAAAAATCCTTAAAAACGACAAATAATCCTTAAATACAGTTTCCAAAGGTTTTAAATGACCAAAGACCCAATAAACAAGATATTTTTTAATTTCTATAAAATTTTTGTGAATTTCTAGTTAGCGTTCAGCATTTTTTGTGTACGATGTTGGCGTAAGCGGAACGTACACATTCAGTTGGTTGTGAAAGGGGGCTATTTTTAGATGCGCACGTTAGCTGGTTAAGCTAGTGGGAGCTTGCGCCATGGGGAAGTGCAAGTTTAATGGTAACTGGATGGCTAATTCCACGTTTGTGACGTGGTTACCACCGGTTCCCGGCAATAGCTGGAAATTATAGCTTAAATTTAATTTAAAAAAAAAGAAATAGCTTAAATTTGGTCAAAGTGGCCTTAAAAAAGTCTTAAAAAATCTTAAATTTGGCTCCCTTAAACATGCAGATACCCTGTTATTGTTGAAGTTCAGTAATATGCACGGTCCCTATTAAATAAATAAATAAAGAAATGAAATGAGCCCTGTGAAGGGTCATTTTAGCACATACTGGCTCAAGAAAATGATTTAAAAATATGAAGAAGATGCAAAGTACACCTTTAATACAGTTAAACTTCTGATGATCATTTCCTGTGTTTGTATTTTAACACATTCGACATTCCTCGCGTCCTCACCGAGTCTGCTAGTATCCTGCAGGCTGTGGTCCAGCCGTGGGTCTACAATAAATAAGTGGGGTGTAGGTTGTGCTGCTGTTTACTGACGGGGTTTGATAAACTCCAACCATTCAGGCAGACAACCGAGCGTCCTCGAAGTAAAAACAGCAGATCTGTCTTTTGCACATAAAACAATAGAGCTTTGATGCGCAGCCCTGTTGTTTCGCAGTAATGCCTGAAAGCTGCAGAAATCTTGTCAAATGCAGGAAAAGTGTGTGTTTCAGTCCTATGTTGCGTCTCTTTCACCCACCTCTCATTCTTATAAGGATGATGCTTTCATGGTAGGACTGTTGCCTCGCAGCAAAAAGGTCACAGGGTCAAATCCCGGCTAGGCCACTCTGCGTGTTCTCCCCATGCGTGTGTGGGTTTTCCCCGGCTGCTCCGGTTTCCTCCCACAGTCCAAAAACAGGCGAGTTAGGTGACGTGTAGGTCGCTCTGGATAAACACGTCTGCAGAGGAAATAAACATTGATATGTGACGTAGGCGAGGCGTGCTTCATCAGTGTGCCACCGTGACACCAGGAGGAAGCGATAATGAGTTATCGGGCCTACAAAGCCGAGGTCCTCCAACAGGAGACAAGACTCCCTTTATTCTGGCTCATAACACCATTTCTTTACTTTACAGGTTAAGAACAGTTGAATTAAACAATGAATGTTTTCTCTAAGGTGTTTTAATGATGTCCTGACTGTTTCACAGTAAGGAATGAATCAACATTATTGTTTGTTCTGGAAATAACGCTTTTATTTCAGATCTTAAATACTACAAATGAGTATTTATTATCAGTATATTCACATATTAATGTTTCTGTATTAAAAATGAGTATACTGATCATAAATAATTATTAAATTCAACAAGTAGACTCATTGGTGGTGATGACGTGAAATTCAGTGTTGGGAAAGTTCGTTTAAAAAATGTTTTTAAAAAAAGTTCAGTTCATACATTTTAAAATGAACCAGTTCGTTTCTTAGTTCATAATTAAATAACATTTGAACTAAGATCAAAAAATGAACTTGTTCATATTTTTTCTTCTCTCTCTCTCTCTCTCTCTCTCTCTCTCTCTCTCTCTCTCTCTCTCTCTCTCTCTCTCTCTCTCTCTCTCTCCCTCCCTCCATATATATATATAATCTATATATATTATATATATGAGAAAAAAGAACTATGAACTAGTTACTAGTTCATAGTTCTTTTTTTCTCCTCTCTCTGTATATATACGTGTGTGTGTATATATATACATACATATATATATGTATACAGATATATACACATATATATGTATGTATATATATATATATATATACATATATGTATGTATATATATATATATATATATATACATATATGTATATATATATACATATATGTATGTATATATATATATATATATATATACCATACATATATGTATATATATATATATATATATATACATATGTGTATATACATATATACATATGTATATATGTATATACATACATATATTTGTGTATATATATATATATATATACATATATATGTATATATGTGTATGTATACATATATATATGTCATCATACATCTATGTATGTGTGTATATACGAGAATAAAGCACTATGAACTCCTCTCTCTCTCCTCTCTCTCTCTCTCTCTCTCTCTCTCTCTCTCTCTCTCTCTCTCTCTCTCTCTCTCTCTCTCTCTCTCTCTCTCTCTCTCTCTCTCTCTCTCTCTCTCTCTCTCTCTCTCTCTCTCTCTCTCTCTCTCTCTCTCTCTCTCTCTCTCTCTCTCTCTCTCTCTCTCTCTCTCTCTCTCTCTCTCTCTCTCTCTCCTCTCTCTCTCTCTCTTCTCTCTCTCTCTCTCTCTCTCTCTCTCTCTCTCTCTCTCTCTCTCTCTCTCTCTCTCTCTCTCTCTCTCTCTCTCTCTCTCTCTCTCTCTCTCTCTCTCTCTCTCTCTCTCTCTCTCTCTCTCTCTCTCTGTGTGTGTGTATATAAATATATATGTATACACACATATATATGTGTATATATACAGTGGGGCAAAAAAGTATTTAGTCAGCCACCGATTGTGCAAGTTCTCCCACTTAAAATGATGACAGAGGTCAGTAATTTGCATCATAGGTACACTTCAACTGTGAGAGACAGAATGTGAAAAAAAAATCCATGAATTCACATGGCAGGATTTTAAAGAATTTATTTGTAAATCAGGATGGAAAATAAGTATTTGGTCAATAACAAAAATTCAACTCAATACTTTACTATAGGTCTTTACCAGGTTTGCACACACAGTAGCTGGTATTTTGGCCCATTCCTCCCATGCAGATCTTCTCGAGAGCAGTGATGTTTTGGGGCTGTCGCCGAGCAACACGGACTTTCAACTCCCTCCACAGATTTTTCTATGGGGTTGAGGTCTGGAGACTGGCTAGGCCACTCCAGGACTTTCAATGCTTCTTAGCTTCTTAGCTTTGAAAGTAATACGGTCAAATACTTTTTCAAGTATGTGTAGAAACAAGTTTAACATTTGAGTCCTCAACCTGTTAAAAT